TTGGCAAATGTGGGGCTACAGTCCTATTTAATGACCAATGATAAAGTCACCAGAGATCTATAAGTCAATGTTTATGGATCAAGATCATTTCAAGGTCATAGCTCAATATCTAATTAGTATTTGGCGTTTTGGGGCTGAACGTGTTTTTGTGAAAACAATATGATTTTTCTTATGTAAATTCCCTGTGATAAAAATGATATCATCCAACTTCTTCACTTCAAAAGAAAAAACATCATGAATCCCCCTCAACCTTTATTTTTCAACTTATTTTTTATTATGATTTCATTCTGGTTTGATTCCTTGACAACTTAATGATACACTACATGATTTTATTACTATATGTACGGGTATAAGCATCAAATGTGGTGCCACCTGTTATTAATAACATTCGTAAACATAATGCTTGAATGTATCAATAAATTGAAATTGAAAATATAAATATTTGAAAATATATCTGAAATATTATTGATAAGATCCCCACCTTGTCACTTTTTGAAAAATATTAGGCTTATTTTCTAAAGTATTTTTTCTTAATTCGAATATATCAAAAGTTCTTCTACGCGAATGAATTAAAAATTCTGAAAGGGGGATGGGTATTGAAATGCGATAAAGTTAAAAACCACAAATTCCATGTTATTTTCCATTGGAAAAACTCAAACTATCCATTGTTTTCAACATAATTTTGATCATTGAAAATTGATATCTCCAAAACTAGACTTTCATTACAATTCTACTAATAAAAAAGTTTTAGATGTTGAATAATATTTTCATGCACTTAAATAAAAAAGAAGAACCTCTGTTGAGTAAATAATTTCAAAAAAATGTTGAGATGGGTTCCCCATTCATAGTTTTTTAGATTGTTTGAATGATATTTTTATAATCATTGAGAATTGAATTTTCTTGAAAGATAACATATTGTGTTTTTGAGAAATGTCATATTTATATTGAGAAAGTAGTCATGGTAAAATATATGATGATCAGATATCACTTGCCATACTATACCTGGTCCTTTGCCAATTTGAAGTGAATTGTAAAATCATATCAGAAGAGAGGACATCCAAATATGAGGTCATTTTATGTCTGCAATCAGTAATCAACAGCCACGAGAGTTACTTTCTCTAGTAATTCCGAATTGGATCAGTATTGTATTGTATTGTATTGTATAATATGACCATTTAATTCACACTAGTTTCTTCATATGCCTGGACTTAAAATTTTGAATCTGTTTGGGTGAAATAACCAAATGTGACCAATAATATGAGTATATTTGAGTATTGTCTCTTCACTTTCCAGTCAAAAATGTAAGATTTAAAAATATTTTTACAAATAATTGCAGTAAAACATGCAAAATATAATGCACATTGGTTATTGAAATGTAAAGATAGTCCATGAGGGTATGGTTATATTATTAAAAACAATTATGGTAAAAATTGGGTATTTCTAACCATATAATGCTTTTTATTCCAAGTTCAATGACATTCTTCCAATTTTACCTTTGAAATGATTTTCATACCGACGAATAACCATTATATCAGTTTCTGGTAAAGTAAATAAGTGTAGGGCTTACACAAGGATCAACGTTTTTTAAGACTGTTTATGTACTTGTATATCCCCTGCCGTTCTAAGAGGAAGAGCAATGAATTGCGATTTTTTAGTCAAAACAATGAAATAAACACACTCTGTTTATTTTGTTAAACATTTAACAAATAAAATTGTGTTTAACCTTATATTTTTTCAAAACATCACTAAATATGAAAATATTGCAAATAAAGTTGATCCTTGTGTGAGCCCTATATTTATTTACTTTGCCAAAAATGAATATAATGGTAATTAAAATATTTTGAAAACATTGAATAGGTGAAATAGGAATATTATCATTAACAACCATGACTTTTGAATTAAGATGGTATTTTTAGGTCAAAAATATATAATTCTTCACAATTATTGTTTTTTATAAAAATGGCCACACGCAAATGGACTATCATACTGATCAATATCAAATTTGCCTCCTATATTGTATAACTATTTCTATTATTTGAAAAAAATAATTTTTTATCAAACTCATCTTTTTGATGGTTGCACCTTGGTGCAAACCGTTTAGCCCTTTCGTGTCACCTTTTTGAGTGCAGACAAGTAAAAATGAATAGTTGATGGACCAATCTATAATGATAATGGGTCACTTCATAGTAAGCTACCACAACATAGGTTTTTGTGATTTTCTGGAGTTTTGACACACACTATATGGACATTCACATAAGACAGAGGCAGAGTCAAGAGTATACCAGGTTATTAGGTAAACATAAAAATGACCCTCTAATGAAAACACACACAAAATGGTCAAATAGTAAAGTTACTGAACGAAAACCAACTTTATTCAGTATACTTAAGTCAAGACTCAGAGAATTTAACAGTCACTCAAGAATGTTATTTTTGAAAAAGAGTTCCAACTGAGCTCACTGTTCCCACCCTACGTTGTAAATTCTCAAGAAAGATGCTCTAATTCTGGAATATCAAAGAAAGAGCATCACAAATAAAATACAAATTCTTGGCACAAATGATATAATTGTATTCACTGATGGTTCTACCCTTAAAAACCCTGGTCCTACGGGAGGAGCCAGCACGATTGTATTTTTAGCAGGTAGTAAATCTGAGCCAATATGTCTAAAGAGAGCGGTTAGCAATAAGAGTAACAACTTCTGTGGTGAAATTCAGGCTTTACACCTGGCACTTGAATTCCTTAATTCCACTTCTACTAGTCACTTTAAAATACATATCTTTGGCGATTGCCAACCAGCACTGTTTAGCACCTTCACCAGCACCAAACCCAGAACTGAATCTCAATGTATTCAAAATAGCAGGCTCCTGGCCTTTAATTTAAGTGAAAATAACAATTCTCTGACATATTACTGGGTCCCTAGTCACCTTGGTATTTTTGCAGATACATATGCCAAGAAAGTTGCAGCGTCCCTGCCAGACACCACTACAACTCAAAGTAAGGAAGAATCCTACAGGGGTATCAGAATAACTGCATTAGTTAAATGGCAGAAAGCATATGAGAGCTCTTCCAAGGTAAAACACACCCAAGGAAGTTATTGACACTGTAGGTACTAACAACAACTGACTTGAAAACAGAAGAGCTGAATTCTGTAAAATTAACCAGATTATAGCAGGTCATACCAATCTGAACAGCCACATTGCTAAAATAAGACCTGATGTTAGCAATCTATGCCCTACATGTAACAAAGTAGAGACAGTGAATCACTATTTGTATGAACTGAGAGAGAAAAGATGTTCTTCTCCATTGAAAAAGTTACAAGAACACAAATGTGTACAAAATGTCCCCACCTATGGGTGATCCTGTCAAATGGTTATCCTAAAAATGAGTAGACAAGACTTTACCGACACAATTTGAGGACGGAAAATCCAAAATGGCCACCTTAAAATTTACCCTGAATGCCCAAAAATTAGTCAGTTCTAGATTTTCATACTAAGAACCACCCCTGAAAATTTCAAATTGATCCGTCACACAGTTAACCAGAAAACATGTAAACAAAACTTTATAGACAAGATTTGAGGACGGAAAATCCAAAATGGCTGCCTTGACATTTATCCAGAATGCATAAAAACTAATCAGATCTAGATTTTCATACTAAGAATCATCCCTGAAAATTTGAAATTGATCTACCAAACGGTTCACCTAAAAACGCGTAGACAAGACTTAACGGGCGAGATTTTTGGACAGAAAAGCCAAAATTGCTGGCTTGACATTTATCCAGAATGCCAAAAAACTAATCAGATCTAGATTTTCATACTGAGAATCATACCTGAAAATTTCAAACTGATCTACCAAACGGTTCACCTGGAAATACGTAGACAAGACTTTACAGACAAGATTTTAGGACGGAAAATCCAAAATGGCTGCCTTGACATTTACCCAGAATGCCCAAAATCTAATCAGATCTAGATTTTCATACTAAGAATCATCCCTGAAAATTTGAAATTGATCTACCAAATGGTTCACCTGAAAACGCGTAGACAAGACTTTACAGACAAGACTTTAGGACAGAAAAATCCAAAATGGCCGAAAATAAAAAATTGATTTCTTTTTACAAAATTATCACATATAACTACTGTTAACAATAACATAGGCTTTTACAACAAAGTACACCTGAAATTATTTATAAAGCTACTAAATAGTTAAAGTATGAAAACTGAAAATCACCATTCAATATGATACAAAGTATTACCGTGCGCTAACTTTTCTTAAAACATTCAAAATGGCTGACATGACTGAGCTAACAGGTCCAAAACCTAATCAGATCTAGGATGAAGTGAGCTGAACAAGATGTTAAAGTTTTAAAAGCAACTGTGAAGCCGTCGTTTTTCTTAAAGTTTGCAGACAAGGATTTTAGCATTTGACTTCAAAATGGCCGACAGGAAGTAGGTATCGAGATAATTTTTTTTCATCCACATCTGTATGCACTCATAAGTTATCCCTGAAAATTTGAAGGTGATATCTGTAGCGGCTTTGGAGAAAACTGCCGGACGTACGGACGGACAGATAGACAGACGCGCCTACGCCGACAATATGGCCCCACACTATGTGGTGGGGACATAATAAAACTATTGACTGGAATGAATAAAATCTCTTACTAAGAGAACAGAATACAAACATTAGATCATATCTTATGGAGTATATAAAGAAAACAAACAGACTGTAATAAAAAAAAAGAAAGATAGAGACTGTATGTAAAATAAACAATCTGAAACAAGGAAACAACTATTAAAGAGAGAGTGCTAAAGTAAATTATAAAGTGAAACTTATAAACTATAAAGCTACGCAACAAGTGAAAAGTACAGAGTGAGAGCACCGAGAGACTAACAAAGTACACAGTGACCAACTGCTGAGGAAAATGCAGCATTAAATGCACTACAACAACAACAATTTTTTGAAATAAGTCAGTCCCTTAAGGATTAAAAGATAAACTAAATCAACCTACCCAGTCCAAACGATAAAATCTGCATCAGATTTGAACTGCTTCATAGCATGTACAGCTGAATCTACCAGAATACTTGGCGAATCACAACCATAAGTACCAAACATGCCTGGTCTCTCAGGCTCATTTTCATTAGTATTTCCATGGCTCCTAGATTTACTTTTTGGATCGCTGCTAGCTTTTCTGATTGTATAGCTGCTAGTTTTGTGACAGAGGTTGCCTACTTGGCCATCTTCACTGTAGAAAGGGTCCAAATGTATATCAGTTATTTGCCAAAACGTCCCTGGAATGAGAAATTAATTAACATTGAATTCATTTTATTAATCATGATTTCATAAATCTCAATGCAAATAAAGTTATGACTAAAAATCATCTTCAGGCCTGTCAACTGTCCCGGAAGTTGGTCACATATCTGCTGAAGAAAGTGAAGTCACACCAGTTTTTCGTGTGACAAAATATGTCACACAAATATGCATATCTCTGATTATTGTCAAGCAAAAATATCTCCGAAGAAAACGAAGAACATCAAAAAACGAAGACCGAAACAATTTGTTCGTAATTTTCACATGAATTGCATTTATGTCACATATTACATCTGATTTTTTCGTCCCTACCACTTATATAAAGAATGAGATGTCATTTACCCTCCACAACTTGTAAACATTAATGAATGTCAGCATATAGACTTTGCTATGTCAACCATTGAGCATAAGCACAATATCCAAGAGATATTAAATTACGTAACATACACTGCTTCTATGTAGATATGAACTTCTTTTCTATTGGTCTATGTATCACACCGGAATAGCCTGAAAACGGTTAAGTCAGATACCGTTGTCACAAATGACGAACATAACTGTCGCTTCAACTCTTCAATCACTTTGTCCTCGTTTCATGGGACTTTATAGTCGCTTATTTTATTATTATTATATTGTTATTACACTGTCTCCTGACTCCGGATAGTCCGATATGGTAAGAAAAACAATACTTTAGAATGTTATGCATCGATTGAAGTAAGGGTAAATGTTTCCAAGATTTCTTACATTACATTTTTACAAAAGACCTTTATAAAGGACTTGGAATATCAAGATTTGCATAGCCATCTATCTAAAGATGGCTATGTGCAAATATAGTAACATGTCCCTGATAATTATAAAAGGAAGCCATTGAAATATTTTCTAGCCTGAAAAATTAAAAATCATTCACCTGTGGATTCTTGTCCTTTGACGATCAAAACTGTCCATAAAATAACAAAATTCACTTTGATGTACATCGTTGGTTCATTTCATGCCTTATTTAAGCTCCAAAACATAACCTATTAGGCAAAAAAGACTAGTTTAACTGTGATTCCGAATTTTTGTTGATTTTAACAACGACTGATTTTTGGTAATGGGTTTTATAATGGTGTCGTAATCTACACCAGGGGAACGAACGATGTCTATTGTACAATAGACGACCAGTGCAGTGGGAATGATCCACGGTCCATTTTCAGTTAGAAATTCGTATATTTGTTCAGATATAACGGCTTAGCCTTCGAAACTGAACCACAAAGTAAGTGGGGTCGTAACCGGGGGTCGTAGCACCGGGGTCGTAGCATACGATACGGCCAGGACTACGCCGCACTTCGGCGAATGAGTTTGCGTTTTATGTGCCATCATCATGATAAATTAGGGTCCAGGCTCCACAAAATTATGTTGGGAGTCATTAATGCGGGCATTAATGTAACTGTTAAAAAAGTTTAACTTCTGTTGACAATTTGTAAATAGCTAAGTAAAATACGTTACACTTTTACAATACACATTCGAAGCGTTTATTTACGCATTACCATCGTTCCCTGCTGTTCCTCTCAATCGTTTACTCAATTTACCAATGTCTGTACTCTGTAGTAATTTAAAACGTAAAAATAGATGGAGTTTATAAAACCAACACGATCGTTAATAAGTGGACTTTGTTAATGTTGCATTGGTTCTGGAAAGAAGAAAAAGATAAGCGTCGAAAAGAAAAACGTGAAAACCTCATGGGTCAGCTGGAGAATAAGAATATTTTTTGTTAAAACTTGATTAAATGACACCTGAGACTAACATAGAATTTTATGATGGTCTCAGATGACACCAATACAGGAGTTTAGCCTTGCTAAATAGTTGAAAATACTCTATAAACAGCCAATAGATGTCTAGCCCATTTTCAGGAAAAGAATCTTAGGCCTAAAGCAGTTCCCCATTGAACCAACATGTAAAACATCACATTAATACTATGATTTTAACATCATAATGCTACCATTTCTGTTTCCTCATTCATTCAGAAAATCAATAGATCTTTAGCTAAGATCTTATATTTCATTGGTATGAAGTTTTTTGGTCTTTTAAAACAACATAAATAATGGAAAATAAAGATGAATATTGGCTATTTTGTTTAAATTATTTGGCTTGATGTTGGTCAGCTTAAATCACCAAAATGACCTGGGGTCAATAAGTTTATATAGCCACCAGTAAGATGCTGCTTGTTTTAAGTGCAGCTTGAATTACAATGTTTACTATTGTCCACATACTGATACAGGATAAAAGGTAAGTTAGCTAGATAGTTAGAGATCATTCAGATATTTGATGCAGGATTTGAGAGTTAACATTCAGACATAGTTTTATAACTAGTTCAAAATTTGCAGACTCAGAAACTGATCCAATGTGCCAACTTACACTAAATATCAAACATCATTGAAAATGTTTCTAAAGTTTTTTCTCCAGACATTTTTATTAACGAATACTACAAAATGTAATTATAGATGTTAGATATTTTGTACTTTCAGAAGAAATACTAAGAAGAAAGTAGATTAACTAATTCACATGTAATGTATGGCCCTGTAGTGACCCTTGACCAATTAGTCATTTTCCAGTTATATAACAGTTGGAAAAGATATATCTTTGATGTCTTTAAATAGATAACAATCTTGTCATGACCTATGGCCCAAGAATTTTTTTAAATAAAAATAATTTTTTCAAAGAATCAAAGAAAAGGGTGAAAAATCTAGAGAATCCCCATACATTCTATGTTATCATTTCCTGAATTCTTATCATATGACTGCCATCTATAAATGGAATTAGCTTATGCTAAAAGGGCTTATTGTTACGCGGTATATGGCCGGGTATATGGCATACATTCATGGTTGCGCGGTATTTGTGATACGGGTGAATATGCCATACTCACCTGCGGTATATGGCATATTCTGCAGGTGAGTATGCGATATTCCGCGGTGAATATGCGATACATTGATTTCAGTGAATACCCGATACTCACCTGCGGAATATGTCATACTCACTTGCAGGTGAAAACGTTATACAGAAAGCCTTGATTTGATTGGTTGCGAGAATCGACTCTAAATGTAAAACTACGCTAGATTACCAATATATTTAGTGCGTCGAGTACTAATATATGAATCCTGGATTGATTGGATAAGTTTATTACGCGAGATTGGTGACTGATACATCTGCCAAGTTAATATATTCGATACACAGTACTGTTGATTAAGTAATCATTATAATAATTTATAACGTTTTACTTGTTCGTTCAATCGATGCAATTTACATTTTGTACTTCCGTATCACGTTCTCATTGGTTAGTGTGTATGTGATATACTGCAGATGAATCTGTCATACACCGCAAGTGAATATGCCATATTCGTTGCGGAATATGACATATTTTTGTATCGTGTTTACCGCGTAACACCAATGTAGATTCGGTGCAAAAGTTTAATGATTAGAATTATGATATGAATTATGAATTCAACACCAAATAGACCCATAAATATGAAGGAGAATATCTTAGCCTGACCAGAGACATATAAAACTGTTTTATATGTCTCTGGCCTGAAGTACACACATTGTTCTTTGCCGGTTCTTTGGTCAAATATTTATATATCATTGACCTTTTCGGCAACGTTTTGTCGATTGTCACTTTCAACACAATTGCAGAACCTCTCGTCACCAAATCACAGTATACTAGGGTACAACTTACATTAATGATTCCGGTGCTACACAATAAGCTCTGATTAGAGTATGCTCGATAGATCATCTCATGTCTCGGATGTCACTTTGCGATATCAAAATCATCAAATTCTCAAAAGCTTGGAAATGGCAATATAGGTCAAAACAGCGTGATGTCATGACTTATAAATCTGTCTTCTTATGTACCGTAACGTATAACATAAAAGTAGTCTAAGAAATATAAAAATATGCCGAGTGAAAGAAATCATATTGGATGTGGTTTTGGTTCTCAGGGTTCCAGAAAATTTTGAACAAAATGAAACTGTGCAGAACACTGACACGTCTTTATGTTTAAACCATATTGTAATCACCTTTACCCTGAGCCCTCACCCTCTGGGTGGTCACCGTTGGGGGTATTTATATTACTTGAACCTACTTAAATCAAAAGTTATTTCAAAAATGGTAAGACCTTTTTTATCTCTAGACGTCTAATATACTACAACTATTTTACTCTTAGGATAGACTAGGGAGGTCTCTACAATCCACCTTCTCAGAACCCAATGCTTTAAAAACTGCACATCTGGCTCCTTTTTGCCTTATTGTTAATTGAATTATTCCAATGAATTATTTGTACTCGGTAAATAATTTAATTTGTTTCATCTTCAATGTTGTTGATGAGATATGATATTAGAACCTGTATTGTGGGATCCTCTTTGTTGAATCCGCAGCCTTTGCTATCCATTGGATATAAATGAAAACACAACACAGTTTAGTTTAAAAAATATTCAAATTGACAGTTAATTCCGGACCGATCGCGCATTTATCTGCATCGAATGTTTTCCGAGATCTTGATCCCCAAAATTATTAGTTGAACGGTTGGCGTAATGCTACATATATGGCTGTGTTTCAGAACACAAGCAGAGGGAGTTGCTGTATATATAGAGCTGAAAAATAGATATCACCACTTGTTTCTTCTGTTTTGGTTGGGCCAGACTCCCATAGGTTTCAATGATAAAAACTTGCAACGGTCACTCAATTTCATGATTTTATCAAAAAGTGTTGGTTGAATCTGTCTAAAACTCGAATGGCATACGGTGGGACCCTGTTAATGTACATAATGTGATTAATCCTGAAAATTTGGTTGTTGAACGAATAAACCAAGGTTTGAAAATTAAAAATATAACATTGCATCAATGGAGATTTACCGTTTGCATTCGTTCGATTTCGCTTTTTAAAAGAGAGGTTCGGCTTTTCTTCGCTTCCAGGGTATAAAGATTTGGGTTACACTTATTTTTAGAAAAGTTGAAAAAGTCATGGAAAATGATTTAAATAAAGTAACTATATAAATCAAAGTTATGATTGTAGAAAACTTTTCACCGAATTCGAATATGCTATTAAAAAGAAACGTAAGTCATTAGAGGTTTCTATGCAAATCTTATAAAATCCTGTGAAAAGGCATGACTTTGCGAGATTTCAAAGCTACAGAGAAGGTTCAATGCAGATATATAATTCTGAAAACGTCAGCGATTTTTAATATAGATTTCTTGTCCGATGAGCATATGAATTAACTTCATAAATATTAAGCTCATATTTACACGTTTCAAGGTCACCTAAACTGGCATTTAAGCATCTTTCATTTATTTGTATTTTAGGCCAGGCCTTGATGGAATCATGTCAACCTTTTGAGCTCATTGACTTAAATCTGAACATAAAATTGTAATTGTTTTCAGGTGTTATTATCAAAAAGTGGTATGTATATAAAACGCAATATGTCAGAGTGTCGGGTTATTTCAATTTATAACAACATTAAGTTATTTCAATTCATAGCTAAGGAGGCCTAATGATTAAGCCATCAATCTTTTTTCATTCTTGCCAGTCCGACAGGGAGAATCCAATGCAATCAGAGAAGTTCTGTGAGAGGGAAAAATGAACGGACCGGCATATTTTCATAGCATTCTAATCTGGACATTCGATCTATTCTGAAAGAAGAAACGAATAAACAAAATACTTTGCATTTTCTACATTTTACAAATAACAATGTGTATTTATTTCCAAATTATAATAAATAATACAGTCACTTGTTTGGAATGTGATATTATGAAATGCTTATCCCCGTTCATCCTCAGTTTCTTCTCAATTACAATATGTTAAAAGTAATAAAGTTATAAATACGCTTTTTTCACCCTATAAATAGTTCGCACCCTTTATTTATACATTTGTAAAGCTCGTTGAACTTGTACGCTGGAATGTGAACGGATCCCAAGCAAGGCTAAAACCAGCCTCTTTAACATCAAAGAACGGAAACATCCATCTTTGAGCCGTGATTTAACATGATTACTACTCAAACCTGAAAGGTGAAATTTAATGAAATGTCAGCAGTGACCCTATTTTTAACAAGAATGTGATCTAATGCAGATTCCAACATTCAAGGATTTCTAAACTTACACATTTTTGATACAGACGATGATATTTGGAATCTTCTTTACAATCTGTTAACTACGTACTGATATTATAATTGTTTGAAACTAACACCATTTCAACTTGAAAATATTTCCAAAAAGGCATAAAATAAATTACAGGATAATCTTAAATACCCATAAATTGCTTTAGATGTGATAACTACTGTCTTAACTGTTCGCTTAAATAAGACCTAAAGACGACAGATTGAATTTTGTTAGTAAACAGTAATCACCTACTACTGATATTCACATAGGATATCGCTGTTTTTATGCTATAAAATGTACCCCCTACATGCGCTTCTGAAAATTGACAGCATATTTGACTTTTTGAACATTGGAACTGGATATCCTCAACTTGTCTTGAAGTTCTATCCATCAATTAACAGAGTCGTCCAGATAACAACTGGTATATACAACATAAAGTGATACATACAAAAAGCGAACGTCGGAATGACGTTAAATTATGAATATATCGTATTCCTATAATATTGCACATTTTAATCATTAAATATACGTATTGCACACACGTTTTCTACAACGCAACAATACTTGTAGAAACCAAAATGCTATAACAGATTATAATAACAACAACGTATACTGCAACGTCACAAAACACAAAAAAATAAATAACAGTTAATATAAACAAGTACAGTAATTGCAATACATTTAAATTTGACAATTTAGTGTCTCATAGATAACGACTTGAATTATGTATTTATAGCTACAATCATGGCGATGACAAAACACAGTAAAATAAAATAACAACTTCACAAACTGTTGTCAATGCAATGTGCATGTTCGTCTAACATTTTGTTAGTCCCATATTTTGTGAATACGGTTCTATTGTTTCGATATAATAGTTTTACTTTGAAACTATTGAACTATTGTTTCAGATCGGTCTAATGTTACCCCTTTCAACAGCTTCTCTAAAAGACAGCTTCATCTGCTACATTAACTAAATACTATGTTGTCTAATGTAGACAAAAAATCATCATTTTATCTTTGGCCAATGGCATGAGTCATGGACGGATTGAGATCACGGATTATCTTTTAAATTCCAATATATGTAAATATAACCAATGTAGCACATAACTAATATATTTGTTTAAAGTAAACAAAATCTCATTTTACTAAAACACATCAATAGCACCAAATACCATTTGTAACATACTCTGGTTTAATATAGTTTACACGTTGGATGGATTGAACTATAATGGACGAAATGACTTGATATGTCTGAATTACTGATTTCATTTTTTCATAGTTTTAACTACCTGATTTACATATACTTGACTTGTATATTGTGTGTAATCATCAACATTCATTACTAGGCCTAAACAATATAAATAAAATATATTGGCAAAATATACACAAACATAATATTTTTACAATAGTTTACGTTCACATTACAATGCATATGCGCTTCACGTCTAACATACCTTCTTCATAACGTATGTGATGAAATTGTATAATGCACTTAAGTGATATGACTTTTTATCAACGAGTGATGACTCAATATCTACACCAATAACCCTGAATGTAAAAATAATATCACTTAAATTCATATGATATCGATTTATCGCATTATTTCTAAAAATATTTTCATTGATATCACCACGCATATGTGGATGTGATATCAACTAGTGGCTGATATCACGTGACACCCAACATCGGTATATCATTCAGTCGACACTGTTACACCACTGGTCACGATAATACAACAACTATACTCCAAATAAGTCTGTGGTCAGGTATTTAACATTTTTCCGCTGCCCAGTATAAAGCGGTGACATTTTTGCGGTTGTGGGACACCCTTAGGTCAGGAATGGGTCGCCATAACCAAGTCCCATTTAGAACAGTTTTCCAATCATGTCATGCGTAGTTGTCACAGTTTCTCTAATTAATAATTACTTAATCCCACGAGGATTCGTCGTAATACTTCAATTGGATTGTTCACGGACTTGAACGCACTCAGTTGGTGATCGTAGGGTCTACGTCACGGCCAAGCGGGTCAACCGGTTCGGTTTGGTCCATGGCGCTCTCCTTCAATACAACAGTGAGTCAGAGTAACTTTTCGGGGTTTCGTCTCGTTCAGAAACCCGTTTCCGTAGGAAATTTATCTTTCCAGGTTATTCAAGATGAAATCATCTTTCGTCGACAGGTTTTATGGGAAACATAAGCGAGGAAAGATCCCTCTTTGTCGTGCACTGGTGCGGCGTCGAACAGACACATTGTGCGTGGGCATTACAGCAAAGTCTACTATTTACCACTCTTAGTGGGCAGTAAGACACCCAACGTTTCTCGATTGAATGTTTAGCCACAAAGCGTGTGGGTTCGTCGGATTTAGCTGGAGAAAGGTCTCCATTGTTGTATCGAGGTATGAGTCGAAGGGGCTTAGACTCGGTCAAGTACATAGCCGCTAAAACCAGAATTACTGCCAGGATCATCTTGCATGAGCCCATTGTGAATATCTGAAAAAATACGTCAAGGTAAACATGATCGTTATTAATCACCAGCACAAGGTAATTCAATAAAAAGCGTGTACCAGGTAAGGAATGTATGCTTGAATGTAAAGGTGTCAATCTGGGCAGGTATTTTTGACGATGTAATTGAGTAGGCTAATTTCACTCTTCGTTAAAAAACAGAAACCTTTTGGTAAACCTCACGTCTGAATGTATTAAACCGCAACATAAATTCTTGAAATATTTGTCGGAGAATGTCAAGAAAATATTTCCTTATTCAGGCAGACAGTATATAGCGGCGTGCTTGTTGTAGAAAATAAATTGAATACAAATAAAAACTTTTTAAGACATTTATTTTTTGTTTAGAATACTCAGAATATCTATTTGATCTGACCAATCTCTTTTCTTTAATTTAATATATCTATCCAAAACGAAGTACCTGTATTCATTTCCCGAAAATGATATTTTTATAAATATCTCCCCTTTAAAATGGATGAAACTTCGGATTAGATAAAGTATTAAGGTACATCCGTACGGATTCAATGAATTGAATATAATGTATAGTGCTTGTAAATCGATTGAATATTATCTTACTAAATAACCAAAAAGCGTTAATTCTATTATAAAGTTACACAAATACAGTTATAACTAATATCAATAAATCTTGCTATTTTTTAATTGAATACATATACGATATCGTAAACAACAGTTTAATAACAGCAATAATTATTTGAATTGAAAAATCAAATTTGGGCACTTCGAGTTGAAATATTATTCAATAACAATTTCATTATGATGTTATTTTATTATCAATTTCATCACTCGAAAAGCAATAAATCTGATTTCTCGTTAATTAAATGTAGGAATCATTTCCTCTAAGACGAAAGTTTGTTTTTCGGCACAGTGGGTGTATGTCTAGTTTATGTACTTATATGGTGCACTGTTATTTGGTAACTTACGATGAAAACAGTTACCCTTATTATTAAAAGGACAGCCTAATTGGAACTTACAAATTTAGGCCTACATGTTTTGTTGTATATTTATTTTGTTATACGTTGAACGAAAAATTTCAGCACATATAATATAAAAATATTATGTCGTTCCACTTTGATGATAAATATTTTAACGGCATTTAAATCATTCTCTGAATCACTTCGTTCCTTCTATTCAAAAGACTCCCTTTAGAAATCTTATTAGAGTTTGAAACAAGTGAAATTCCTCTAAAGATCCTTGCTTTGAATAATTCTATGTATTTTCTATACTCTTGGAAAAGTTAATCAGTTTTTAAAGTTCCGAAAACATGTATGAAATGTTAGATAATATGTATATAGAGAGATATTAATCAAAATGAATCTAAGATAAATTATAAACATTTTAAGTTTTTTAAAACTGGATTGTTATTTTGTGTTTCTATCATATTGTCTAGATCTTTTAAAAATAGATTATATCTGACTTACCTTTTTTGCAACTAAATAGTTTTGTCTTTTGTTGAAGGCAAATTATCTTCCGCTGTTTTCCGTCTGGTTCGTCTATCAGTCGTTTCTGTTACAATCTAAACGTTTGGAATTTTAATGTTCAGATTTTTCTCAGTTGATTTATTTTACCTTCAGCTCTCACAGGTGGTTAGCTTATTGTAACGTGAAAAAGCTCGTTGAAAAAGTCAATGAATGAATGTCTGAGGCTCGATTGGTCCTCCCTTTTTGTAGCAGTTCAAACATAATTTACCATGGCATTAATCCAACCAATGACATTGCCCAAATCAGCAGATGAGGTTTCGCAATCGTCACATTGGTTCATCATGAGCAATGAGGATATGATTGTGTTAATTGTTCCCTGGTATATGTAAGTAAACTAAGGACAACAGTCGACTGATTATTTTGATGAGACACCATAAACATATTTACATTTATTGCAGTCCTTAAAATAATATGAGGAATAATCGCAATTTACTACAAAAAATATGAAACAATACATAGTCAAAGATGTTTTTCTGATAAAAAAAGATTTAATTGCATTGTTTATTGTAAGACAATGCTTAAAGTAAAACACCCACAAATTTACTAATTTCTAAGAAATATGTACAATGAAATATGTATTGTAAATTTGGTTGTATTATAGTGGTTGGAAAAGCCCACATTTGGTTTGGCCAATAAAGTATCGATAAAGTAAAAGTTACACTATACACAATGTGACATCATGATAAACCATGGTATCTTATTTCTTCTCAGTCCTGAGATGATGCTGATAGTGAAACAGAAAAAATAGATATAGCTCTGTATAGGTGAGGCATTTGGCTCGCCTGACTCATGCCTGGGCCATGTAAGCTAGACAGAAACACTATTATTGTAGTGTTCATTATTGCACCAATGACGTGAATAAAATGCATTCAGTCTGATACAATACTGAGGAAATGACGTGAAATTAAAACCTTTCTTAAGGATTAACCTGTTATTAAAACAAGATCAACAAATATTTTTAGTACATTCACCTAGCCCAAGGGCTGAGAAAGCGATTAAGACCATCATACATGACTTCTACATAATATTGGGTGCTATATTTGGTAATATGCTATATAAGGTTATATAATAATACAATACTTGGAACTATGGAATTCCGTAACTCCTTATATGGTGCAAGAAGTTATAAAAATCAAAATAACGCGACTAATGAAACATCTATATAATTTTAATTTTGTAAATAATTATGTGAAACCATCGTAAGAAGAAAATGTCACACAATACAAATACTAAAATAAATACCAATATCTCGCCAAATACATATTATAAACTTTAAAAGGCGAGAACTTAAAATATGCAGTAAGGCCCTTATACAGGGTGACCCAAAAAAACACAACCCTCTAAAAGTCTAATAATTTTCTTTTTTATGTGCATAAACTAATACTGTATCTATGGATGATAAAATTATATTAAGTTTATTACACAAAATTGATTATTTGTGATATCATGGATGTTCTTAGAATGTGTCCAATTTTTGGAAAATCAACATTGAGACAAAATCATATCTTGAGATTCAAAAAAAAATTCAGAAGGAAATTCCAAAGAAGACATGATCGTCTCAATTAATATTTGAATTGATAAATGAAGAATATGCAATTGTAAAACATCTAGAAAAAAATCAGATGACTGAAATTCCTGGCCTCTGAAGAACACCTCAAATACTGTACTGACTTCCATTGGATGGATTCTCAAGAAATCATTAAGACAGCAGAATAATCAGTCAAGAACATTGTAATATCAAAGTCAAATGTTTAATACTGAAAAGCTGGGAGATGGAGAAAGGAGAACTGTTAAACACCTCAATGGAAAAAAGATCAGCTTGCCTAAAGCACTGTGTGTGATAGCATTGAACTTAGTTCTAAAATATCAATCAGAAGGTGCAGCCATACCTAAAGGTTGCTGGGACACTTCATCAATGATCTCAACCTCTTTACTCACGAAATGCAGCATAACAAGAAGCCAAACGAAGGATATGTAACCCTTTGTTTGACGCACAAATCTTAAAATATTCTTTTCTTTCAAAAGTGGGTACATTTTTTTATTGACCATAACAGGATGAATATTTCATGTTATATATATGAAACGAATTTGGTGTCACATTTTCATCCCTATATTGTAGTTTCTGTACATGAAAAAATGAAGATGATTACTTTAGTATTAAAGAAATTATTACATTTTTGGAGGGTTCTGTTTCTGGATCACCCTGTAAGTTTTTTCTTTGATTTTCACATGTCTGGCGTATCTTGCTTTTTTCATGATTTAGTTTTTTCTTTGATTTTCACTGGTCTAGTCTATCTTGCTTTTTACATGATTTAGTTTTTTCTTTGATTTTCACATGTCTGGCGTATCTTGCTTTTTTCATGATTTAGTTTTTTCTTTGATTTTCACTGGTCTAGTCTATCTTGCTTTTTACATGATTTAGTTTTTCTTTTATTTTCACAGGTATTCCTGTAATTTTAGAGTAAAACAATATAAAAAACAACAACTGCGTTAAACTGCGTTAAATTGGTAATATACAGCTTCAAATTAATTAATCGGAATATTCGTGTAGTAGAAAATATTTGGAGAAATAAATTTCATAAAATAGTCTTCAAATATGAAAAAAGTGTCCATACATATAAGTAACATAGTTAAACAAAAGTCACGTGATAGCCTATAAATAGTGGGATAATAAGTTATAAATAAATGTTATAAATTAATAGATATATTTCGCAACTCACTTATAGCATGTTTATTATGAAGCGCTTGATTACGTCATTATTTATTGCGCAGCTCTATACCATAAGTGTGATATTTTTATGTATAGACGACGATTTATAAGAAAATCACATGTATGGACGTATGGAAAGCTACGCTTCATACGCTGTACGTTATACTAAGGGGATTGGCTCCCAGAGTGCAACTTCGATATTTCTGCCATATATGAGCATGTCGTGATTACAAAATTCGAATTCAAACATTTCCAAACGAAAAATTCAAAAACTCACAAGAAATTATAGAGATACTGGTCCCAATCTTTTGGACTGTTTATTTTGAATTTGTAGTCGGTTATAATTTCAGAAAATAAGACATTTTGACGTTTTCATTGTTGGAAAATATGAATTATACAGTATGTTTTATATGTCTCTGGTTAGGCCTATACCACGGGCTTTTCTTGAGGTCCGGGGTTATACGAGAATAATACAGAGATTTTGCAACTCACTTATAGCATGTTTATTATTCTCGTATAGAGTTCAACTTCGCTTCTAATAAGAGAGCTCCGTAATTTATAAACTAGACTCTGCGCGTAGGACCTGGTACCTGGTGAAGGAATCGAACCCAGCATCCTCGGGTTCACACAGCTGAGCTGTAGTAGCAATTTGGGTGGATTTTTGACGATTTGGTCGCAGGTCATTGTTCGTCAAAAGTAGACTATGGTTTTCTTGGAAAAACCGAGCCCCATGGTCGTTACAGTTCTCTAACTATGACATCATGATGTCCATGGTTACAACAATTGAGAGTGCATAGCTAGGAAGGCTATAGGAATGCTATAACTGTCTAGGAGAAAGAAGAAGCATGCATCCTGGTAAGTAAGAACAGAAAACTGGGTATTTTCCTAGTATTGCAGCAATTTGATAATGTCCTGGTTGTGAAATGAAGTGTCTTAGCAATATTTCAGTAATCTGAGGTAACTATGTTCATCAATAACAATTTAATCTTACGATTTTTCTCCCGAATGTGCAACCATTTTGTTACCAGGACTTCAGGCAAGGAGGATTGGCTCCAAGAGTGCAACATTATTCTGGTCCACATACAGGTGTATGGGCATGTCGTGATACAAAATTTGAATTCAAACAGCCGCCATTTTGTTCACTTCAACATTTGAATCGTGAATTTTGGTCTTATTTCCAAACGAAAAATTCCAAAACTCACAAGAAATGATCGAGATATTGGTTCGAATCTTTTGAACTGTTTATTTTGAATTTAGTCGGTTATAATTTTAGAAAATAACGACATTTCGACGTTTTCATTGTTGGAAAATAGTTTCGATCCTCCTTGGACTCCAGGTAAGAACCCGTGTTACACTCCCCTCCATAAGTTTGGCAACCTTAGCTCCCCCTGTGAACTACGTGTTAAAGCTCCTTTACATTTGAATTTTGATTTACTTAACCTGCGATGAAAATACTTATAGTATTAATGGAAACGTAATTTGACTTTATTTCCAATACCTCAAATTTTCCCCCTATTAATATAGGTCAAAAATTGAAGATTGAAAATCGACATTCCCATGTTAACCAATGGGAAATGATAGGTTTGCCGCAAGTCATATTGTAGAATATCCATCCATTCGAGTCCTTGCAAAAAATACAAGTTAAGTAGGCAATTGAAATCGCGCACTTTATTTAACAAAAAATTGATACGTTTCTTCAGGTTAAACAAAGTAACAGGTCTTTAAAGTCTTTTTAAAAAACCTCTCCCATTGAAATAACACAGGAGGCGAAAAATGATTTTTAAAACGACTTTGAAGCTCTATAACTTGAGTATTTATCAAATAAACTAAACACTTAGTGTACAAAAATGTTAGACAATTCAATTTCTATATAAAAATATTTTTGCCGAATCTTTTACTGAATAGATATCCTGATTTCAGATTTACCCCGAACCCACCATTTCCCATTGGTTTGCATCGGAATGACGATTTTCAAAAATTCATCAACTTTTTCATCAATTTTAGACCTATTGTAATTGAAGAAAAAATTGGTAAAATTTGGAGGAACTGGAAATAAAGTCAAATTACGTTTCCTTCAATAGGATAAGTATTTTCATCGCAGGTTAAGTAAATAAAAATTCAAAGATAAAGGGGCTTTAACACGTAGTTCAATGGGGGAGCTAAGGTTGCCAAACTTATGGAGGGGAGTGTATATTACGATATAACTTCTCAAGTTTTCATTAGTGATCATTATACCTTTTCTCCCCATAACGGCTGGCACTCCAGCTCAGTGTGACATATCTCAGTGTTGAGAAGGGATTTGGAGATAAACAAACTTAAAGACAACACTACTTGACTTGGAAAACAAATTAAAAATAGTCTACTGACTGTAAGTAGCCTCCTAAAATTGAATCCCCTGTCATTTGGAAATTCACCTTTCACTCATCTTTGAAATGTTTTTAGTTGGATCAACACCCGTCATATTAATATGATCCTTAGTCCATTCGATCAAACACCGAACAGGAGTGTGTTTGGCTCCACAGGAGCAGAAATGGAGAAAGGTGCTTTTTGCGCAAAATAGTAATAGTATCCCCTACACTGGACTAAATCCACATGGGCTCATTCCCCTAACGCATTGAAAATGGCTTTTTTATTTTACGAATAGCAAAAAACAATTCCCTAAATTCTAGTGATACTTTTTTACATTCCATAACCTGCTAATGGTCAAAAGTGTAAAAAGTACAAACCTAGCAAACTTGTACAGTTTCGTTCATCTCAACCTCTTAAGATATATCAGAAATCTCCGTACGTTTTTTACAGTTTTATGCAATTATCTTTTGTTTATAGGATTGTGGTAAGGTATAGCTACGTGGGAGTGTGCCATAAAGAAAACAAACTGCTAAAGAATGCATGTTGATTTTTTGCGAATCCTGGACAGCAAAATTCAAATAAGTAAAGGATTCCGAACTCAACTTAAAAATATCAATTTTTCCTGTATGCTCTTACTCTTTAATTGTTGCGATTACATAATACCTTTACCAGTGTGTGCATCCAGAGTGTTAACGAGTTCATTGAACAACGAATCTTCTCACTTGTATTCGGACATAATCTTTTGTGAACACATGATTATGATGATCTTTATTGTATTCTATAGGCAATTTGCACGTCATGGATCAGATCTTTTGAGTCCGGTAACGCGAACGTATACTAAATCTACTTTAAATGTCCATTCGTTTCAATGTAGGACTCACTGGATGGACTATCAAAGTGGCTCATTTGCATGCCCAGAGCAACATAAATTGGTTGCTAAAAAGGTATATTATTCTGTTTAAAAAACTTAATTATCAAAAAGAAAATATATACCTTTGCATCAGGCACTTAACTATTGCTTTTCCACAATCATACGCATCGTGATCCCACCATGATCAACAAAAGGTGGAAAAACTAATAACCCAGGCCTGCGAGATAAAAAAAACAAACTAAAAATCAATGAGCATATCAATGTTATCTGATACTAGGATGAAGAAATTTCTCGTCTTCAACTACCCAGTCTGATATGACCATCGTCAGTCTGATCGTTGCGGCGTCTCATTTCCACGTTTTTTCACTTCACTTTGGACTTTTAAAACATACCACAAGCTTCACATGACAAACTGTGATTGACATATCATACTGGATCGTCGACAGACCATACATCATTACTTCACTCCATCTGCAAACATCAAGATAACACATAAACAGTTATACACATATTTTATTTTTTCGTTTAAACGGAGCAATAAATCAAAACACTCACTTATAAAGGTGTATGAATTACTGGTAATCATAGATTATGGTGTGCCGAGTGATTTATAGGTATTTGACATATTTTTCCAAAAGCGTGTTGTCTTGTTGGTATTTACCCCACCTGACTAAAGAGAAACTTGAAAGATTATATTACTAAATACAACTTTGTAAATAAGGAATTTGCATATAACACTGCAATCTACTTTTAATAGATTGGTGAGGTTAACACAGATAAAGATGTCACTACGTTACATTTGTATTATAGTGGTATTTTCACACAATGTGTGATGGGTGTACATGAGAGTAGATACTTACACGGTATATATGTGCTATGGCGGATCCGGGGGGGGGGGGCCATGGGGCCCGCCCTCCCCCCCCCCTAAGGTTGGCCCAAAAAAAAAAGTTGGGTCCAAAAAAATTTTAGGCCAAAAGAGGCCTTAAGGCCCCAAAAAGTGGGCCTTTTGGTCATTATTGGGCCTTCTAAGGCCTTATTTTTTTTAATTTTAGGCCTAATTTTGAAGAAAATGGGCCTCAAATTTTCAAAATTTGGGCCCACTTTTTTGATGTGATTCTGCAATAACGGAAAATATGGCATCACTTCATTTGTCAGCCTCGAATACGATTGAATTTCCTTGTCTTTGTGTTGACAGTCTTTGTAATCTGAAACGGGATTTTATAGCCGTTTCGTAATCGTAATACTTTTTGTTGTGGATGCAAAACGTGACTGACGTTTAATCATGGCTTTCAAGAGAATTCTGTGTACAGAGGCAGGGGAAAGTGCAAAATAAAAAATATTACAATTAAGATAAACAAAATTAAATGTTAATTCATCAAAATAAAGATTTAAGCATGGTGTCTTATTCCGAGTTGGGTTCTATCAAATTGAAATGCTAATTACATTAATTTATATGTATAGGCTCAAATGATTCATGAAGCACCGAGATATTGACATTTTTGTTCTCAAAATTGAATAATGTCACATTAATATTTTTATTATTTTTGCCCGGCCTTACCCGTGTGGAACAATTGAAAATACATCATATTAATTTGTTTTTAATTTTGTCAAACTATATTCAAAGTTGGCGCTTTTCTATTTTGAATCAGGACTTTTGATTGGTCCGACAGATAAACTTTTTTGATTGGATACAAATTCTATAGCTAGTATTCACATTTTCAACGAACGATGAGGTACACTAAAACGTTCACGTGAATTTCTGTTAAATAACCTTTCAGTCAATCAACATCATTTGAAAACTGAATACTAAAATTGCTAGCTATAAATTATAACGTTTAGACTTACTTTTACCTCCTTTTACACATAAATAAAAAGCGTGCGTATAAGCTTACTGAGAGTGAAATCTGTTCGTTTTGCAGGTCGATTATCTCAAGCCTCGTTTTGAACTTACCTGGTAACGTTCTAAACAAGTGTGAAATTACATGTCGAGTAAGAAGATGATCCATAATAAAGCGATTATGTGCAATTGAACCTTCACGGACAGGTAAGTTGTGATAATTCTCATCGATCTTCACCTTTGACACTTTCCAGTGTGGAATCAAGCTCAAGTGGGTTTCAAATGATGTCTAATTTCTAGTTGCAGCCCAAAAACTTCAAAAACTTCATAAAATTTAAAAAGTTTTTCAAAAGTTGTCACACCGTAGAAGTAAGCGTACACGTCAAAAAGTATATCTAAAAGACTACTGAACTCTGATAATGAATGTTTGGATCATTCTAGTGAAGGATGACAGTGAGTTACAGTGGCGTAGCATGGGTATGGGTTACTTCGGTCCAAAGCCTTCTCTATATTCCGGCTTTGAGGAGGAAGATTGAGCTGCCTTAGTATTGTAAATATTGTAAATCATTGTGTCACACGCACAGTAAATATCATATGGCATAATAATATGAAATATACCTTTATGTATAGATTTGAAGAAAATCAGCTCACATCCCCGTCTGAATCTATTGTTATATTTGATTTCTTTAAGCGAGAATAATTTCAAATTTTATTCACGTACAGAACCGGAAGCCATTTTTAGCTACAGCGAGAAAATTTCACCATGTTTCAAACTCCGAAATGAAATTTTGAAATATCTAAATCTAGACAAGCAACGCTTCATCCTAAATATGATTAATATTCTTAAAAATATTTATAAAATTTATTAAAAATGAATTCTAGGTGCGTGTAGGTGCGTGTAGCACCTTTTCTAGAGTACATACGAAATCAATGAAGTTACGTCTAGCTGTAAGCTAGAGACTCGAGTAAGGTATGGGTACAAGTGAGTGAAGCGAACAAGCTTTGAGGGGAATTGGAATGAGATTCAGTCTGAATTTATTCAGACGAAGAATACAGTCTAGGGGTTCGGGGCTGGGTTCCGCCAAGTAAATTTGAAAAGGAGATTGCATTTGAAGTGTTCTGGGGCATTCTAAAATACGAAATTCTGACTTAACGGACTAATAAAATGTAAGTTATTTGGCATTTTTTGTCAATTTTTAAAGTTTAAATTTTGAGAGTACGCCATGGCATTCTATGCATATATGAGGCTAGGCCATTGAGTTGATTGGTTGATATTTGTGGGTTTTGGGAATTTTAGCTGCATAGCCTGGCAAATACAGTGTATAATCAGCTAATAGTCTTCCCACAATCCATGCTCCTTGCCATGTATTGTACATGTATAGAGACAGAGGGCTATCCCTGCTGTGAAGAGTTGGGCGAGAGCTATACTGTATATGTTAGCTTGGATAAGTGCAATCCACATTTGCACTCATCATTAAACTTTTTTCTTCGTTGGCGGGTTATGCTTGGAAGTTAAACCTAGTCGCAGGCCAAAGAGATGTCAGATAAGAAAGCCCAGACTAAGTTTAACTTGTTGAACTAAGTTTTTACTAACAAACATACCCTAGACTTAAATCACCATGGCCATGAAGTTACTTTGAACAAGAATTCAGGAGCCGATGGTTTTAATTAATAGAGGTCAGATATCATAGTATGTGGCACAAAGAAAGTCCACTGACTACACTTGGAAGATCCTATAAAAACTGATATTTTGTAAACAGGAGATTCATTTTTCTCAGAAAGCTTTATATAGATGCCGGTCAATGAAGCGCCATGAATTTTTCACGAATCATATAATGCCCCCCCCCCCCCTATAATGAAAGCAATTTTAAGTATTTGATAATTATAATAACATGCTACCATGAGACTAATTTATTTGAACCTTTATTAAGAACATCTTGATTTGCAGGTTCATTAAATTTTCATGGCTGAAAGAAAAACTATAATAGATCTATACTGTACTGGTATATAGTATAATGAAAGAAAAAATATCAATAGAACAAATCGAAGTTCGGAAAGGAATTTCCATATCAAATTCAAGTCTATTATACTGCAGCAGTTTCACTTGCAGGCAGCAGCATTCAGTGTTATATTTCACGATTGATCATAATCGTTATCGAGAGAACATGGCACTCTATTTGATTTTGTCGTGTTGAACCTCTGGAGTTACTGTTTTGTTACATAACATGTTAAACATACCCTTACAGTGTATACAAATGAATGTTCAGTACTGTTTACTGATATACTGTAACCTAGGTATTTGACCATAGTTTTGCTAATTTGATTTATTTGGTATATTTATTCCCTTAAATTGCCCTTTGATAATGTTTAACTCAAATTGATCACTCACAATAATTATCCAATGAATTAACATACCTTGGTTAAATACGAGTATTTTAAAAAAGGCCATATCACCAACATAATTTAAAAGTACATATAATTACATTGAAGCATAGTAAAACTTGAACAACTATGAAGCCACAAAAAGTGTTGACTGTAAGTAGGTGTTTACTACAGAGAGGGGATTTCATATAGAAGTCAATGTAAAATGTGTCTTAAGTGGTTTTCACTAACCACAGGTGTTCACTAAGACAGGTTTTACTGTATTGCAGCATCAAATATGAAATTGATCACAGATGTCATTGTTTTGTTCTCGTAACTATGGTGATAAACATTATTCTGTACATTAGTTTAATAATACTACTGTAGAATAGAGTATTTTCACCTATGTTTAATATATAATTTATTACTTGTTAATATGTTACATAATATGCAATGGCATAATCAGATGAGAATCATGTGAATCATCATCAAACATGTGTAAATTAACAATGATTCATATTGACAAGTTTGTTAACTTTAAGTTCATCTTGGGATCAATGACCAAAACTTCATACATTAAAGAATTCAATAGATAGAAATTCTTATCTTAACATTTTTATATCACTGCCAAAAGCGGTGACATATTGTTATGGTCTCCAACTTTTTTTGTGATGGTGGTTGGCATTCAGTGTGTGTAACAAATGGCATGTTGTAACATTTTTCATGTTAAGGCCTTGCTTGTTTTGTAAATGAGTCCCTGTTGTTTTAATTCTATTAATCAAACACTAAATGTAAATAGCCCAATTGAAACTATGATATTTAGATCCGGTACACTGTGGTACACTTTGCTAAATGCTATATTTTTAGATCATTCCATAATAGAATTGGACATTTCTATTGAATTCACTTGTATTTACTGTAATTATACAATCTTAAATATCATGAAGAGTGAATGATTAATATCATACATGTAGATCCACATAAAGGAGAGAATCCGAGTCTAATATATTATTAAATTATATCATTTTGAATAAAGGAATGGTCTTTTTCAATTGCATTAATGTCATTATTCTCCCTTGGATTTAGTTGGATGATTCTGATGAGCTACGGGCGATATTCCCATGAAGAAAATGTAATTTCTGATACTGGTTATAATGAAAGGGCATAATATGGGGACAAAATCAATATAAATCAATATTTGCCATAAATAATTAATTAAGGCCAGGGTGCATGTTCGAATTTTTTTGCAATTTTGAAAAGTAAACCACTGAATATTCTACTTATTCAACTTTTCTGAAAAATTATCAACCCTCAGTTAATAGTCTAGGTACACCAATGCATCTTTTGTGCAAGAATGAAAGATGTAGATGATGTGTGGAATGAGTTATGTTTATCTGAAAATAGCACTTGGTCATGAAATTTCACCAAAGTGCACCCTGACCTTAATACATTTTGGGGAGAGGGTAAAATTGCTTTTCATTTCAAAGAAACAGACTTCTAATTTGAAAGTTTCAATTAATGTAAAATTGCATCGAAAGAGAGAGGGAGGGTCTCTATTTTTCTTCCACATTGTTTAGTATGAAAACCCAGTTTGAAAGTCCATGATGTTTTTTTTGTACAGGATTACATGGTTTTATAATCTATATTTTATCTTGCTATTGATTGATTGTAGGATTACATGCTCTGTGTGTTAACACAGGGAGATAACATGAAGATGTGAAACAGTGACTACCTTATATTGATTTATTTTGTTATCTCCATAGTAACATCACGTTTATTATATCTAACTTATTCTATTGAATAAATATCAAATGATACTAACCAACCTGTATGCACATTGTAAATTCTAGTTAAAACTAGTCTTATCTCAACACTTTGTACCCCCCCTACCTCCTATACTTTGGAAGGTGATGTAAATGGGGGAAACAGTTAAAACCACCATTCTTCAGAATCAGACTCTCTCATCCATTGATGAATATGGAGAAGGGGTGGCTTAATTACTGCAATATAAGTGTGGAACAAGTCTGATTGAATGGTTCGATTGTGCAATGCATTGTTCAGTGTTTTGTTGAATGTGTGTTATTTCAAATGTCGACCTTATGCCTTCTCATATTGTGTTTATCAATCTGAGCGCCCTAAGACACATACACTATGTCAGTGACAAGATACTCAAAAGTGTTTTGATTAGATATGAACTGGAAGAAATGTTACAATATGTAAAAATATTTATTCTGTAAATCAGTTTCCAATATCAGATGTTTTGAGTGCATTATTGTCTAAAAGAATTATAGGTTCTGTGATACATGTTTTACATTAAATAATGAAATTGTAATTTATGATTCCAGATATACTTCTAGAATATCACAGATCTTTGAGAAAGTGTGACTAACTATGCCTCCCAAGAAGAAAAAAGATGATAAGCCCCCTCCCCAGGTGGGGCCTGGGAGTAAAATAAGTGCCTTGCCCGATCTGCTGAAGAAACACATTATAGTAGTGGAAGACTCAAGAGACAGACTCCTGAAGTTTTCAACCCAAAAACTGAAAGCCATACCAACTGAAATATACAAAAATGAAGAGGTCTGTGAACGTGCTGTTGATCTTGACGCGCCAAATAATTTCATTAAGAAGCTACCAGGTGCAATATCGGGACTGTCCGAATTAAGACGACTGAACTTTAAGAACAATGTATTGACTCTATTGCCAAGTTCTGTGTCAAAGATGAAGCAACTGGTTTTCCTTGATGCTTCAGAGAATAACATTCGGATGCTGCCTACTACGATTCACAAGGCAACATCTTTGAAACATCTTCAAGCCAACAACAACAGAATCAAATCCCTGCCGAGAAATATTGGAAAATGTCCAAAACTGGCATTCATAAATGTCTCACACAATAACATCAAATCCCTAAAGAAAAACATTTATAACTTGACAGCTACAGTGGATGTGTCTCATAATAAACTGACCACTCTACCAGAAGTGACTGTTACAAAAAAGCTACAAGCCAATCTGAATAATCTGGATGTTTCACATAACATGATCGAAATTCTGCCTGAAGGACTTGACAAACTCCTGTGTCTTCAGAGATTCAACCTTTCCCATAATGAACTTGAGGAATTACCCCCATCTATTGGCTCCCTCAAGTATGTGAGCTTCTTGGATATATCAAACAACCATCTAGGTCAGCTCCCAAGTGAAATCTGTAATTTGGCCTTTGCTCTTCAGGATTTCCACTGTAGCAACAATGAGTTAAAGTCTCTCCCAGAAGAGCTCGCTAATTTCAAGAAATTAAACATTCTTGAAGCGTCTGGCAACAAAATCGCAACCTTGCCCCCTAATTTTGAATCAATGAGGACAATAACCCGTCTAGATTTGTCAAATAATAACCTCTCTAATGTAGATGCTATTGTTGGATTGGTTAAGTGTGACTTCATCGATGTGTCTAACAATAAAATTGAAACCCTGCCAAATCAATTTGCAGAGTTGAAGGTTCTTACAGAGTTCAACTGTTCCCACAATCTTCTGAAGGATCTTCCAGATGAGATTGGACGAATCCAAACCCTCAAAAGCTTATATGCATCTAATAACAGCATACATGCCCTCCCAATTGGTCTTGGAGATGATCAACTGCTGAAGACTCTCATAGTGTCATACAACAAAATCCTAGTTCTACATGAAGACATGAGGAAGCTTCGTGCTTTAGAAGTCCTGAAGGTTGACCATAATAAGATGACCCAGATGCCAAAATCCTTTGAATCATCCCTCACAATGCTCGAAGAGTTTGATATATCTGGAAATGAGGTGATCAACCTTAAATTGCCAACTTCAATAAAATCACTGAACATTTCTGGGAACTGCATTGACCTTCCTGCCATGGATCCAAAACATTCTCTCCTTGTCACCCTTGGAGATGACAAATATGGTCGTGTCCTGAAGGAGCTTGATATATCGCACCTTGAAATGGATGAGCTACCCAAGTCAGTGTGTTCCCTGAGATTGCTTACAAAGCTGAACATATCAAACAATCAAATTACAGGTCTCCCCAGCAAAATATGCCGCTTGAAAATGTTGATATATTTCGATATGTCGCACAATCAAATTGAGGAGCTCCCAGATGCATTTGGTGAATCCATGGGTGCATTAAAGGTGTTCAATGCTTCACATAACAAATTATCCCAGTTCAATGAGAGCCTCACTCAACTTCACATGATTGAGAAGTTGGATCTATCCCATAATAACTTCTCCCTGTTACCAGAAAACTTTGGACAGCTTCATAAACTCACGTCTCTTAATATATCAAACTGTGAGGTTCTCTGCTTGCCCAATGATAGAGTTGATATCCTTGCATCCTTATTGGAACTTGATTTGTGCCATAACCACATAAATGCCATTCCCACAGATTGGCCGTATCTTTACAGAATTGAGACTCTTAACCTAGCTTCAAACGACATATCGGAGCTGCCTAAAGATATAATCAAAATGAAATCATTGAATCATTTGGATTTGCACGACAACATCATTGAGTCACTTCCTGATACCATGGTGAAGATGAATTGGTTAAAATTCCTAGATGTGAGTGACAATAAAATCACCAGAGCGATCCCAAAATGTATCGAGGTTCTGAAGAGCAAAGGATCAAATATCACAATGTCGGAACAATCTGGTTATAAATCACGAGAAGCTAGAGAAAGGCCAACAGATATCAAAGAGGAATCGCCAAAGCCAAAAAAGAAAAGTCCGAAAGGAAAAAGGAAATCAGCAACCATGCAAACCAGCCCAACGCCATCTAGAAAAAACAAAGTTGTTCCCACAGCTGCAAGCTGAGGAAATGTAACATAGTATATAGCCATATATGGTTTAAAAAATTCGCTTGTCGAAATACATGGCGATTCTTCAAGTAAGCATTGAGATCACTTGGACGAATTTCAAACATGCTTTTCTTGGAAAACAAGAGTGTCAGTTGTCGAAGAGTGTCAGTAGTCACTCATTCCAAATGAATGTGTGAGAAATGAAAATGAAGGATACGCTGAAATTCTGTGCAAAAGTATTTAAATCAGGAACATAACAATATAAATGCGCACACAGGGGACTCAATTGAGTCAAAATATCACTGGACTTCATTTTCTTTTCAATTGAAATATAAACACCTGAGAAAATATTTTTGAAAATTTTGTCAAGGCAATTGCCTCCCCTCTTATCCAGCTATGCCTCTGACACATGTACTCGTTTGTACTTACATGAATCCTTATAGTATTTCCCTTTGAGTAAAGGGTAATATTTTTCATATTGTTTCTGAATTGAAATTGCTTGCTTACAAGTATCTTGTCAGTGATCTCCCTAGCATTAAAGCAAGTGGGAGCAGCACCCACCTGAGATTTTAAAAACAGGCTTGCATCCACCTGAAAATCTATTTGCACCCACTTGAAAATGACAAAAATTATGAAAAATGGGCATAATTTAACCAATTTCGGTCTGAATTGTGAAAATGAGAATTTTGCACCCACCTGAGCAAAAATCCTGGGGAAATCACTGCTTATGTATATAATGACAATGACACTCTATAGAGGCAACAATATTATACTAATGACAAGCTTGATAGCATAAAAGTCAAATAGCCAAAAAATGTGAGATTCTTCTGGCTTTTAAAAGCTTCTGTACTCAAGAGATTTTTGCATGTTACAGTATATATTTTTCATAAATTCATATTTTTATGTTAAAAGGCAGTAGTTAATTAATTGTAAATATATATAAATTGCTAACTGAAATTACAGAAAACTGATAATCTGAACTGAACATGTTGTTAGCAACAAATTACCAAAGGGCAATATACCGCATACTGTACATTCTGTCATTCTGATCTCACTTAAGAACAGACACACATATATGCTTATAAAAGTGTCAAATTATTTAAAAATTATTGTAGATTTGTTTCGTGTAGAAGTGCACATTTCTAGATTTGATATTAAAGGCAGAATCATACATTTAGCTCAATATTTGTCATGAATATTTATCTATTTTGGAAGATTGTCTCTTTAAATTTTACATTAAGTTTTATTAACATCAAATTACCTACAAATAATGTATGTATATTGTTTTGCAATTTGTTTATGTTGTCCATTGTATATGTCAACAAGTATATGGAAAAAGTGCCTTCTTTAAAATATGTTCCACATTTTTGTAAATATTATTTTTATACTTATTATGCTAGGTTTAGGTGCTCTATCATATTTAGTTTATTTACTTCGTGTAGCTGTGTTTTCTATGCTGTGTAAATTATGCACATTGATTTTTTAGACTATGTTTGTTAATGCACACCAGTAAGGCATACTTGTAAATTTTCTGTTTTATTGTATATTTATTTCTGTGAACATATGAGTAGTGGTCTTGTTGGAACAAGAAAAATTGGTTTTGGAACCATTAAAGTTTAGAACTGTATTTAATATTTCACAATTAAAATCTTTCAAGAAATCACATTTTTAGTTACCCTGTATTATATTTAAATTCATACATTGTCTGATGCATTATAAATAACTGCTGATATACCTTATGTATGTGATGTTTTATAGGATGACTTTTCATCAACTCTTCTTCAACTGTTCACTGGCGGATGGGGGGAGTGGGGCTGGGTAGGCCCAGAAAAAAATTTTGGGCGAAAAAAGACCTTAAAGCCTTTTTGGTCATTACTGGGCCTTTTAAGGCCTTATTTTTTAATTTCAGGCCAAATTTTGAAGAAAATGGGTCTCAAAATTTCAAAGTTTGGTTTTCAACTTTTTCCTGACATAAAATCCCCCCCCCCCCCCCTTGTTGGTTCCCAGATCCGCCTCTGCTGTTGCCATTGTAAGTAAATGTATGTAATTTGTATGTATTAAATACATGTCATGTACTGCTTTACAACTGCAATAAAATATTATTCATTTCTATAACAGTCAGATGTAGTTTACTAGTATATTTTTTATATGAAATATTGCACCCAGTATTGTGAACCAAATCCAGCTGTTGAAAAAGTATGCAGTTCCAGTTAAGTTGACTAGATCTTCATGATCATGATTTATCATGATTATTCACCTCTTATTGAAGTGCATTGTTGACACCATACCAGAAGTTCATATTTAGGCTACATGAATATAAGTTACAAAAAGATACTTCCCCCTCTTTGGTATTGTTGATATAAAGTTCACCCTGCTATTGCCATCTTTTTATTCCAAAATCTGCAAAAGTCACAAGAGAGGGGAATAAATAATTACCCAGAATTTAAAGATAACATATTTATATAAAAGGCATCCACATCGAAACCATGTGCATGAAGATGTTCAATTTTCTGCCAAATCAAACATTATAAAATGAGTCGATTGAGTCCCCACATAATAGAACCAAGGCTGAAAATCACTGCTGCCATCTTTTTTATGAAACAGTATTGAAATCTCCATCTTCATTTACAGTAAACGTGAGAACAAGAAAAGCTTTCCTCAAGGCCAAACTGTTCCATGTAGACAGGTGTTCCATACAGAGGTTCCGAACTTTGGCCAATCAAAATTGCATAATAAGGTTAAACATGTTCTCCAGGTTGGATTATTAAATCACAAAACTATTTTCTTCTTTTCGCAACTTTTTTTTAACTTCACAGGACGTTTTTGTAGCGCTTCAGTTCAGTTTTTAACAGTAGTCTGGTTTCCCATAAGTCACATTGCAGATCGAAGATAGTGAAAGAATATAATTCTAAAATGTTATGCTAGGACACCTCCAAGGTTGCTCCATGTTTCTGCATACTATTAACTGAATCAGGTCAGAAGTCATTATAACTTATCAGTTAATAGTGGATCCAATTTGACTGACGGAGGGATCTCTTAAATGTAGGTCAAGGAAGGTCATTCATTTACAATAACAACTGCATGTAGTAAATAACACCTTAATTAGAGCATATATTATTTTATGTTTAGAGAGCACTAATTAGATTTTAACAAAACAAAGTATTATGAAGTTTCAATTATAATGAAAATCACCATTGTTAAGCCACCATTATGAAATTGCATTTATCAAAAGGGATGTGTTTAATTTAATTTAATGATACTTCCGTATGTGTTTGCTAAAATAGTCTAATCTGAAGACTTATCAGGATCTCGGATGTCTTAATTAAATGAAATAGAATATGTTGTTAAAGGTCTCGTGCAAAGTTTAACATAGTTAATCATTCAACTTTTTATTATTTTCCATGACTTGAAAAACTATTTGAGACATTTTTGCACAATTTGATTTATAAAAAATCATCATATAATAGATAAATAAATCATTTTCAAACATTTGAATTTCTCCCCATTTAGAAACAAACGTTGAGATTTTTAGATCATCAAACACAACACTTAACACTGTAAGCAAATCATTTTTCTACTCCATTGAGTAGATCAGGCAAAAGTTATAGTATTTCAATCATTCAATCTACGATTTTATACATACCTGAAATGTGTACTTTTAAAGCATTTTTAAAAAATCGTGATATCACGAGGATACGCTGTTTTGTCATTCAGGTGGCAAAAATATTTTTCAAAAATGTTCTCGTACAAATATTTTCTAAATATATGCTACACTTTCAAAATAAAGCAATATTGTTGGCTTATATAGATTGAAAATAATGAATATCATATTTCAAATATTTATGTACCAATGGATTCAATGAGAACTAACATTTCAAAATATTTTTTTCCCTGAACCTGCACTTATGAGTTAGTCCATTGCTTATTTTTGAAACGATTTTCTTAATTTTTTTCCCAACACAAAATAAGTAAATTTTTGAATGAAATTAAAAAGTTGGAACCACATTATGATAACATTGGGTAAGACTTATAATATAATCCAAAGTGGTTTAAACCTTATATGGGGCCTTTAAAATTATGTTTGAAGACCCGGTCTAATCAGCTCATATATAACACATTTACTAAAGAGAACCCTGGAATCCTGCGTGGAAAACTCATCAACATCCGATAGTACTCAAAAAGTTTAAACCATACTGGCAATGGCGAAAGCAATGATAACATTTGTGATATGCATATTGATGATATTTCAAGATATCATGGCTAAACCAATGGAGGTATGTGGATATTTAGAATTTTATTTTGATTATTAATATTTGGTGGTTGAAAGCCAAGGCCAATGTTATCATACATGAAAAATAGTCTCGTATTGGTCTAAAATTCTCTTTTCTAACATTAGGTCTTCCAGGATATTTCAGTTCCTTTGCATTTGCAGTAAAGAACACGAGTAGATGAAATATGGTTTAGCCCATTTTAGATCCTGCAATGCAATAGCACTTTTTCCAAGGGTTTTGACATTTTGACCTTGACATTTTGACCTGCACAAGTACCCACCTTGCTATTCATTATTTATAGTTTTTCACTCAACTGTATCATCAATTTCACTGTTTCTATAAATAGTCAGTTATCTGTTGTAATTTTAAAATTATGAATGCATATCATACTAAATTAAATTGTTCTAATTGAGTGGACTTTATAGGAAGATGATGCTCCGGTCAGGCAAGAATCTATATGGCCAAATGGTGTGGTACCTTACACTATAGTTTCAAAGTATGGTCAGTTCCCCTTTTTGACATCTTATCTTGCTATTCCTGTTTGTTAAAACAAATAATCGTCATGGTCTTTCGATATTATTTGATCGAAGGACCAGTTTCAATTTTACCGTTTCAGATGATACATAAATTATTTAATCATTAAGCTGCACAGTCTTCTTGTACAAATGAACTCTTCAAAAATAAAAAGAAACGAAATTTTGTAATTTGAAATCTCTAATTCAGAACAAAGTGAGGTGGATATTATAAAAGACGCAATGGATAAGATTACAAAACGTACTTCATTAAATGGTGAAGAATGTATCGTCTTTAAACAAAGGGATTCTGAGGAAAACTTTATTCAAATCTACCACACTGAAGGGTGAGTGGTTACTTATATTATTCCAAAGCATGTTGTTGCTGTAGAAATCGGACTCTACAACATTTTTGTTAAGGGTACAGGTATTATTTTGAGCGAAAATGAACCAACGGTACCAAATTCAATAATAGTCACACTTAGTAATGAGGAACCAAGTGAATCCCCGTATTCTCAGCTTTCCAATGGTACCAATTTATCCTATAGATACGACGTCAGATACTGTACATCGCGGCATTTTACCGCATTTTTACATGCGTACTTACTTTTAAAACCGCAATATCTCGACAGCAAAATCATATTTTTCTACAATTTTTCGTCATCAGTTGAACACGTATGTCCATGAAATATTTTGCCTATCAGAATTCCAAATAACTGATTTGGGACTTTTCAAATGAGAATCACGCAAGCCGTATTATGCGACTTTCTATGCTAAAACCGGGTGTGTAACATTTTGAAGAAAAATGATTTTAATTTTAAACGAAAAATGAAGATAACTTTTTCATTTCTTAACGAATCTTTCTCAAATTTTCACAATATTTATATTCACCATTTTGGAAAAGACAAACAGATTCTGTGTGATGACGTCATAATATAACAATGCCAACTTAACGCTTATATTTATGCAAAAAAAGTGTGGACAGGCAGAATTTCGTACCAACAAGATATATATTTTGATCAATTAAACATTAAATCGTTTGAAAGGTGAATTATTCTTTTTTGATTCCTGAAAGGCATATCATATTCTATATTTTTATCAAAAAACTATATCATTTCGATTAAAATTCAGTCTGTAAGAAGTATAAATTGAAAGAAATATGAAGTGAAGCCATGTGAAAAATTCACAAAATTACGTTTCATTTTTTGAGTTCAAATATTTCTAATTAAGGGATAAACATTCAAAACTTTCCAATGTTTCAGCATGTTCTTTTAAATATACCCCTCACTACATACAATTAATTTCATTTAATTTGAACCAGTATATATTGAGATAGACATCATTTTATCACCGCAACCCCAAGTGAAGCCTTTACAAAATAAGACCGTTATGCCGCTAGCGTATTATATGTTCTCCTTTATTATTTATTGTGTTAAATAAAAATTCGAGTTAAAATAAATTACAAATAATAAATTTAACAATCCTTAATATTTTCCCGTATGTGGATATCAGTTTAATATGACAAGGGGCACTGTGAGAGTCTAGAAAGACGGTGCGACAACGAGAGCGCAGGGCCGAAAAGCGCGACAAAGAAGAAAACGGGTAGGGTTTGAAATGTCTACTTTCTGGTGATTCTAATCCTGTATATCGTGACACAACCTTTTTGAATATAGAATTGTATTGAAGCGCACATTAATCTGAACAAAACTTGAAGTTTAACGAATATTAAAACTTTTGCAATTACTTGGAGGAGCATTGCGCATATTCATCGCGTAAATCTTTGCATTTTGTCGGTAAAATGAACAATTACAATGTTACGCCGTGATGTACAGTATCTGACGTCGTATCATAGTGTTCTTACCTCAAAATGATTCGTTATATGATGTAGGTTAATAGTCACACTTAGTAATGAGGAACTAAGTGAATTCCCATATTCACAGCTTTCCAATGGTACCAAATTATCCCGTGTGCCCTTACCTCAATACGATTTGTTATCTTTTGTAGGTCTTTTGTCGTCCTTGGTAACGAGGAACCAAATGCTGAACCAAATAACAAGTAATCATATTTTTGTAATTTTTTTCTTATCGTATTTTCAAATGATGGTCAAGCCAAGACGAAGTTTATCTTGTTTAAAAGAAGGCTTGTCTGATCCACATGTGGAAAATTTCTGTTTCGTTTTCATGATTATAATTGACAATAATTGATGAATTTGATAATTTAGCTTTTGTGCTGTAAAAGTATTAACAATATCCTCTACGTATTGAATTCTTTTGACACATTCAGTTGTAGATTTGATTATAATATCGTTATTCAGAGACTAAATGGAAAAGCAAATTTTTGCATTATCATTGGACCATGGATTTCGTTTTTGGAAGGATGAAACTCAAGATTCGGCCGAAAGTGTTGTTTATCTAAAAGCATATGTAAATAGAATCGTATCAAAAGCGTTCTCTGTTTCTTTATACATTAGACCAAATGAAACTTTCAAAGAAGCAAACTTTTTTAAAGGCTAAACTACGATGATACATGGAGTCTAAATCAAATCTTATTTCAGGTGTTATTCGCGGGTAGGTATGACAGGGAAAGGGCAACCAGTTGCCCTGGGTAAGAAGTGCATCACCCAGGGAACAGTAATGCATATACTCTTGCATACATTGGGGCTCTGGCACGAGGAGAGCAGGGCAGACAGGGACAAATACATCGACATTGACTGGAGTAACATCCAAGACAGTTAGACATTTAGCACATATAGAGAACACGGTACCCATGTCAAGCTGCGCGCCTACTTAGGCGCGCAGTTTGTTTCGATCACAAACTGCGTGCCTAAGAACATTGCATCATTTAAGTTGGAGTCTGTATTTTGAAACGTAATTTAAAGACATTTATCCTGCATTGTTTTCTTGTTCAATGCGCTCATTCTGTGGCGAATATACGAATCTTGCAAATACTAGCAAAAACTATGTGCAAATGAATCTAAGTTTTAAAACATATATATTAATGGCATTTTCGTCACTGATTTAACGGGAATTTATACGTAAATCGATCTAGCACTTTAAACATAAATGACAAATACTTTAGACTCGTTTTATATTTAATTCCTTACACATTTATCATGTATAATTCAAAATATTTCGAGATAAAACAGATAATCAGGAGATTAAAAAGAAATAAATCACAAACTGCGCGCCTATTTTAGCCAGAAATTACAAACTGTGCGCATACACTATTAAAACTACATATATATTATCATTGGAATTTCTACAGAGGCACGTGTAGGTGTTTTTCATGTAGCTTTGGAAATTTTGCTTTATCGTCAGATTTTATGAGATTTTCATATTGAAAGTCAAAATGTATAATAGAAGTGACAAGTTGGGAACGAAAAAAACTTTTATTTTCAGATCACCATCTTGGTGGATGGACTCCCATAGTGTTTCAATTATGGGGTTCTACTATTAGACACATATGTGCCTTGTATGGCGCTTATGTTTTCTAATAATACAAAACAAGCTTGGATAGGCAAGCAGTTTGGAAATATTAGGCACGCAGTTTGGGAAATACAAGTGAATATAGGCGCGCAGTTTGACAAGAAAAATGTTTAAATCACGTTTATGGCGTATTATCGTTTTGAATACAAACTTTGCTGATTTAATCAGATGGAGTGATCCTATATATTCTAGCATACACAGACACAATGGCTGAATAAACGGCAAATGACAATAAAAAGACATAGATATAACTTTACACTGTAAATTTTGAACACAGAAGTTACTTAAGACCCTTATATTGAGATAACTAGGTTTACATCGGGAAAAACATTGAGTACTATGAGTAAATTAAGTTCATCTTCACAGAATGGTACTATCTTTAGAACGAGACTAACCTTGTATTTTTCGTATTTTGGCTCTTTTTGGGAGTCGTGTCCTCCCCGTCTCACATTTTGAAATATGCGCGCAGTTTGTCAGAGTTTCAAACTAGTAGGCACGCTGCTTGACATGGGCATCGTGGAGAAAACGATACTAGATATAGTGGTTAAAACAGTATTCACACACATCACCCCATGCAGACAGATCGCCTAAAATTACATTCGCATGATGCGAGACTCGAAATTCACCAGGAAAGTAGAAAAAATTTGTCACCCATGAAGCAAATTAATTTTTACTGCTTAATAAATGGTCAAGGTTAGAAACATTGAGTTCTATTCGTATGAGAATAGCTTGACGTCTTGATATTTCAAGGTAACACGTTCGAAAAGTGATTAGATAGCGGTGATCGAAATTACGATGTAAAGATAAAACCGTAATGAAATATTTGTAGATTTCTTTGAAAAACTTAGAAATATAATCACATATAGAATTTTTCAAAACAGAAAAACATGTATAAAATATAAATAGTAAGGCCTGCAGGTCAGATTCCCCCTGGTAGCATTAGCATTGGTCTCATACATGTCATACAATTAATATTTGAAACACAACTATTATTCGATGATCGGACAAGTATGATGCTACTTTATTAATATCACATTGAAGTGCATAGTGATTTTGTATCTTTTAGGTGACTTAATAGAAAATATTTTGCAATGTGTGAAAAAAATTAAGCCCAACACTCAAAACATTGTGACTGCTTCATTCCACTCAGATGTTATTTCTTAAACTTTGCGTCCCCCTGCGTTATTAAACCCAATACAAGATCATTTCTCGTGATATCATTTTATGGCCTCGTAGCAAATATCTGATATATTGCTCTTTTAACCACTATATCTAGTATAGTTTTTTAAAACAGCTGTTCTACATAAGCTAGGCAAGTGTCAATGGAAACGATAACTTACAAAATTAATTGACTTTAACATAAACTTTATTTTTTGACATAAACTTTATTTTTTGACATAAACATTATCTAATCATTCAGGCTTGAAAGTAAACAGTGAGAATTAGCCTAATCAATCAATTAATGACAATAATTATAGTATAATCATTTTCAATTTTTATCATGTTTTTCTTCAAATGATATTTGATCAACAATTCATGTTAAACATTATAGGCCATGCCGGGAATTTTGAAGCTTTGAACATTGAGCAGTTTGACATGCCCTATGACTATGATAGCATCATGCATTCCACCTCGACATCATTCGCCAAGGTATATTACTCTAATTGAATGTTACAGTGCTACGAATCTTCAATCAAGATTGACATCTGACTTCTGGTTGATCTCTCATGATATTTCTAAAATTCAACATAATATGAAATCCAGCTTACAATCCAAAAGTAGAAAAGAGAATGGAAGGTTGTAAAAGATTCTGGAGTCTTGAATTGAACCTTGTTCGATTTCACCTATCTAGTTATTTTACCTTTGTAGGATAAAAAGAATCCCACTTTAATACCAAGAGGAGATGCTACAATAGGCCAAAGAATCTACTTGAGTGCAAACGATATCAACAAGATCAGAAAATTGTATGGTTGTAAAGGAGAAAAGAAAGTTGTTATTGCGCGCCCATTTTCTGTCTGATGGGTCAATGGAATAAAACTAAAATAGACATATGTCTTTCTTTTAAAAGAATTGCCACCAAAAATAAAAGTTCATGTATTCAAAAACTTAACATTATTTTATTCACATTTTCAGCAACTTGAACGGTACTGATGATCTTAGGCATTTAGATTTGGCTTTAGATACAAACAACCTGTTTACACTGCCCTCTTCATTCGACATTCGACAACGTAGCTTTTTTGAAGAACTGCCATTCTTTGGTACAATTTCATTTTAAAATAAATGAATAAAAATAAAAATACGTAATTGTATTGATTGTCTTGTGTTATGTGGCCAGGTAACATTAAAGTCACTGGCTAATTAAATATGAAAAATTGGTGTTGAAAATCATAAATCATGTAGTCGTATATACTATTAACTAGGTCACAGGGAGTGAAGGTCATGTTCAAAATATGTGTATTTCACTTTCTGGCATTTTATTGACGGATTTGATGACGATATGGAGTCTGTTTAATGTTCAGTTCATAACTATTTCGTCATGTGATTTCAATGTCAGCCAGTGCTGAATGTCAGCCAAATTTCAATAGGTGAATAGAATCAACGGCTCTAATCATAATTAAATTAAAGCGATATCAAATTAAAGAAATCATGAATAATACCATGGGTTCCTCTTGAAAGCTCATTATTAAACTAATCGATGCGCTCAAAAATAACATCATGCCCAAGCTGCCCTTTTAGATTTTCTGGTATGATGCCTACTTCCTTATACAGTCCGGTTTGTTTGAAGAATTGGCGGAATTCTGTCAGCCTTTCTAAACTTTTTCTCGTGTCTTTCACATGACCATCGTTGAACTTGAATTCTATTGTGAAAACCTTTATATAAACTTTGTCAAATGGGATTGTTTTTAACACAGCCATTTCTGCCCCTTCCACATCCAAACTAAAATAATCAACGTACTTGGTGCCAACTGCTCGTAAGAGAGTATAAACAGTGAAACATTGTATTTGAAGTTTATAGGCATTCACAATATCGTCATCTCTCATCATGTTGATGTCTTTCAATGCCGAATATCCTGGTCGCATCGACTGATAAATAAATGGTAGTTTTCGCTGTTCGTTTGAAGGACACAAGAGAATGTTGGCTGCATACGCGTTCCTCTTCAGCTTTATAAGGTCTGAGAATGATTCCGGATGAGGTTCGACAAGTATCCCAGTCCATTTCCGAAATCGTTCAAAGTATAAAGTGTTTGATAGATCCTTTCCGTTCATCGCTCCACATTCGATGAAAAAACCACGAGTTTTCGCATTTAAAAGCTTGTCAATAACTTTGCTTTGGCCGAACTGTGAGAAGTCATGATCAAGAGGCTCAGAAATATCGAGAACGTCAACACTTGGGGAGTGTATCCAATTCTCTCGAATGTACTCCACCTGTAAATTCATAACTAATATTTTACGTATCCACACGTGAAAGGATGTGATATTTTCAATAACCATACCACTATACCAGTAAGTTATAAAATTAATTTCCCACTTACCTGGGCAAGGTGTGTGGATTTATATCTTTTAAGTGATATAGTATAAAATATTTTGCAATGTGTGAAAAGAATCGAAGTCAAAGACTCAGTGGATTGTGGCTGATTCGTTCCGCTCAGGCGTTGTTTCGGAAGCTTAGCACTCGATGCTACGAATCTCGTGTAAAGTTTGAAATAACACATTTGAGGAATGATGATCTGTCAACAATGTACCGAGTCCAGGGCTTAAATCCTTAAATGAAGATGGTTCACGTTATTCTATGGAACTTACCAATTGTCCATCACTAGGGTCGAAAAGGTTGGTCTCGGACACTTGATGTTCGCCTTCTACTATACCATTGTTCTTGAGGTGTTCTTTGTAGTTGAATAGCCGTATCAGCAAAAGGACCATTGTTAGGGTCAAGATATACACATAGAACTTCTTAAAATATACATTTAAACAAGATAAGTTCGATTGTTTTATTTGATGTTATTAAGACCTATGAAAGAACGTGATCATGAAAGTGCTGATATTATTTTGTTGCCTCACTCGCCATTCTTCAACACAGAAACCTAAGTCATGTTTAGTCGCTTTTGTCTCTTGAGGTATCATATAGATGGTAATCAAATGATTAAGAGACTTAACCTCTTTCAAAAGTTAATCAGATCAGTCAACCTTTGAAACTAAAGACACGTGACGAAATATTTCCCACAAATGGCAATAAATATACACTAAAATATATTGTGTTTAAATGTTGTATCAAAGAAAACTACCTACTGGCATCTGGGTAATTACCCACACACCATTCCCCATTAGATTTTGTGGCAAACCTGAGAAGTCCAGGAAAAAAATTATATTGTGAACGACATAGAGCATCGAACACATGCTCAAAATATGAATTATGGTATTTAAAGTAAATGTACATTCACCAATTTCCTCATTATCCCTCTGTATCCGATTACTCAAATTTACGTTATGGTATATGTGATAATACGTGACAGGAGCCGCATTGAGTGCCTAATTCCGACCAAGAGGTAATATAAGACTGTTGTGTGTTGCCTTCTGTCCTATTCGATCCACATTGTTATAATGTTCAGTCGTATGCAGCTTTTTGTCGTACCTAAAAAAGGTACGATATTGTCTTCAGCTTGGCAGGCGGGTGAGGGGCGGCGGACGGCGTCTCACTTTTCTTGTCATCACGGTTCCAGGAACACTATTTCATGGATCTACTACATGTTACATGGTAAGAAGTTCTAGAGCTGATTAACTTTTTGGCGGCCACCTTGTATTCTGGTGGCCATCTTGGAAGTTTTTAGATAAAAATTGTCATCGCGATTCCAGAAAAACCACTTGGATTTATTTCAAATTTTTACACATGTTACATGGAAAAAAGTTCTGAAAGTGATTATAACTTTTCGGCGTCCATCTTTGATTCTGGTGGCCATCTTGGAAGTTTTTAGATACATTTTGTCATCGCGATTCCAGAAAAACACTCAACGGATTTATTTCAAATTTTTACACATCTTAAATTACATGGTAAGAAGTACTAAAAGTGATTAACTTTTCGGCGACCATCTTGCATTCTGGCAGCCATTTTGGAAGTTTTGAGATAAATCTTGTCATCGCAATTCCATGAAAACCATTTAACGAATTTACTTCAAATTTTTACACATGTTACATGGGAAGAAGTTATACAGCGATATTGTTCACCATGTGCCTTGTTTTTTCTTCCTTTCGATAGATTCTTAATATGCCAAATGGTACAATGCATTCAACCAGTAAACGTGGTGATAAATTTAATAAATGGAGATATGTACTTATATGATATGTAGGCATGAAATTATTTATTATTTATTACTCACTGAAAGTTGTAACAGAAGGCAGCAATGCTCAAACACGGGTTCCCGTGTGTGGAAGCTCAATACTGTTCTGGGCTACCCAGGTGTTCTGACAGTTTTTTTAAAATTGAGGCCCATTATTTTAAAAAGGACCATTTTTTTCAAAAATGAGTCATTTTCCTGAAATGGAGACCCAGCTGCCTCAATATATTGATGTATTCAATCGAAATCAAGAGTTTGATTAGCAATGTCCCATAGTACATGAGAAGCACTCTCGGAGATCTGCCATTCCTCAATGGGTACGATGTTGGTTTATATAAATAACACAGGGGCTGTACCAAATTAAGTGTGGTAGTTGAACGTGCGTGATAAGGTACAACACGAGGGTGATGAAATTTGAGCAAACGGATGTCTTCATTGTTTCAGAAAGATCTGGTCTAGTTTTCTAGATATTTTACATGTAAATGTCAATAACAACATCCTATTCATGAAGATCGTCAATGTAACAAAAGCGAGGAACTAAATATGTAAATTGCGTCTTTGTCAATATACCAAACATAGAACCGCCTGCATATTTTCAAACGGGACTATCTTCCTCTTTGAGCCAAATTATTGTCCACAACTTGACTCGTAAGTGGTGTGGAATCGAGAAATAAAAATATTTTACCGAAAATGAAGCCCAGAAGTTCTTCCATCTGGTTACGCTGACGTATTGTCAGCGTAACCAGGTGAGTAGCAGTGAGCCAAGCTTGAACTCACAATTTGACAATTTACGTGGAGTTTTAATTTACTGTGAAATCAATAAACTTTATTCGGCTGGCTGAACACTCGTCGGAGCTGTTACGCGGAATATACCATACATTTAGTCACGCGGAGCAACGGACAATGACGGAAGAAGTGCAAAACACGGATTTATTACCCGCGGAAAGTGGGTCACGTGCACACTATATTGCAATTTACCCTAAATGGAGAATTTCCCACCATCTGTGGCATTACCTCCGAGTAGGTCGTTATGAAAAATGTAGTTCAAATGAACTTCGGGCCTGAGAAATTTCAAATTCAAAACCATAATGCCGTGGTCACATTTGCTCCGATTTTCAGTACCGGCTCCCGGCCGATGACTATTTTGTTCAAAATTGTAATCAGATTTGAACAAAATATTCAATCGGCCGGGCGCCGTCGTGAAAATCGGTGCAAATGTGACCACGGCATAACCTACAGTGTAAGGTTTTGAGTGACGTTCAAAATGGGTCAAGATGACCTACATGAAGCTAGTTACAATTGGTACATTTATTGTCCGAATTCAAACCTCCATTTCAATATACTGGAATCCTAGATATAGTATAAAGCCGAAGACATGATGTATAGGTATTAGACTGAGGTTTCTTTAACATCACTGTTTGAGATCGTCTAACTAATTCAGAAATCTAGAAATCCGGATTCAGAAATTAACAAGGGAGGGGCAAATTTTGAGTCTGGAAAAAAATGTCCGCCCTTTTTGGGCCCTAAAACCAAAAATTGGACCCAAATTTGACAAATTAATGCCCATTTTAATAAATTGGCCAAAAAGGCCTAAAAATACCAATTATGGCCAAAAAGGTCCATTTTTGAGGCCCTACAAAAGTTTAGGACCCAAAAACTAAAAAAAATCGGCCTATATCATTCTTCTGCAGGTCGGAATTTTTATTTTTTAGGTCTGATCCATCTATTGAAAAACCAAAGCAATTCATCTGACCTTGCACCGAACTAGCTCTCTTCCGTTACCAAGAAATAGGAACATTTCAGGAAGACCGAAAGGGATAACGAGTGTAAATAGGAAGCCATCAAGTTTTTAAAGCATGCCAATGTTGTTATTCATTTCTGAATATAGAAGTTATTGAATATTTTTAAATAATGCAGAAATAGTTAAATTCTCTCACAAATTTACCCCCAACTCGCTTCTATCATGTCTATCCCTCATTTGGATACTACTAATTCGGATGACCAAAATGAGCTGACACCAATGGATCTCACTTAGGCAAATTGAGAAATAACATGGTGAAACTTGAACCTCAATATATAGTAGCCCGGACAGAATTGTTCAATGGTCACTTTTTCTTTAATAACTTTTTTAATTTTCAGTATTATCATAATCTGATCACATATTTGAAAACTAGAGTAAAATTCTGACATACAAAAAAAATATTTAAGGAACATCTCTTAATTTTTTGATATTATAGGTGTTCATAGTATGACTGACGCAAATACAAAATTCATCATTTTGCCTCATATTTGTTCAAAATGGCGGCATATTTTGTGAATTTGAATGTTCAGTTGAAAGCTAATATTTAAAGATTGTCATAGGACTATAGGGCCATGCTGCCACCGTTGCAATCCTGATGTAACGCAGCAACTGACCAGTCATCAAATACAAGAAGTCAAATCCCTCCAAGGGTATATGAAATCAACTCTATTGAAATGTTCGGGGTTGTGTTCAAGAGGATGGGAAAAGGTGGCGCCCCAATGTACGGGATGTGATGAGAGTAGGTTCTTAATATTTTCAAGAGCTCCAAACAGCCATCTCAGAGGCCATTGAAAAGCTGAAGAACAATCACATGCATGCCAAGGCCCAAGGATGGGTTGAGAGGCGTGTGACTGGGAAAGATTACAAACTGTGGCAGTATGACTCTATAGGTGCCCAGGTTCAACGAACTAGGGTTGCTTATCCACTACGAGTAACAATGGAATGACCAAAAAACTTTAAGTGCTGCGACCTTAGCAATATACTGTACATACAATGTACAAACCTTTTTTAGTGCTTGTATACATACAAATCAATTTGAAACAAAAGGTTATAAATGCAGTCCTTACCTCATACCAAGGCAGCAGTCTACATGATTTCGTAGGCCTATGACATTTCTTGAATATTAACTTTAATTTCAACTGAACATTCAAACAACAAAACATGACGCCGTTTTTGAACAAATATGAGACAAAATGGTGAATTATGTATTTGCGTCACTCAGTTATGAACACCTATAATACCAATAAATTAAGAGATGTTCCTTAAATATTTTTTTTGTATGTCAGAATTTTACTCTAGTTTTCAAATAAAAAATGTAATCAGATTTTGATAATACTGAACATTAAAAAAGTTATTAAAGAAAAAGTGACCATTGAACAATTCTGTCCGGGCTACTATATTAAAGGGACAAGGTGCGTAAATGAAGTATCACTTTTGATCTTCATAGTATTTCCAATGGATTAATAAGTACCCGATCTTTCATTTGACACCAAAAACAGCTCAAACAGACCACATCAGAGTTGACACTAGATCACGGGGGATAAGCAAAACGAGGGCGAAGCCACGGACTGCGACTCGCGTAATTCAAAACGAGGTTACAACGCATTATAGCTGAACAATGGCGGTAAGTCCAAACTTAATTTGGAAGGCATGTTAGGATTTGGGGTAGATTATTGGTTTGGATATTCTACAGAATAGCTAGTATGTTCCAGTCGGTGATCAACATATTCATACTCCACCTGCAATGGCATTCTTGGTGCTCGGCTGTCCAATAGTTTAGCATGAACACAAATGAATTCGAAATCTGCCACAAAAAATGTAATTTTGTCAATATTTGTCCCTAATATACCGATTTAAACAAAGGAATCAGAAATGACATCGAATTAATATAATTATTCATGTTCTGTTGTTACAATTACATCTTCGTGTGATATTTGGTAAGCGGAAAACGTACAATTACATAGAAAATTGGAATTTATAATAGTCGCAGTCCATCCATCTGCCCAACGCAGTCCGCGACTCAGTGTTGCTTTATATCTGAAGCTGAACACAATCACAGCCAAAGGTAGATAGCACAATGTGTGTACAGGTGTGGCCGAAATGGAGCAACTTTGGACAAAGGGCTATTTTAATAGACCTACATCGTGTCTCAATCCATTCTGCAAATATATACAAGCTGTCAAATACAGCTGAAATCACGAAGTTATGGTAGCTAGCAATTGATGGACTGTTGGAAAGATCATCCAAAATTACATTAACTCACCAACTCTCCAATTATTTGATATTTTCCTGATATCTTAAATACTAGTTAATGTACCCTTCCCCAACAGCTTTTATTGCATCATCAAAAAGTTAATTGTTTCGCATTTCTACTTCTTATAAAAAGTCTCACCACTATCCAATTATCTATATATTTAACCCTATCCACAAATTGGTTTGTAATAAACATATTACGTTGTCATCTTGCGCTTGACTGTTCTGCCAAATACGCTATTGAATTGCCATATTCAGTTCTAGGTCTTAAACGATACAATATAGCAATTTGGGACATTGATTCAGGTAATAGATATATGTTAATCAACGGATGTCCCTCCATTTTGGCGCTGGGCTGCGGTGTAAAGTTACGCGAGTCGCAGTCCGTGGCTTCGCCCTCGTTTTGCTTATCCCCCGTGTAGATCATGAAAAAATATTTTTGATCTATCAATTTATAGATGTCAAGTTTTTAGCAATATAGAAAGATGGCATTGTTGTTTGCATTAATTTTCCATTCATTTTTGATAGGATTTTCAACCATACGCCATCTTTTAGTCCAAGAGTTATTTAAAAACATACACTTTGTGAAAAGTGGTAATTCACTTCTTTTGATATCTGAACTTGAAATGCTGTTTTCTATGCGAGTAAATTTTTTTTTCACTTCAGTATTGACATTATAATAACATTACATGTAACCATGGGCCCAAAGAGTGACCCTCCGCATCTGTAGGCTACTGCTGTCTCAGCGAGCACTCTAGGCCTAAGTACTGTGTGAGCATTAAAAGACTAGGCTATCAAAAGGTTTCCATTATGCTTCTTAGATCTAAAAATATAATCGTCTGCTGATATTTCATTCATATCTACAGACAAAAAAGATTTATTTTGATGGACAAAATTTAGCCGACGTCGCAAATAATACGTTCGTATTTTTAAAGCAACAGTGCAAGTTAGTGTCCTTATGTCGTAAAATGATATATATGATACCAATCTGATCGTCTAAGTCTACCAATGGATCAACAGCTATATTACGTTTATCCACAGTCATAAGATATCATAAGAATTATTGATTATAATATATACCTCGTATAATTCGAAACCTCGGATTTCGGAAATAATAGCTCTAGATCTACTTCCTGTTTCTTCAGCAAAATGGAAAATAAAGTTCTTGAGTACAAGAAGTATTTGGAAAAATATCCAAATGGCGACAAGGTACAGCTTTCAAACTATTTAAATGTGTTGATGAAGCAATTGCAACTATACACAAGAAATTTCAATTCAAACAGAAACGTATGTGGTTGTTTATTTAGAAGCATACGGTAGCATTTGCTTTAAATAGGGACTATAAAAAAATTAAAAAAAGTCAAGGACTTCGAATTAGACTACTTTCATATTCAGAAATTTGCACATATAATACTCTTTTAGCCGTCTTGGACAGAGAAATTGGTAACTACTTAAACACCCTGAGTTGTACACTGGGTCACTAGCCTACAGCTGGCCTTTTCATAACGGGGCTTCCCTGGGATGAGTTTGGCTGGGACTATCAACAACATAGGCCCCGGGAACATGTATAAAATAGCGAGTCTACATCTGTATTACTACTTCTTCTTTTAGGTGGTCATCCCCAACCAGAATCTTACTGCATTAAGGTCCGATTCGCGAATTTTAAGCTTTGCCAGCTTACCAATTATCACTCAAAAGTAGGATCGATACTTCGTTCAACTTTTGTGTGTATTAATAAATTTTTATACTGTCTATCTCTAGCTTTAAATCACCTGTTAATTCGAAATCATTCCCTTTCGAATTTTGTCCGGACCCGCAGCCATCTTGTTTTTGTCATAGCTGGTTGGGGTGTCACTCCGGTAAATACCACTCGCGGTGTTTTTAATACTTTAAAAACGAAGCCATGCCAACTTCTATGGTGTGTATAGTAGGTTTAAGTGTATGCAATATGGAACCAAGATGTCGACTCGCTATTTTATACATGTTCCCTGGGCCTATGATCAACAATTTGACACAGACGGGGCTGCCCTGGCTATGATGAGTTTGCCTATCAGACTCTTGACTTATCTAATATATAAATACAGTCAAATGGCCAAGACTTATAGTCACGGTCTTGTGAGCGTTGATTACATTATATTTCAAAAGTCGAAAAGTGGTGATGTTATTTATGCATATATATTTCTTACCTCAGTCGATTATAAACAATGTCAGAAATGTTAATCCAAAGTCAAAAGAGACACGATTGTCTCATATTGCAGTAATATACACTTCAATCTTTAAATCAATCAGTATTTCAAAATGTTTGCCATCAGAGCCACAAATCGTGAGTGTTACAAACACATCAATGATTTCACTAAGAATTGGTGTTGTATTGGACATGTTGTTAGGTAAAATGCACTTGGAAATTCCTGCGAGTGAACAGTTAGACTATATCCTCTAGTCTGAAATTTTTTTTGAAATGTTCTGACTATAGCCCATATATGTTAAAATTTGGGATTGAAAATTATTTGTTTACTGTACATAGGAAGTGCCATTCAAAATGGCCGATTGGGTAAATTAATTTGCATATTTGTTACTTCCCCTAGCTTCATTTCCATTTGACAATATGCTGTGTTACTTTTTATAGCATTTAATTGTACCTTACTACTTCATTGAATTGTTATAATGCTTATTTTTTGGAAGTGAAGTTTCCTAAAATTGATAATTGTGTGCAGGAAATTTCCTGTTTTTTTCCCACAGGAGGGACATAATGATCAATAGACTGAATTCTCAGGAAATTCAGTCTATTGGATATAGACTAAGTGATCAGTGACAGCGGGCAAATCTGAAATGACTTGGAGCAGTGCTTCCACTTTAGCAGCAATGTCTCTTAGCTTCTTTGAAGAAAGGCTTTAATGTCACCTTCTTTTCTGTATAAAAATTACACCATCATGAAATAAACCAAAACTTATAACTAAAATATTTGCTGGTACTGTTCATTTTAAATTAGATTTCATATGACTATGACCTTACCAATCACCTATTTTGTATTGTTCTTTTAGGTCATGCGAGTGTTGGAGAAACTTAAGAAAATGGAACTGCCTATAAAAGTTTTACAGGTATGTATGATCAAAAAATTACTCAGTATCATAAATCATATTGATTTGTTTTTGAATTTCATCCCGAGTGCCCATGTTGAAAACAAACAAAGAATTCATATTGAAGAACCATTCACTATCTTAATACAGGTTGACCCAAAAATGTAACACTGTCATTTTGGAATAACTTAATTTTGGTAGAATTTTCTTGAATCTTCTGGCTTACATAGAGAAGTCAATGAAGCAAACAGTGTTGTATGTATATCTCATCTTAATCTTAAGAATTTAGAGAAATCATGTTTTCCATCTAAGCATGCCCTCCATTGAATTGAAAGTTTTGGTAAGCTTTTAGGACTACTCAGAATACTCAGAAAAATATGTGTGAAAATTAAATTCGAGCCGTCAACAGTTGTAGAAATATCAGGTGCTCATACAATATACAGTGATCATCCCAGCATTAAAGCAAGTGGGCGCAGTACCAACCTGAGATTTTATAAACAGGCTTGCACCCACTTGAGATTTCATTTGCATCCACTTGAAAATGAGAAAAATCATGTAAAATGGGCATATTTTGACCAAAATTGGACTGAATTGTGAAAATGAGAATTTTGCACCCACTTGAGAAAAATTCCTGGAGAGAACACTGATGTACAGGTTGTAATCATTTTTGTCACCCTGTATATTATAAAGTGCTGTATGTATGTGTATACAAGTATTTCATTGTATGATCCTAGCCCCATAATTAAGTCCTATACTCTACTGAAATGTAGTTATTTGTCTCTGTTGATAGGCAACCAGTATTGGTAAAACACTGAACAGCTTCAGAAAGCGTGATGGTGAAATTGGTCTCAAAGCAAAGGTGATTGTTGCTGCATGGAAAGAAATGGTTTGTCGAGAAGAGGCTGCCAGAATTGAAGCAAAAATCAAGAAATCACAATCTAAGACAAAACGTGATTCGGAAAAACAACACAAGTCTTCAAAACATAAACAAAGGGAAAGGTTTACACATGATGATGTCACTCCTGAAGTTGATGAACGCAGAGTAAAGACAGAGCCGGAAACAAATGGATACGAACCAAGAAATGCAAATTTATCGATAAAGCAGGAGAATGATTCGAGTGCATTGACTATAAAATCTGAGCCAAAGGATGAAACTTATCCTGTGAGTCTTCAACCTACCATTGTGAAGCAAGAAAAAGTTGATACAGAGGATAAAACTACTATAAATGATAGTATTCAAATCAAAAAGGAAAAGATTGACAAAGGTTGGCAAAATGACTCCACAAAAACGATTGCATCTACAAGTCATCAAAAACTTCAACACTCTGATACTAAAAAAGTACAGCGCACACCCAAAAAGAGTAAAACGATCAATCCATACAGTCAAACCTCTTTTGATGACTACTGTAAGCAGAGTTTTGAACAAGAGTTCAATGCATTCATTAGTGAAGAAGCACTAGATGCAGAACAAAATTCAACGGAACAATTTTTCTCACCAAGATACTGTGACCAAACTGCAAGTGACAATAGATCACCTTATACATCTTTAAATGAAAGGGATAATGATTTAACAAGCAGGAGGGACCACACTTCATCAAACAAAGCAGATGACATATCAAATTATTCTGATGAAAATGACTATAACTCAGCAAGTGAAAGTGAGCAAATATCAGGGAGTAGAAGTGAAGGACAATCTGGAAACTCTGATGTCAAATCCAATTCCAAAAATAGAACTGAATTTGCATCATTGAAAGATGATGAGAAAAACAAATATGAATCATCGAGTCATGACAAGCACAAATCATCAAGTTATGACAAGCACAAATCATCAAGCAAAGGTGACCATAAATCTTCAAGTCACGGTGAGCGCAAATCCTCAAGCAAAAGTGACCATAAATCCTCAAGTAAAAGTGACCATAAATCCTCAAGCAAAAGTGACCATAAATCTTCAAGTCATGGTGACCATAAATCTTCAAGTAAAAGTGACCATAAATCTTCAAGTCATGGTGACCATAAATCTTCAAGTAAAAGTGACCATAAATCTTCAAGTCATGGTGACCATAAATCTTCAAGTCATGGTGACCATAAATCTTCAAGTAAAAGTGACCATAAATCTTCAAGTCATGGTGAGCACAAATCTTCGGGTAAAAGTGACCACAAATCCTCAAGCAAAAGTGACAACAAATCTTCAAGTAAAAGGGACCATAAAACATCAAGCCAGGGTGACCACAAATCATCTAGTCATAGTGACCATAAATCATCCAGTCATGGTAACCATACATCTTCAAGTCATGGTGACCACAAATCTTCAAGTAAAAGTGACCATAAATCTTCAAGTCATAGTGACCATAAACCTTCAAGTCATGGTGAGCAAAAATCCTCAAGTAAAAGTGAACACAAATCTTCAAGTAAAAGTGACAGTAAATCATCTAATCATGGTGACCATAAATCTTCAAGTCAAAGTGACCACAAATCTTCAAGTAAAAGTGACAGTAAATCATCTAATCATGGTGACCATAAATCTTCAAGTCATAGTGACCAAAAATCTTCAACTAAAAGTGACAGTAAATCATCTAATCATGGTGACCATAAATCTTCAAGTAAATTAGAAAATGAATCATCAAGTGAGCACAAATCATCTGGAAAAGACAATAATCAAAAATATTCGAATGAAGAGCATTCCAATCAATATTGTAAAGATGAAGACAAAGCTGTACATGAGGTATACATTGACAGTAGTCAGAAATCGTCAAGTACATTTAAAGAAAATTCATCCATCAACAATGATCTTGCCTCATTAAGCAGTCAAATAGACCAACTTTTGAATTCAAGTGATAACCCCTTAAAGACAGACAACAATATAAGTGAATCTAAACCTTCGGTATCAATACACAAACATAAAAAGATTACAAAGTACCATGATTTGAGTGGATCTGAATCAGATGATGATCAACAAAACAAAAGGGCTAAAGAAAACAATAAAGCTCGGGCACATATGATAAACGACAAAGCAGTCAGTGAAACGTCTGGTGTAAATGAGAATCTGATTGACCCAAGTGCAATAGATGAAGGAGATATCGGTCTTTCTTTTGACGATTTCTTAAACTACGATGCTGTTGCTACAGGGAAGAAAGTCAAAAAGACGAATGAAAAAACAAAAGAAGAATCCAGGTTAAGCATGGAAGCAATAAGGGAAAAGTTTAAAGTCAAGAAAAAATCCGATGGAAATAAAGATAGCTCTCAAAATGACTTAAATGATATAGGATCTAATGAGTCAAAGAAGCATGACAGCTCAAGTAGTAGTAAGCACAGCAGTAGTAAAGACACTAGTAGTAAGCACCATAGTAAAGACCACAGAAGTAAAGATAGCAGTGGTAAAGATGACAGTAAACACACCAGTAGTAAAGACAGTAGTAGTAAACAAACTACTTCAAGCAGTAGTAAACACAGCAGCAGTAAAGACAGTAATAGTAAACACACTAGTTCAAGCAGTAGTAAACACAGCAGCAGTAAACACAGTAGTAGTAAACACACTAGTTCAAGCAGCAGTAAACACAGCAGCAGTAAAGACAGTACTAGTAAACACAGCAGTAGTAAAGACAGTACTAGTAAACACACCAGTTCAAGTAGCAGTAAACATGGTAGTTCAAAAGACCATGATAAAAAACGTTCCAATTCATCAACACATCATAAAAGCTCAAGTAAAGACAAACATTCGAAGTCTGACTCTAAGCATAAAGACTCATATAGAGAATCAAAGAAAAATCATTTACTAAACATGGGGTCTGAATCAGATGCTGACTTTATGGACTCTGACTCCAACTCTGCTCTACTGTTGTGTGGAGCTAAGAAACGTAAAGCTGACCTTACTAAGTTGGATGTCCCTCCTCCTCCAACAAAGCAGGTATATCTATGGGAACATTTATAAAAGCATTTTAAGGTTAATATTTAGATTGTGTGTGCAACTTAATCTATTTGTAATATTTTTATAGAGCTGTTTTTATGTCGCCACCACAATTACCACCAAGAAGTGCTTCTTGTGACCAGCATTTAGTATCTGTAACTAATGTACTACCTGTCTTAGAATTTTAGGCAATATACAATACCTGTTTTTTTATTTACATACTTTTATACTATAATGCAACCAGGTTATGTTTTGAGTTTGTATTACTTGTATCTCCGAGGACTTATAAAAAGTATAATCTTGTATATTTTAGGTAAAGCTGTCTAGTAGTGATATATTTGGAACACTCCCGGAAATCTCCCCCAACTACAAGCCCCTGCCTTACCTACCCATGGGTATACCGTCCAAAAATAATGGTAACATTGTTTAACAACATAAAACATGATTTAGAAATAATTTAATTTCTTAAACTTAGTCAACAACTTGTTAGGAAATTGATAAAAGTAATACATTATCCAAGCAATAGTACAAAAATGATACATTATCCAAGCAATAGTTCAAAAGTGATACATTATCCAAGCAATAGTTCAAAAGTGATACATTATCATTATCCAAGCAATAGTTCAAAAGTGATACATTATCCAAGCAATAGTTCAAAAGTGATACATTATCATTATCCAAGCAATAGTTCAAAAGTGATATATTATCCAAGCAATAGTCAAAAAGTGATAAATAATAATTATCCAAGCAATAGTTCAAAAGTGATACATTATCCAAGCAATATTTTCATTTTGTATTGTTTGGTATCAAATCATAAATATTTATTTTCTACTCCAAGCATTCAACGAGAAGGATAGTGTATGCCAAGCAAGTATATATGTTTTACAGGTACATATAACTAAAGGCATTTTCTAATTTTTCTTACATTCCAGAATCTATCCCTGTGGACATAGGCAAGAAGAGTCATTCCCGAACACAGGTCTATTCTGGACGTAAACAAAACCTCACCGAAGTTCCAAGTCTCTTTGATGCATGCATGAGAGTTGTTATGGACAATATTGATGGTAAATACATTTTATCATGCCATCTTTTGATATTTCTTTTTCCGTACTTGAACTAAAATCCTGATTCTATATTCATATAGACAAAGAATGCCACACCCATATGTCTATTAATCCATTTGTCTGGAATCAGATTTACATATCAGTCTGATTCAGTTCATATTTTATTATGATTAATTCACAACTTATATTAATAGGTGATAATATTGACTTTCATGATATCAAAGATAATTGCCAATGATTAGCTTGTATAAGGGCAATTATCTAAGTGCATTACATGTACATCTATATTGTTCAATAACATGTCCCCTACCCTAAACAACAGCTGTCCCCTAAACAACAGCTTCGCGCAAGTTGTTACACTTTGGATTCTCATGTTATGTCATGTGGTGAGCACCAGTAATCGGTTTTGATTTTTTCAGATATTGATGGGTTTCCAACATACATCCCATATGATGTTATCAAGCCTGTATTGCAGAAGTGCAATCCTTCCCAGCTCTATAATATTGAAGACTGTAACCCAGTAAGTAATGCAAGTTATGTCACTACTACAAGTGGTAACATATTGTTATGGTCTCCAACTTTTTTGTGGACATTGTTCGGTGGTTGGTGTTTGGCATTTGGTTGTTGGTATTCGATGGTCGACATCTGTAACAACCAAAATACTAATAATAAAGTAGGTAAAAATTGGATTTAACAAGGTCAGAGAGAATTGGGAAAAACTGATTATCCTCCTGACATGCTGTTTGTCCGTCCATATGTTCATCCTTCTGTATGGATGGTAACTCTAAAACCAGTTTATGGAATTGATTTAAATTTAAAGGCTTATTCCTTATGTTAACAGAACCTCTGCTCGGGAATGAATTGCCAATATGGCTGCTTAATTCAAATTGGCAACCTTATTTTATGAAAAATGGAATCCTTGATAGCTCAAATACCAACCAGTTGACTTATTTGGTTCATATTTCATAGGCCAATGCTTTATGGATGTAGGAAGTCTGCTCAAGAAGGAATTCCAATATGGTGTCACATTGGTGTAGATTTTGCCAAAAGCAGACAATACATCCTGGTTATTTCTATTATGTATGTAAAAAATGATGAGTGATTTGATAAAGTTGGATGTTCTGGATTATGTCACCAAAATTACTAGTTGTGTTCCTGTTCCCGCATTACAATTTTCAGTATTTCAAAATTCAGTGTTTGACATTTAATGTTCATAATGTCTTCTTCCAGTATCTCATTGAGGACACGGAGCAACTGTGGAAGTTACATGCAGAACGAGACTTCAGAAACAAAGAACCAAATAAAGATGACTGTGAAAGTTATAGAGAAATGTACCTGGTACGGAAATACTGTTTTTAAATATGATAATGAGTCCATACATATAACTTTTGCATTTTATATTCGAGATTTTTTATTTGAAAATATTGTGACAATGTTTTAATACTTTGGAGCTCTGTATGTCATGGATAAACTCTTCTACTCATATCAACAAAGAATTATTTTTTTGTATTTGTTATAGAAACTGCATGACGAGCGTGATGCAAGGTTGAAAACGCTTACCAGTTCCATAAGTAGAACTGCCCAAAAATCCCAGAAAGATGGTAAGACATACAGTAAATTTGGCTATTAGACATTACATGTTGTATTGGTTTTCAAAACCTAGTGTGATATGTTGATAAATTGATTTAGAGCCCTCAGTAAAATGGATATTATCCAGAAATAACATCTGCTGTATCATGTGTGAAGAGACTCAAAACATTATCAGACATAAAAAAACACTAAGTCGTCTCAGCCTAATAGGAAAATAGCCAATAATATAAGTGTAAAATTCAATGGAATTATCAACAAGATGCATTTAGTATTTTTAGTACCATGCAACAATTTTAAGGTATTTTTATTTTATTTCAGTGAGGAAGGCTAAATTAGCATATGTTGATACATTTGTGAAACCCCCTAGAGAAGTTTTAAGAAACCAGAAGAGATATGGCACGGCAGGTCCTGTTGCAACAGATCCTTTGTCCAGACTGTCAAGCCATGGGGGCCAGAAGTCAAAGCCAGGACGGAGTGTAGGTCAACATAGAAATCGTGAAATGGAACAAAACCTTGGAGCAAGCTTGAGGCGAAATAAAGGTAAGAACTTACTTTAGGAGTATTGAAGGAAATGTGTTTCAGGACCAGGGTGTGGTCCTGACCAGTTTCTTTTTTTGGTCTGGACCAGCTTACTTTTTCGACATGTGTAGGAAGATTACATTGCAACTGTTTTGACTAACATGTCTTAAATCCTTATGTAAAACGTAATCTGAGGCATTTATGACCACCAAGTTGTTCTGGATCTCCAGATAGATAGGGCAACCCTAAATGCAGCACAAGATAACAATGGATATTTTGTAAAATTTGTAATTGCCCTCATATCATTGAACACTTTCAACTCCCTGATAATGAAGCATTTATTATACTGTAATTGTTACAAATGAAATAAAGCGAAAAAACAGTGGGATACATTATATTATTTGTTCACTGAAATTATTTTAAGACCAGTGGCATGTCCAGTACTTCGATAAAGGTGGTGCACTTATTTTATTGTTAAATTAAAAAATACGAAGTTGACATTTAGATATTCCAATGCCAATCCGTGTTGACACTGAACAATCTGTATTATTAATTTGTAAAAGTTTAACCAGACTGTCTGATTATTTTTCAGAGGCCAAAAGGGTTGCCCCAATGATGCAGAAAACCCTACAACTGATGAAGAGACTCAAGAGATGATCTTAACATAGCATCACCATCTCACCATCTACAAATAACTCAAGAGCCTATCTATATGCCAATCGTGATATTGCCTCTATATTACACAAGCAAATTCAGCCTGCTAGTCTAAATCATGCCAAATCAAGAGGGCTTGGAATGTGACTAAAGAGATGATGGCATCTTGTAAAACTTGAAAACCTGCCGTTATGCTATGTTTAGTGATATAATGTTACTCAAGCAAATTCAGCCTGCAAGTGTTATATATAGCCTAAATCGTACCAAATCAAGAGGGCTTGGATTGTGCAATGAACAGCTATAGATTGCTCATTATCTGGCACAAATTGTCAGAGTAACTTAAATAACTAATTATTGGAAGTGGAATTACATGTATTTATTTTATTTTATATGCTAAGCATTACAAGCAGTTGGCCTAAGCCAACAAAATGATTGCCATTTGTTTGTATATTACAAAGCAGGAAATGCAGTTGGAGCAGAGAACTCTGCCAAAATGATATGCCAATAGAACATACTGGAAGTGACTTGAAATCTCCCTGTATTATGTTGTTGGACCAGATTTATTTGTATGATATAATCTAGGTGATCACTCCAGTTAATACCTACCCCTAGTAAACACAAATTATCCAAACATACTCTATTAACATTTGTACAGAAAACCCTTTGTAATGGACACCTACTTATAGTGAACACTTCTTTTGTGTCTCCAAAGGCATTCCCAACCTTACACCGTATACTGTACTTCTACTTCATTTGGCAGCCAAGTTAATTTGGTTGATCTGCCAAATTGTTAAAGTCTGCCAAATTAAGTAGCCACCAAATTCCCTGGTAATTTGGTACCACGTTAATAAGTACAATTAGCGCATTCTAATATTGCAAGTCCAACAAATAAAGTTAGACGCCATATGTTCAAAACAGCAAATTCGCCAAAATAAGTGGCGCCAAATTAAGTAGAAGTACAGTACCATGGTTGAATCAGCATCTAGAATATACAGCTACTTAGAGTAAGGAAACAGACTTAAATGCAACACAAGGCTCACTTCCAACTACCTGCACAAATGTGGCTTACAAAGACAATATGTTATTTGATAAACTTGCTCAAAATAATTTATAAACAAGACTTGTAATATGGACTGCAAATATGTTTGAATAATGAAATAATGATTAATATACTGTGTAGTATCGTTCCCTTCAATTAAGATTATAAAAATTGTATTTGTTAAGACAAATATTTTCCCTATACTAGTAAATGTGTATGAATGTATTTTTATGATACAACAGTATTCCAGGATTTTATTTTAGTTCATTTGTATAGTGGTGTGATATTTTTAATTTTAGACACTTGGATTGGTTGTAAATTCTCATTGTAAAGCAAACAGAAAGATTCAGTAATGTGGTTTTAAATGTGTTGTAAAAAGACCATACTAGGCCTCTCTACAAAATGAAATCATCATACCATTGTCATTTATCCTAGAATCAAGGTATTTATTACACCTCTAATGTGAGAAACAAATCCGAAAACAGCTGCTTAAAAAGTCATTTTGACCAAAGTCAGGAGTCCTGTATAGTATACCCCAACAGACCCATGAAAAGACATTCCCAATGAACTGATGAATTGAATTTATTGTTAAGATTTTTCCAAATTATTATTGTGAGACTGAACCAATATAATAACATCATATTTAATTGGAAACACATGATTTACTGTTACTTTGTTGTATATTATTCTCTAGATCACTTATTGAAATTCCCATTACATACCCTCCACTGGTGGATCCAGAACCTAACAAGGGGGGCCAAATTTAAAATCTAAAAAGTTTTGGGCCATGGAAGCCAAAATTTGGGCCCAAATTTTGAAAGTTTGAGGTCCATTTTTTGATAATTTAGCCTCAAAAGGCCAAGTAATGCCCATAAAGGCCCACTAATTGAGGCCCTACAAAAAGAATTCTGGGCCCCATGCCCCCCTGGGTCTGCTAGTGCCCTCCCAATTTTATAAAGTGTGCAATACTCATAATTATGTATAGCTTATTATTATTTATAAAAAATGTTTTATGTTCACTAGAAATTGGTTGCATGTGTGAATATTATTGTTTGAACATATTTAATGGAAAAAAGAGATCACCAAAAATGTGAATTGTTATTTTGTTGAATGCAAGCATCATATGCATGCTTTTATGATGGAATTTGAATGTAAATAAATAAATAAATTTTAAATTATGCAGAAATTACAGATTTATGTTCACTTTTCCTATCACTCCATGAATCTTATCTTATGAACAGACAAGTTGTTGACATCATGTTGCTTTAAAGTTGAGACTTGTGTATAGTTCTACTGAATCAAATAATTAATAAGTCTCTTGTTCAAGGGACAAGAAAGGATAGGTACTAGTTTACACAGAGCCAGATCCAGCCCCCATTGGTAGTAGGCTCAAAGGATAAATGGGTATATTTATTGAGCCTATACACCACTGAAGAAGACAGTGATCTGGCAGAGGTTCGTGCTAGTTTAGAGGGAAATTATTCTTGCAGCGCTCGGTTGAAAAGGAAAGTTTGATCAGCATATGATGATTGACCTGTTGGCAACCCTTTGAATTAATTACATGCAATTTTTTACATATTTTCTTTTGTGAATTGGCATTTGTTACGAAAGAAAGAAATATGTACTGGAAAGATCTTGCTAATATTTGTACCCAACTATGTTCTATCCCGGGGATGTACATTGGTAGTTTTCGTTCAGTGCAACAAATCAATAAAGGACAAATATTCAGTCCGCAAAGAAAACAACATGGCGTCCAAAGATTCTCAAAATGTCAATGGTAAGTTTGTTTTTAGATTTTCTGCTATATCATGGCAATACCGTGGTACTGAATTAATTATAAGCATTATCCTATCTCATGTCCCATCACAGGTCCTTCAATTTTAGTGAAATTATATTAAATTTTGGTAGATTTCATGAGAAAATGTATGTATCCTTTACTTCCGGGTGTAATAATTGAATGTGTCAATCAATGTAATTTCATTGGAGGCTGATGGGAAAGAAGTAGACAATCTAGTCAACACAGTATAAAAGATCTTTTATATTGTGTTTGATACTTCTTTTCCCTCAGCCTATGGTCATATTCATAAACCATGAATCGGAAAATGCAACATCGTTGTCAATATCTCCATAAAATTGACAAGCCATGATGCTTCAGTTGGCATTGGGTTTACGAATAAGACCGACCACCGCCCAGTCACTCTCCACAGTTCGGTACATTAGGTCGTCGGCTGTTGGTCTTTTACATACAGATGAATAGATGTAAAATTAGAAGAGGGAAATAAAACTAAAAACAAAAGTTCACCATCACTGCTACACACCTAGTTACACAGACGTATCATCAGTGTATCATGGTGGAACTACTTCCGGGACTAGGTTTCGGTAAGATTTTTTTATTTCCCGATTTACACCTACTTATAAGTCACATTGTGGATAATAATTTGGCTCGAAGTTAAGAAAGATAGTCTAGTTTGAGAATGTGTCGATGGTTTTAGGTTTTATATGTTAACGAATACACAATTCACGTATTTAGTCCCTCGCTTTTGTTACACTGACGAACGACCAATATCAGTGTAATATTGGCAATATTAATGCCAATCGTCAGTGTAACAAAAGCGAGGGACTAAATGTGTGAAATGCGTCTTCGTTTACATACCAAACCTAAAACCATTGACACATTCTCAAACTAGACTATCTCCCATAACTTCGAGCCAAATTATAATCCACATCGTGACTTATAAGTAGATGTAAATCGAGAAATAAAAATATCTTACCAAATTCAAATCCCGGAAGTAGTTCAGCCATGATACACTGACGATACGTCTGTGTAACTAGGTGGGTAGCAGTGACCATGTGAGCTAAGATTTTCGACATCTAAAAGGTCACTCGACTTTTTTGTGATTTTGAATCACAGAAAGCATTCTGAAGTTTCAAATTGGCGCCATGTTTAATTTTTGTCATCCGCCTAATGTTAGACGGTGAACACCGCCTCTAATGCGTTAGATTGTCGTATGGACTTGCATTAGATCCAACACGATCCTCAGAGACCCAGAATGAATGCACCTAGCCTAATGTATACCACTTACCTTTTATTGATTCTTTCATCATAAGATTCTTTTGTAAGTACGACAATGTGAATTCATTTTTTGGAAGTTTTTTTGCAAAAAAGTCGAGTGACTTTTTAGATGTCGAAAATCTTAACTACAGTATGTAGGAAACTATACTCTAAAAACCTTCCTGTTCGTCAGTCAAAATATCATTTTTTAGAAAAAGTTTTAATGCCTCAATTGAATCATTTGGTCTACTTACTCATATGTACTTCCCTTATTTTTGAAGTCAAATGCTCGTCCATTCCATAGTCAGTAATAGTGATACTCGAAATTGGATCCAAATGCTGTAAGAAACTCAGTCATTTTCTTCAGAAAATCTTCTCTTGCCCTCTGTCTGAATGACGTCAGAGTTCATAGAAGTTCAAACTCTTGACAAAATTCATGGAATCTCCTCTCATTTCAGGGAAACTACTCTGTTCTAAATGACTTGCTTCTTGCCTTTGAAGATTGCTTCAAACATTTTATGATCAATTGATTTAAATGAGGCAAAGAGTTGACTTATTACAATAATCATTTTATGATCAATTGATTTAAATGAGGCAAAGAGGTGAATTATTACAATAATCATTTTATGATCAATTGATTTAAATGAGGCAAAGAGGTGAATTATTGCAATAATCATTTTATGATCAATTGATTTAAATGAGGCAAAGAGGTGAATTATTGCAATAATCATTTTGTGATCAATTGATTTAAATGAGGCGAAGAGGTGAATTATTTCAATAATCATTTTGTGATCAATTGATTTAAATGAGGCGAAGAGGTGAATTATTACAATAATCATTTTATGATCAATTGATTTAAATGAGGCAAAGAGGTTAATTATTACAATAATCATTTTATGATCAATTGATTTAAATGAGGCAAAGAGGTGAATTATTGCAATAATCATTTTATGATCAATTGATTTAAATGAGGCGAAGAGGTGACTTATTACAATAATCATTTGATGATCAATTGATTTAAATGAGGCAAAGAGGTGAATTATTACAATAATCATTTTATGATCAATTGATTTAAATGAGGCGAAGAGGTGAATTATTACAATAATCATTTTATGATCAATTGATTTAAATGAGGCGAAGAGGTGAATTATTACAATAATCATACATAGACCAATAGGCTAATCAATGTAGATATCTTCTATATTTGGATTTCGTACCTGTTGTTATTTGTAGTGGTATCAAGTGATGAGGAACCTGATACTGGCCCCTCAGAGAACCAGAAGGCAAAGGAAATAGCTCTGATTGATCCAAATGTCATAGTGAGTATCAGAATTTGTATAATCAAAGGTGCTGACTTGATTGAACTTGATTGTGATCAATTTCTTGAGAGAATGTATAAATACGACAAACAATTATGACGTGTACGATAGATTGTGTCTCATGCCATCTCTCTTGAAAATAGTTTGAGTGTGTATTCACAAGAAAATATTTCAACTAGTGATGTTCTTTTTATTATGTAATCTATTTTTATGCGGTATCTAGTGACATGTTGTCAGTTGATGCAAGTTATGATCATGGTTATCATGCTAATAAGCTCTACCACTATTGATATTCTGAATGAAAACCCTCTTTAGTAAACACATGAAACCAATATTTGGGTCAAAAGTTGGCCCTTACCTGTCAGTTTCAAATTACCAATCTCCTCAGCAGCAGGTAATAAGTAAATCCTAATTGACCTTTTGCGAACAGAATTCAAGTTTTTTGTTTGTGGATACTGTTGTCATGTATTTCGTCTTATTGGTATGACGTCATATAACATGTTATTATGCACCTCATTAAAATACTCAAATCTGATTGGTTCTTAGTTGCTTGTAATTTGGCAATACTCTGCTCTTTTCTGAAAACTGCCGGATATTTTTTTAATATCTGACCCTTTCGAGAAAAAGGGTCGGATATTTTTTTCAATGTTTTTGCAACATTCCCACTTCAGAGTTTTATTTCTTAATAACTGGAGTACTGCTTAAAGCTTACATCTGAAACTGGCGGAAAATAGAAGAAAAAATGCACTTAATCAAGCACAATTACCCTTATCATTCAAAAGTTACATATAATTCTGCAAGAACGTATCGAATAAATAAAAATTAAATTCCCGGGGCAAATATTTTCCTCCAGTGTAGCGAATAAACTGGCCGGAAGTCGTCTGAGTTTTGAAAGAAAAAAAAAATAAATGTCAAAATAATGTCAACTAAACGACAGTTTAAGCCTGTGCTCCAGTAAGTACTCCACTTAACTTTGATTGGGAGGTGCATAATAAAACAAATACTGGATGATCAGGAGCTGGATATGGCCAGAATACCTATCCTCGAAAAAGTATTGGGCTCGGCTACCGCCTCGCCCAATATTTTTTCTCGAATAGGTATTCTGCCATATCCAGCTCCTGATCATCCAGTATTTGTTTAATATTAGACATGATGGAATCACGAAATGACGGACACGTGGCAGTTTTGAGCTAAAAATACTATCGTTTCTTTTCTGAAAGCAATGGGTCGGATATTTACCAGGTATGCCGATTTGACTAGATCATGAGTTTATCTTTATATGTGTGAAGTTTCGGTGAAATTCATACAAAACATCGATGCCTATAAGCACCCCCGTTTTTATCAAAATTGGGGGGTGCTTAACCGCTGTCTAAATCATGTCAGTAGGATCTAAGACTTGGCATGTGCTTAGAATGGATGTTGATTTAGTCAAATCGAGCACTTTCGTGAAAAATAAATCAATAAAGCACGAAATATAGAAGATAATCTCTCAAAATCAAACATCTAATGCTGAGTAGCCTAATTGTGACGTCACTACAAGATAGAATGCATTCGGTGAACGCAAATCATCAATTGGGTAATCATTATTTCAATGCATGAATATTATCTTATAATCGAAAAAATCTTGCTTGACAAGATAGGCCAAGACAAGGGACATAAAATTCTCCCAGTATCATTTTGAAAAAATGTCACTTAATAATTAATCCAATGATGGATTTGCCTCACTAGATCTCATTCTGCCTTTAATTTTTAGAATATATTTGTTGAAACTATTCCAGGATATATCAGTACTTTAATTTTGGAAGCTTGATTACCCGGTGGTTTCACCCCAATATACTTCTTAATACCCATGTGCCGCCCCAAAGACCCCCTTTTGAGCATTTTTTCCATGTCAATTTCCTCTCAAGATTGAAGGTTTCCATGTTTTTCCTCTGAGACTTATAAATGACTAAAAAATCAACTTTTCTAGTGATTTGTTCCAGGCCTCAGCAACAGATTTAACGAATTTAATACAATTTCTAGAGAAAAACTGAATTTTGACTTAAAAAGGGTACTTTCTCAGACAATTTCCATGATTGATTCCTCTCAATTTCACCAATTTACATGTTTTATGCTCAAAGCCAAAATTGACCCTGCTGCACATACCTACCCAAATTATTTGGAGTGAACCCCCCGGGCTTGATTATTTCTCTGGAACCCTGTTCATTCAAAGGTAAAACTACATAGTGTTTGAAATACATAATTTAAATCTATTATATAAAATATATTTTCCTCAGACATGTACATGTATTTACATTTAGGACTTGGATCTTAACCATACGAGGATAGGAAAGATAGAAAAACTTGAGGCACTAACCAAAGTTGAGGTAAGTAAATTCCTATGAGTATTGCATAATGATATAGTATAGATACTAAAAAGAGCTCTTCAATTGTAGTATTTTAACAGATGTACCCTGATGTCCAATCAACATCATTCGAGTATCTCTGTGTTCCTGACACGTTTGGGCATCCGGTAATGACAATGTCTACCCAATGTTTGCACGCGAAATTGACGTAATTCATGACTGAAATCCGGAAGACAAAAATATGTGATATTCTTTCAGAATTGTTTATACATAATAACTATTTACAAAAATGTTCCTGAGACACAAATCCATTTAGATAAGGTTTGAGTTAAAGTCGAAAAGCCCCAATAAGACAATACAAACCCAGATATAACCTGGAAGACTGCAGATTTCATGTAATGATTTACGTTCATGTCAGCAAGTAAAGTACATATAATCCTCATATAAAACACTGGCCTACGTGACATGTAATAACATGTTCAAACTGAAATATAGAAAATTTTCAACATAGCACTTGCTTCCATTTTCTGTATCCCCCTCTACCCGCTTAATACGGAAATGTATCTTCAAATAAAACCTTAGCCAAGTAGATTAGAGTCTCTAGAACACTTTTGTAAATAGTTTTCACAAGCAATATTGTTTGTGAATCTCAAATTTTGTCTTCCCGATTTCAGTCATGAATTACATCACTTTTGCGTGCAAACTTTGGGTAGACGTTGTTATTCCCGGGCGCCCAAACATGTCAGGAACACATAGATACTTGAATGATCTTGATTGGACATCAGGTTGCAGACAAATCATAATTTTACTGAGTGGCTTCACGAAATAATAAAAAGGCTAGCTATTTTTCTAAGTGTGACCACTTTCAAACCGCCACTGTGATCAACAGTTCATATACATGTATATCAATATCTCGATAAGATCATGTAAGTTTTGATCCATTGACTGCTAGCCATATAAGGCAAAACATCACTGACTTTGTTCACTTATATATTGTTATAATTACAGACAATCTGCTTTCGCCAGAACCTCATAAGTAAGCTGGAAGGACTTGACACGCTTGGAGACACACTGCGTGAACTAGATGTCTATGACAACCAGATTACTCAAATTGAGGGTATCCAGAATCTAGTTAATCTTGTGTAAGTACTCTTTTATGTAAATGTTTATCTTGAAGAGGAAAATATTTTTTCCATCCTTTGTTGCATGGTTGCCAATGTCTTCTACTCAAAACCCACAACAATTTGTCACTAAATTCTGCATACTACAGAGTGAGCCAAAAAAGGTAACCCAAACAAATGTTAATTATTCAGTTATCTAGTAGTTTCCAGCGCTTGCATTAGGTTAGAAAATTTGTGAGTCCCAAGGACGCAATTTTTTTAAAAAAGTGTATCCTTTGAAAAAAAAGTGTGTCCCCTATTACTTGTCATATTTTCAGTTTTTGATTTAAGTATGGACTGAATAAATGCATATTCGTTCAATCGACAATGAATACATTTTATTTCATGAATAACCTAATATTTGTTTCTGAATAGGAAAAACTGTGCCGTGTCATGGTTTCAAATCTAAAAATAAACTAAGTCGAAAAAATTCGAGAGAATCATGATTATTTGTAAATATTCAACATGTTGAGCCTTATTTACGATTCAAATAAAGGTGAGAGATCATAATTATTTGTTTTTGTTAGGTATCGTTGTAAACACATTGTAGTATTGACCTAAAAACATTTGCGTCCAAAAAACGGAAATATTTTCAATTTTTGCGTTCTCCAAATTATTTTTGAGTCCTTAACATGTACGGGACGCCGTTAATGCAAGCCCTGAGTTTGGGTTACTTTTTTGGGTCACCCTGTATTTTCACTGGACTCGGTATTCAGTATGAATGTCACTATTTGTATATTATTCAAATAGTTATGCAAAGCATGCAATTCCTATATGAAATTAGTTTCTGATTTGCCTGGAGCTATTTGTGTTTGTCATGGAGCTATTTATGTGCCTATGGAGCTATTTGTGTGTCTATGGATGCTATTTTATCTTGTGTTGGTGGATAGTTAACAATTTGAGCTGATTGTTGTGTGTTATCCATCACTACGGTAACCTCTTCGTGTGCCAGTTGCTCCTGCAAATTATAAAAGAAAACGATAAGTTCAAAAGTAATTAACAAAATACATAAACAGTCATGTTGTTCAGAACTGAACAAGTATCAAAATGCATCCACGTCTAGGCACCAACAATAAAAAGAGGTAGTTTTTGGAAAATATCTTTGACTTTGGACTTATTAAAATATCATACCTTTGAATACAACCTCCAGATAGCCATAAAACAAATAACTGCAGATGTTACACACAGAGCCCCCTCCACAATTGAGATGAAAACCAGCACTGCGTTAATTGCAGCATCTTTCTCCTGAATAAGATGTAGTATATTGAAATATATTCTGTCATAACAGAGATCTAAAAGGACAATTGTTTGGAGTGATCTCAGTTTGCAGGACCATATGGAAAAGTTTCAAGTTATTCAAAGTCAGATTATTCATTATTCTACTTGGCTTATGTTAAGTGGGTCACAAAGATGTTATGATCAAGCAAGAACAGGTTATATGGCTATACTGTACAGGGTTCTCACTAGGCTTTTAGAAACTGGCACAGTACCATTCTCTCTTGTGTTCAAACCTGACTGGACCATTCTCTTAATTTCTCTAGCCCATCCTATGAATTGCACCAGGCTCTGATATTTTTTAATTTTGTACCATTCTTCCTCTTTCACTTCAATTATTAAGCTATATCCCCTCAAAACATAAGATTAGGTATTCACTACTCCTTATGTCTGAAAAATCAGCAATTTTTAGCTGATTGCTTAATATTTCAAGAGGGAGAGGTAGTTTGGTGAGTTTTTAGCTCACATGGTGAGCTTTTGCAATCACTCACTTGTCCGTCTGTCCATCTGTCCGTCTGTCCGTCTGTCAACAATAGTGGCACGTTTAAAAACCTCTGTCGATAGAATTCCTGTTTTAAGGTATTTCTGTTCAACATCAATACAGAAAACTCCCCTATGACTCCTGGTTCAAAAGCTCGCCTATTTTCAAAATGGCCGCCACTTTTGTCTCACGAAATTCACTTTTGATCCATTTCCTAGCTTTACAAATAATTTCAGGGGTCCTACATTGTAAAAATCCATGTCAATGTAAAGGGTAGATATATGAAATAATTTTGTTACAAAAAATCAGCGAAAAATTATATCCATTTTTTTATTTTCAGCCATCTTAGTTAACATTGATTTGTCTATCTGACTCACGAAATCCACTTTCCGTCAATAACAGTGGCACGTTTTAAAACCTCTGTCGATAGGATTCCTGTTTTAAGTTATTTCTGTTCAACATCAATACAGAAAACTCCCCTATGACTCCTGGTTCAAAAGCTCGCCTATTTTCAAAATGGTCGCCATTTTTGTCTCGCGAAATTCACTTTTGACCCATTTCCTAGCTTTACAAATAATTTCAAGTGTCCTATATTGTAAAAATCCATGTCAATGTAAAGGGTAGTTGTTTGAAATAATTTTGTTACGAAACATCAGCGAAAAATTATATCCATTTTTTTATTTTCAGCCATTTTAGTTAACATTGATTTGTCCATCTGTCTCGCAGAATCCACTTTTGGACCATTTGCCTTAAACCCTCTGTTGATAGGATTCTAGTTTTAAGTTAATTTTGTTCAACATCAATACAAAAACTCTCCTATGACTCTTGGTTCAAAAGCTGGCCTATTTTCAAAATGGTCGCCATTCTTGTTTCGCGAAATTCACTTTTTGCCCATTTCCTAGCTTTACAAATAATTTCAGCTGTCCTGCATTGTAAAAAGCCATGTCACTGTAAAGAGTAGTTGTATGAAATAATTTTGTTACAAAAAATTGGCAAAATATTATATCCGTTTTTTTTTATTTTCAGCCATTTTAGTTAACATTGATTTGTCCATCTGTCTAGCGAAATCCTCTTTTGGACAATTTGCTTAAAACCTCTGTCGATAGGATTCCAGTTTCAAGTTATTTTTGTTCAACATCAATACAAAAAACTCCCCTATGACTCCTGGTTCAAAAGCTTGTCTGATTTCAACATGGTCGCCATTTTTGTCTCGCGAAATTAAATTTTGGCCCATTTCCTAGCTTTACAAATAATTTCAGGTGTCTTACATTGCAAAAAGCCATGTCACTGTAAAGGGTAGTTGTATGAAATAATTTTGTTACAAATAATTGCCAAAAAATTATATCCGTTTTTTTCAGCCATTTTACTTAACATCGATTTGTCCATCTGTCTCTCAGTCAGTCCAAAATAGTGGCAAGTGGCTTGAAATAATTTTGTTACAAAAAAATCAGCAAAAAATTATATCCGTTTTTTTTTATTTTCTGTCACCATGTGGGCCCAGTACCCACGGTACTAATTTTTTCCTCAAATTCTAAAGATTTCCTGGTGAGAACCCTGTTGTACATTAAAATAACTCACTCTAGCGGAAGAGGTGTATCTCGAGTTAATCATCTTAACATCATTGGCCAGTTCTTGAGATGATATGATAAGGAGCCCTACAGATCCTGCCAATGCTGACACAATTGATGCCACCAGGAACAAAACAATCTGAAGAGCAGTCATATCTTTTTTATTTCATGGATATATTTACCCTTCCCATTTGTTCCCATTTGACGCAGCTTCTAAAAAGTTTCATGTCTGTTGTAATTTATTGAATTAGTTATTTGAAGTGTTCTCACTGTTCTGGACTGTAGTTCATTATACAAAATGATTGTCACTAACACAGTGGGTCAAACTTTATTCATATATTGCATAATAGTAGTACAGTAAAACCTGTCTTATCCAAACACCACAGGGACCAGCCAAAAATGTTCAGATCAGCATGTTTTCACATTTCAAGTTTTTTTAACATGGACATCAGTGACAAATTAAAAAATAGGATCATAAAAAAACATTGACATCGAGAGGTGTTTAGAGAAGCGTGTAACTGAATTGTTGAATTATGTTTTTTAAATTAACCAGTTTATGTCTTCTAACCTGCCATGTATATTTCCTCTTGCCTGCATAGATACCAAAACATCCAGTCAATACAAAGAACTAAATAATATATAAGAATGTGATGTTAGTTTACAGTTGAATATTTTCATATATAAATAGGCCTTTTGTATTATTATCGCACCCTTGGGTGCTATATTGTGGTCAGTTTGCCAGGCGGGCAGGCTGTTAGGCGTCCCGATAAATCTTGTCTACAGGTTTCCAGCCAAACCGTTTGAGGGATTCATCTGAAATTTTTAGGGCTGTTTCTACGTATCATAGTTTAGAACTGATTTAGTTTTTGGGCATTCTGGGTAAATATTAAGACGGCCATTTGGGATTTTCTGTCCTAAAATCTTGTCTGTCTCCAGGCTTGTCTACAGGTTTCCAGCCAAACCGTTTTAGGGATTCATTTGAAATTTTCAGGTTTTTACCTCTGAAAGTTTAGAAATGATCAGTTTTTCGGCATTCTGGATAAATGTTAAGGCAGCCATTTTGGATTTTCCATCCTAAAATTTTGTCTATCCAGGCTTGCCTAAACATTTCCAGCTAAACCATTTGGGGGATTCATCTGAAATTTTCAGGGATGTTTATACGTATGAACGTTTAGAAATGATTAGTTTGTGGGTATTCTGGGTAAATGTTAAGACGGCCCTTTTGGATTTTCCGTCCTAAAATCTTGTCTGTCCAGGCTTGTCTACAGGTTTCCACCTAAACAGTTTTATGGATACATCTTAAATTTTCAGGGATGTTACTATGCATGAAAGCCTAGAACTGGTCAGTTTTTTCTCTCTGGGTAAATGTTAAGGTGGCCATTTTGACCAGGTGACCAGTTTCCAGGTTTCATGGATTCATCTTCTATGTGTGAAAGTTTAGAACTGATTAGTTTTTGGGCAGTCTGGGTAAATGTTAGGGCGGCCATTTTGGATTATCCATCCTGAAAACTGTATTCTATTCAAGGGTGTGATTCTGTTCACTTGTTTTTTCTTTGCTTGTTGGTCTCTCTTATTTATTTTTGTTCTCAAGAACATATAAAGTACTTACAGTCAACCCACTCCATATCCCTGCCCCAAGGGAAGCAACATGATCCATTACTATGATAAAAGCTGCTACACCAAACATTGCAGAGATTATTCCAAATGTAACCATAAGTGAACCAAGTATTATGAGATGTTTTCCATTAATTCGTTCAATATGTTTAAACATAATGTTCTCCTTCACATGGGGCAAACTTGCTGCATCAGATGGATCTGTGACTGTGTCCTAAAAATTAAGATATTATACATTAGAAATTCATTTTCAACATAACTGGCCTACCGTAGGTGGTTGAGAAAGGATATAGCGGGGCTATCTGTCTTTTCGTCTGGCTGTCGTTGTTCATTTGCCTGTTCAGTTTACAGTTTGTGAACTTCAAATGTTATAGGCTTAGTGCCTTTGGGGCATAGGATATCTACCTGAGAAGGCATTTATGATATGTTGGCATGTTACATCATGGATGTAGATTTTGACAAAAAGTGACAATTCTACTGCCTGATTGTTATTACCATGAATTGTTTAAAATGACAAAGTGATATTGATAAGATATGTTTATGGTTGGTGGGATTTTCTACTCTTTGGGAGTTGCTGTTTTTCTACCTCTTTATTATATTAATAAATGAATAGGGATAGGTGTTCAAATGCAATAAAGTTGAAAACCACATATCCTGTCCATGGTCTTTCCCATGGATAAAACAGACTATCCATTCCTTTCAGTCAAATTTTTGTTTCCAGTCACTTTAAGTACCATTCCACGTGTGAAGAAATAAGATTTTTCCAACCAATTGTTACCTGAGCTACCAGTACAGTCTTGACAAAGGTTAAATTCTTACTTATTAAAATAAATGTATTTTACCTGTGACTGTAAACTGGTGATAACCCTAGAGCAAGTAACTGCAGATATAACACACAGAACTCCCTCCACGATGGACACAAACACAAGCACTACATTCATTGCTATTCTGGCCTCCTGAGAAAAACCATGCATCATTATAAGTTAATGAAAACACAGAATGAAATCCTGTGCTAAGGGCTGAAGTGAAAAAGTCAGTCCACCCCAGTGGGGATCAAACCCACGACCCCTCACTTTCCAAGCAAGTGCTCTACCACTTAGCTACAAGACCGACTGGCCTTTTTGCATCAACATTGCATATATAGCATTGCAGCCATGTCTTACATGCCCATGCGAAAAGGGCATGTACAGGAGTACAGTATAAGTCCTTGTGCCCCCCTACACAGTACACTTGCTCCACATACGGTTGTGAAGTAAGTAGAAAAAAGGGAGTCCAAAGAATTGAAGCAAGACTAATATCCTATTGATTGCACTTTGAGAACTTAATATAAGGAAAAATTATTATTTAAAGTACAAACCAGTTAGTCTCTCTTTATCTAATGTACTCATCTAACAGAATGGAAATACTCACATTTTCCTTGCAGTGTCTGCTAACTACTGCATATGCCCATGAAAAATTACACATCACTCTATTATCATTTGGGGAGTATATGATGAAATTATGCACATCAACCACTAGACCATAAGATGCTATTATGAAGAGGCTGACACATGCAACACACGCTGTCACAATAGACATCACCAGGAATGTGACAATCTGCAACAGAAAGAATATGTCACTGCTGCAGAAATAGAGTGTCCACATATTTCATGGTCAGTGTATTGTATTTGTACTTTGATGACTATGCCCCCCCCCCCCTATCAAAGTATTCAAACATATCCAAACATAGGGTATAAGCAGATTAAAGTGAATTCATATTGTTGTATTTCTTACCAGCCACTTTAGCTTTCTTTTGCCTGCAAAGACACCAACTACACCAGTCATGGTAAAGAACTGGAAAAAATAACAAAATGTTTGAAAAATGGTATCTGCTTAAATGTTAGGGTTACTTACTCATAATTTATGATCATCTATTAAGAAGTATTCCCGGTGCATGTTGATTCAACATGTCAGGTGGTTATACTCTCTGATCATTATGATCTCAATCAATTTTCTCTACTTTAGTGGCAGAATATATAGTATTGTAAAAAGCATACTAATCTTATATTTCATCTTAATTTCATTATATGGTAAAAAATTGTTGTGAGATAACTGATCTGCTTTTAAGGTGCAGTGGTACTTAAAGACCCTAAACATGATGACATAACTTTTTCAGCCCTCTGAAAATGTGACTTGAAAATAGTTAAAAGTAGGAGCTTAGGAAAGGTCACTGAACAGAATCTTTTGATTTTTAAAATCAAAAGATTCTGTTCAGTGACCTTTCCTAAGCTCCTAAAACAAACCAAAAACCTGAAAAGGTTATTTCATCATGTTTATGGTCATTCTGACCATGGACATCTTGATCCTTGTCTTGTAGATGATATGTGGAACTATTTGAATTGACTTGAGATCAAAAAAGAACTATGTTATCTTTGTTCAAAAAATGTTTAAAAATGCCACATTTTTTGTCACTTCCTGTTTTGTCATTTCCTGTTAAGTACCACTGCACCTTAATGTCACCACCACAAGTGATGACATATTGTTAAAGTCCAACTTTTTTTATGGATGGTGTACTGGGCACTTTAAGGAGACACTTTTTGATTTTCCATTCAAACCAGTCATTATTATATCAATCCAATGTATTTCACTAAGTTGTCGTCCAATGGTTGTACTTACACATAATCCACACCATATACCAGCCCCATGGTTAGCCCCAGCTGATCTCAAACCAATGGCAGCTGCGCCAAATGCTATAGCAATGATTCCAAATATGATCATAAGATATCCGAGCCAAATTGATCTTCTTCTATTGTAATGTTTCACCTGACCACACCATGGTATATTGTTTATATTATATGAAATACTCCGCTCAAGTTTCTTACTTTCATAAGACTCCATTATTTTGTCTTGCTAAACGGTTATGCTGAAGTGGTTGCCGGATTTGATCAATTTTTTGTTGAGGTTGAATATATTCAGGTATTTGAATATGAGAGTATGTTCTTATACATAACCATGTGGAATCTTGTACTGTTATCCAGGGTTTGTACTCTTAACTGTGACAGCTGTAAAGGTGTTTTTATAAGTATCTTTATCAATAATCATCAATTCCTCTCTGAGCTATTTTATTGTTCGGTATTGAGTAAAGAAAATTTTCTAGTATTCAACCTGTGAATTCCAGTTATTTCATGATATATAGCAGGTAGCAATGCGATATTAAAGTAAACAAGGTTATTATAACATGCTAGTGGTAAGTGTATTGAAGAGAATAGTGAATATTTTCAACCACTTGTTGCTTTTTATGCCTTGACCTTCTGCATAGACTCACAAAGTGATATTGTTTGTTGGGTGACGTTTTTTTACTCTCAAATATTGAAAACAGAAAACAAAAGTAAACACCATATACAGTAAACTTTTAAATGTTTGGAACTACTTTGAATTTAAAAAATAAGCAATCAAATTACTATATTGCAACAGTATATAAAAAAAATAGAAACATATGTACTTGTCCTAACTTTTGTATATTTCAGATAGTTATGTATAATGTGCAATAAAGCTGTGGCCTTTTGTAATTTAGGGAGTTTCAGCCATGTTAATTTTTCCGAAAATAACATGGCAGAGAAGCATCAAAATATTAGAGGCCACAGATATAATAGCTAAACTACAAAACAAACTAAAATATACAAAAGTTAGGACATGTATAATAAATGTTTCTACTTTTACATTTACTGTTTCAATATGGTCCTTTGATTGCTTATTTTTTTTATTCAAAGTAGTTCCAAACATTTAAAATTTTACTGTAGCGCATGTAGTTAGAGCAGCAAAACATAAAGTTTGTTGTGGAATTAATAAATGTTAAGAAATTGCCTGAAATATATTTGGGGATTCACTTTCCTCATGACTTGGCTTCACTCTTAGTGTTTTTCATGCCTACAACTCTATTTTACTGCATGTAATTTCTCTAAATTAGATTCAATTCATGTTGTACTTTTAGAGCTCTGAAGAATATCCAACCCACAATAAACAAAGTTACTCCAAAACTGTGTTTCCCCATATTTGGGGTCATGCGGTTGCATATTTAATCTCTTGACTAATGAATATGTCTTGGATCCCCTGCTGAATACACAGAGTGAGGGAATCACAGACCCTAAAATGGCTCTAACTTTTGACAAATGATCAATTTACACAATTATGTATTAAAATGTGTATTATTGGTATATGTTCACTAATTTTATCAAAATGAACAAAATTAGACATAGTAAAATTGCGAAAACAATCAAAAAATGAAAAACTGGTATTCGAGGGGTTAATACAGATTTTTTGTATATTTTCAGCTTGCTTGATTTGTCATTCAATCGTATAAAAAAGATAGAAAATGTGGGTGACCTTCATAAAATAAAGAAGATCTTCTTTTCATCGAACAAAATCAGCAAGATTGAGAACCTGGATCACATGACAGAACTGGAAATGCTAGAGTTGGGTGCAAATAGAATTCGCGTAAGTAACAAACGTCATGATATTTAATACTGGTAGTAATCATCATATAATATATATTTTAACAATCAAAGTGTTTTACAGTTGGTTTATTAAGAGAACTATTTGCTTTACAATTTATGTATTAATACATTTCGAAGCTTATATAAAACAAAATATTTTGATTTGGGAGGTATCCTTTGGAAAACAAGATGCTCGAATGGTAAAATGTAGTATGACTTTTTTTTATTCTAATGCATTTTATATAGTATAACATACTCGCATGCTTGTTGTTTAGGTTATTGAAAATATCTCAACATTCACAAAGCTGACGGAGCTATTCCTTGGGAAGAATAAAATCACCACTATATGCAACCTGGATAGCTTGGTCAACCTCACTATATTAGATATACAGGTGAGTCTCATTTATGCCTTCATGTATACAAAAATAGGACTAGCATGATGAATTTTTGATGGATTGTCCACCTCAGTTTTTTTGTTTTTTTTATTAATTTCATTTAAACATAATAACATTTTTACATATTCGTGTTCGTGACACCTACATAGGTACTGTAGATTGGGTTAATTTGGCGATTTTGCCATTTTTGGCATATTGGCGGCTATTTAATTTGGCGGATATGCAAAAAATGTAAACGCAATGTTAAACTTACGCGCTGTTTGCGAATTACCATGTAAATGGGCATGTTTGGCTATGTTCATTTTTATCCCATCGAACGAATTAATATGGGTATTTCCTATAATTATTAATATATACTGGATTTTAACTTACCAAATATGACTTCAATATTAATATGGGTTTAAACCTATAATAAATTAAATACTGGATATGACAAATAAATAAAATCAATTATAATCTACCTATATGATGTAGATATCCAAATGTTGGTCTGAATTTATCTTTGTGGAAAGATTGTATGCTTCAGTTGCTCTTTAACAAAACATGTGGGACAGTGTATCTATATATTACAAGACGTCCGTACTTCCGTACGTACGTCCGTACGTCCGTCCGGGCAATAACTCAAATACCGTTGGCCCGATTTTGTTCATATTTTGTACACATATACCCTATGGGTACCCATTGAAAAATGGCCGCCATTTGAACTTATTTTACTATAACTCGAAAAGTAGTGGAGCGATTTTGTTCATATTTGGTATGTGAATATTATAAGCATGGCACACTGTCTAATGGCACTTTTGGTAGAAGGTGGCCATTTTGAAAAATGGCCACCATTTTAATGTATTTTACTATAACTCGAAAAGTAGGGGAGTGATTTTGTTCATATTTGGTATGTGAATACTATAAGCATGGCACACTGTCTAATGATACTTTTGGTAGAAGATGGCCATTTTGAAAAATGGCTGCCATTTTTGCTACATACTTTGTTTGTAATAATGCCAGCCATGGATGTTCGATGGGATTCGCAACGCTTTGGCGTTGCCGTTGTTCTGGTTTCTTTTGGGGACCACTTGCGATATTCACCATGTATGTACATTTTTATGAGAGACATTTTTTCATTGGAAAAAACTATACCGGAAGTGACCTAAATACACTGGTCGAAATACCCTTGATAATTCCCGGGGATTCATTCTAAATTTTGACGAAGATTTATATTGGCAAATTTTTCAATTTCGCCAAGGCACCACATTAACCCAATCTACAGTATATAATTGACCACATTTAAAATCATTAATCTAAAATTTTCAAGTGCTTGAAAGTTTAACACAACATGACACTGGGTAAACCATAATTTGTCTCATGAATTAAAAACATTGGTAAAAAATAATGTACAATAAAGAGGATGGAATCACCTCATGTTTGCTGGACATCAAAATCAGTATTTTGAAAATGTGTCATCTTTAAAAAGGCTTTTTAGTTTATAAATATTATTGGTAAGTTTAATAGTATTAGGAATTTTGTTCCAGATAATTTCACCTTGTACTTTAAAACTGTATCTTAAGTAATATAATTGGTTTTGAATTTTAATTGTTACATGAACTTGTTCATTCTGTCTAGTGTAGAGTTGATGAACACTATTTTTTTGTCAAAGAAGTATATAAAAATGTCACCTGGAAAAGAATCGGGTCTGTTAATACATTTGTAATATTTGGAAAGTTGCAATGTTTGTCGCAGTTATGTATATGCAGTAAAACCTATGCACAGGAAACACTCTGTACTTGCTAGGGGTGTTCCTTGTAGACAAGTGTTTTTTACTGAAATGGTTAAATAACAAGTAAATTAATATTCTTTTGGAAACTGATGTTGCTTCAAAACAGGCATTCCTCCAGGTGTTCCATTAAACAGGTTTTACTGTACATCAATTTTAGGTCTTATAACCTTTATGTCTTTTACATTGTAAATGTAGTATTTAAAAAATTCAAAAGCTGGCCAGAAGTTAAATGTTGCTCCATGATTACATTTTTAGAGTAATCGCCTGCTAAAAGTTGAAGGACTTGAAAGTCTTGTGAACCTAGAACAGCTTTATCTCAGCCACAATGGAATCTCAGTCATAGAGGGACTGGACAAAAATGTAAGTATTATAATTACATAACCAAGCACCATTTTCTTTTAAAAATCATAGATATGAAGATATTTCTAATATCCCTGAAAAATATATTATGCATAACATTAGTTGGAAGATGATGTTCTTTATAGGAGTGAATATTTGCTTATTGAAGTCGAGGTATTTCTTACATGAATAAGTATATTTTTCTGTCTCTAACTTAAAAGAGGCACAATACATAGAGACCGTGGCATAAATTATGTAATACAGTACTGTTTATGTAATTATTAAGTCCCTTTTGTATGGAGGTGATAGACTATTTCTTCAAAAATCATAATACACATATTGGAAATATGAGACATATTGTGGACATATAACTTTCAGTTAAAGCTCCAAACAGTGGACCTAGCTGCCAACAGAATTGAGAAAATAGAAAACCTCAACCATCTAACAGAATTGGAGGAACTTTGGGTGAGTATTGGACAAACACTGAATAATATGGGTCTAATGAAAACATGTCTAGTGTCTTCACACTTACAGTAAATCCACATAAAATAATTTTTGCTGTGTATTCTTATTAAAATTCAGTGGGTGATAAAAAATATTTTCTGCTAAGCATTTTTAATTGGACTTAACATCATCCAGGTATTCTTTACAGTCATAATTCTTCCCTTTGTATTACATGGGAAATCTGATTATATTGCGGTTCAAACTAAACACTAAAAAGGTTTTTATGTCACCACCAAAAGTGATGGGTCTAATGAAAACATGTCTAGTGTCTTCACACTTACAGTAAATCCACATAAAATAATTTTTGCTGTGTATTCTTATTAAAATTCAGTGGGTGATAAAAAATATTTTCTGCTAAGCATTTTTAATTGGACTTAACATCATCCAGGTATTCTTTACAGTCATAATTCTTCCCTTTGTATTACATGGGAAATCTGATTATATTGCGGTTCAAACTAAACACTTAAAAGGTTTTTATGTCACCACCAAAAGTGGTGACATATTGTTATGGTCTCCGTTTTTTTGCGACGACGGTTGGCGTCCGGCGGTTGGTGGTTGGAGGTTGGCGTCCGGCGTCTGTAACAATTTCTTACAACTTCCTATAACTTAACAAATACTGTTTAGACTGACTTCAATTTTTTTCTAAATCATCTACATGATCTCAGAAGTTCAAATCTGACTTTAGATTTGACATTTGACCTTCAATGACCTTCTCAAGGTCAAAAAGGTCTTTTTTCAACTTGCTTCACATTGACTAAATTTTTTTTCAAAATCATCTACATGTTCTCAGAAATTCAAATCTGACTTTAGATTTGACATTTGACCTTCAAATCTGACTTTAGATTTGACATTTGACCTTCAATGACCTTCTCAAGGTCAAAAAAGGTCAAAAAGGTCTGTTTTCAACTTGCTTCAAATTGACTAAAAAATGTTTTCAAAATCATCTACGTGTTCTCAGAAATTCAAATCTGACTTTAGATTTGACTCAAGATTTGACATTTGACCTTCAATGACCTTCTCAAGGTCAAAAAAGGTCAAAAAGGTCTGTTTTCAACTTGCTTCAAATTGACTAAAAAATGTTTTCAAAATCATCTACGTGTTCTCAGAAATTCAAATCTGACTTTAGATTTGACTTAAGATTTGACATTTGACCTTCAATGACCTTCTCAAAGTCAAAAAAGGTCAAAAAGGTCTTTTTTCAACTTGCTTCAAATTGACTAAATTTTTTTTTCAAAATCATCTACATGTTCTCAGAAATTCAAATCTGACTTTAGATTTGACATTTGACCTTCAATGACCTTCTCAAGGTCAAAAAAGGTCAAAAAGGTCTGTTTTCAACTTGCTTCAAATTGACTAAATTTTTTTTCAAAATCATCTACGTGTTCTCAGAAATTCAAATCTGACTTAAGATTTGACATTTGACCTTCAATGACCTTCTCAAGGTCAAAAAGGTCAAAAGGTCTGTTTTCAACTTGCGTCAAATTGACTAAAAAAGATTTTCAAAATCATCTACGTGTTCTCAGAAATTCAAATCTGACTTTAGATTTGACTTAAGATTTGACATTTGACCTTCAATGACCTTCTCAAATTCAAAAAAGGTCAAAAAGGTCTTTTTTCAACTTGCTTCAAATTGACTAAATTTTTTTCAAAATCATCTACATGTTCTCAGAAATTCAAATCTGACTTTAGATTTGACATTTGACCTTCAATGACCTTCTCAATGTCAAAAAAGGTCAAAAACGTATTTTTTCATCTTGCTTCAAATTGACTAAATTTTTTTTCAAAATCATCTACATGTTCTCAGAAATTCAAATATGACTTTAGATTTGACATTTGACCTTCAATGACCTTCTCAAGGTCAAAAAAGGTCAAAAAGGTCTTTTTTCAACTTGCTTCAAATTGACTAAAAAAAAATTTCAAAATCATCTACGTGTTCTCAGAAATTCAAATCTGACTTTAGATTTGACTTAAGATTTGACATTTGACCTTCAATGACCTTCTCAAAGTCAAAAAAGGTCAAAAAGGTATTTTTTCAACTTGCTTCAAATTGACTAAATTTTTTTTCAAAATCATCTACATGTTCTCAGAAATTCAAATCTGACTTTAGATTTGACATTTGACCTTCAATGACCTTCTCAATGTCAAAAAAGGTCAAAAAGGTCTGTTTTCAACTTGCTTCAAATTGACCAAATTTTTTTTCAAAATCATCTACATCTTTTCAGAAGTTCAAATTTGACTTTACAAGTTCTCAGAAATTCAAATCTGACTTAAGTTTGAACTCATAATATTGTGAGCAACTAGGTGGTGACATTTTGTCATGTTAATGCCTTGTTCTTCTTGCAGATGATTTACATTGCTATTGGTATTGGTATTATAACAGCAATAACTCCTCGCTTTGTATTACATGAGAAATTTCGTTGCATGGGGGATTATATTATGATTCAAAATAAACAGTAAAACAAAATCTTTTTGTCTTGCAGTTAAATGACAACAATGTTTCACAATGGGAGAATATTCTGCACCTGAAACCACTCACCAAACTAGAGACAGTCTATCTAGAACGTAACCCTATCTGGCGTGAAGAAAACAACCCAACGAAAATTAATGTGAACTATAGACGTAAACTCATGCTTGATTTGCCACAGTTGAAACAAATTGACGCCACCTATTGTAGATAGTAGTGAAGGTGTTGATGTGGTATGGTACAATCACAGAAAATCAGGTTGATTGTTGACTTGTGACACATTGCTCATTGTTCTGAAGTATTTATTTCATTATGACTGTAATGTAGTGGAATATGCATATGAGAGAATATTACATGCAGCTGAGTTATTAAGAGGACACTTTTATGATGTTGTGAAAAATTATTTGACATGTGGATGCAGTCAATACTGCCTCTGAAGATTATTCATTGGCCCATTCTAAATGCAAATTTGGATCTTAATATACAAAGGAAGTAATCAGAAGGAATATGAATCATAACACATATACAGAATGGTATATTTTATAGTCGGATAATGGTTTTATTTGGGACACATTATATAGATGTAAATCATGCACTTCACATATTTAGAGATTTTGCAATTAGAATTGATTATATCACATTAAATAAATCACACCTGGATATGCTGAAGTGAGCATTTCCCTTGTCAAAAAGAAACAAATTTTCAAGGGGCCATGCATAACACCCCAGTCACATTTGTCGTACGGAGGCAGTGCGTCGACCGCAGATCAATTAAATCAGTGTATTTCTGCAGCGAGCGAAGGAAAACTACGCTCACCTTGCAGCCTCCATACGGCGTATCCAGTTTTTTAAAGGCCGCAGGGTCGCTGTAGAAATTATAACTCAGAGTTATAATATTTGTTCATTTCTGAGGTCCCCGTAGAACTCAACTGGCTCAACAAGATTGAATCATTATTTGTGAATGTTTCACGATCACTTTTCATTTGATATTACATCCTAGCACTATTTATAAATTGTCCCGATGTAAATTAAATGAAAAAAGTATTATTTATCAACAGAAATTTAAAATTCACCATGTGGCTGCCGTCAGAAATGTGACTGCAAAAGTATGAGAGCGCAGAAATTCCACGACGAGCGTAGAAATGTAACTGGCCGCAGAAATGATAGATCGCAAGGTCGCTGTAGGAAATGTGACTGGGGTGTTAGTAGTTGAGAGTATACAAAATCTGGGAATGGTGATAGAAAATCAAGATACCATTTATTTATAGTGAGCACTGTAGAGTGTGCAATGTGTGAAGCAATCTTTTCAAAAATTATACCAATTTTTTGTCCAAATTATTCTGGGGTTTCAACACAAACAGCTCAATATGATATAAAATATTTTAAATGATTGGTAGTTATACCTCGTTTTGATTCCATGAGACCTCAAGAAGAATTTGTCATAGAAGGAATACAAGTAATATTCACAATTAATCTGGACAATTTTAAAATAGAGGAGTCCAAAAGGTTTCCAAAAAAGAGGCCATTTTTAGAAAATGTGCTGACTCTCTGATCTACATTTAGAGCTATTAGGTAGGCTATAGGCAATTTATTAAAAACAAAATGCAATTTTATTCTACATAAATGCTTACTTTATTTTCCTCAGCAATGTTTGTAAAACAAATAAAATAAAACATTGATTTTTAAAAATGTTTTCACTTTTCTACTTACTATAATAACAAATCTTTAACAATAATCCACACAAAGGGAGTATGTTACGCATCATGTAATTGGATGAATAAATAATACTTCATTGGTCAAATTGTGCAAAGTGTAGTCACGACCAAATAAATGCTGGTCCCAAAGGATTTGCCTTGTGATGGTTCAGTATATTTCTCAGCAATAATCTTTTATTATTCCATCTATTTAATGACTATCCAGTGCATTCTTTTGATTGAATGACGACTTATGTAATCATTTTCCTAGAAAGCTTTTAAAGCTCTCATAAACATTTTAAAATAGGACTTGTTACCCTAGAGTTCAATTTTGATACGATCGTAACTTACGATTTTGAGAAAACCATTGTCTACCTTTACACAAACTACACAATGACTTGCGACCAAATCATAAGTTATGACAGTTCCAAAAAAAGAACCCTTGAATATGCAATTCCTATCAGCTAGTCCCTCTGACAACTACTCTTGATTTCCTGATAAGATCTTAATGATTCAAAATGGATATTTAACTGCCCTTTATCAGCAATATGTGCAAAGTTTAGAATTTTCTGACTCCATATTTTGACTGATAAAGTTGAGATTGCGCAAAAAAGTTGAGAGTTGGTGTTCCAGTACAATGTCCCTAGAACCATCTTACAATATTTAATGTGTCTCACAATCTGAAAATCTTCAATGTGTCTCACAATCTGAAAATCTTCAATGTGTCTCGCAATCTGAAAAATCGTCAATGTGTCTCACAATCTGAAAATTACTTCACCATCACTTTTGCTTTTGTAAAACCAACATCTTCTGATGTTATCAAATTTTAGGCGTGTCAAAAATGTTTAGTGGAAACTACATATTAATATCAATAAAATACAGTCAGTCCACTCGGGGTATGGCATTCATAATTGGTCGACTACAACTGACTACTGGAGATATTTCATTAGAAGCAGTTAGTGTTATTCCCACTCAGTGGTCCCAGGTGGTTTGGAAGTGAGGTCATAAAGCACTCGAGATATTCCTGGAATCTTCATTACCTCATCTGCCATTTTGAACACAACCTGGAAAAAAACAATCAAAATGCTATAACTGAACATACTTTCATAATAGGTACAAGCATAGACAAATAAGGGCCCAGGTCAAACACCAATATGTCAATGAACTAATATTTAAGTAAGGGGGTGAAAAATGAAATTAATTTTTTTAATTACTGATATTTAATTAATATTAAGCTGTGGATTTTCAGATCCGAGAATTTACTTTGATAAATTTTATCAAATTTTTTTCCAAGATTTATCCCACAATGCATCATCACCATGATGAAAATCAATTCTCAGATCGTACAATGTAAATACCTCTTCTGTTAAATGTTTCCCTGGTTCAGCTGCTATCCCAGTCATAAAATCAGCTGTCATAAATGTCCTTATCACAATTGACCATTGAGACGAGGGTTGATGTGCGACAGAATCGCGATCAAAATGGATGGGAATCATAATTACAGGCATCTGGCTGATTTTCAGAGTCTCTCTTGCATCCATGAGTTGTTTGTTGACGACATGATCAACCTGGCGTAGCGTCCCGAGGACACCTGTTGTCAGGAAGGTTGGGGTGATGTCATTGACAGGATGCATTATGGGATTTCCAAAGGTGTAGACAACTCTGGAAATACAAACATTAGAATTATAAGGAGATCAAATATTAAATCTTGTGGGTACTCTTTATATCGCTCACCCTGTACCTAGGTGGAATACAGAATGGTTAGACAGATATGAGGATTGATGAAAGAAGAACATTTATACTTCCACTAGCAAAGTGTTAAATGGAAAACTTTCTGTTGTACAAATCTTCCTATATCTATTACCTGATTGATTCAAAAATGAGTGCTATATGTTACACATGCAGATATTGTAGAACCAAAACTCCTTCATACAGCAGCTTATGTACAGGCAAAGCTTGGTAACCTCAAAAACTTACCTGTTAATATTATGACAAATTCTGGGTATGATTTTGGCAAGTGACAATAGATCCTTCCAACAGGGCTCACTATCTGATGACAATGCTACCACATAACTGTATGTGCGACAATCGCCCTACAATAAAATACATTCAGTAATATAATGCATTTAAAGTTTCATTTGTCAAAGGTTTGAGTCATGTCAAACTCAGTCATCAGCTACAGTTGGATGATGAGTCAATAATGAGTCAATATGAGTTAATAATGCTGGCTTTCCAAAAAATGCTCACACATTACTGCTTTAGTCAAACAGTCTATTTATGGAATGTGACTTATACGTTTCGTACGTTTAACTGTTCAAAAACTGTTAACTCACAACTTTTTACTACACTGATACATCTGCATTGGAAGTAAAATTATTAAAATTTCAGTATAATATGTAACGATAGGGGGGCATTATCTTAAACAAGACATTAACATGCAAAATGCCACCACCTGCCATATACATACTCCAAATGCCAACCATCGAACACTGTCCACAAAAAAAGTTGGAGACTTTAACAATATGTCACCACTTGTGGTAGTAGTGACGTAATAGTTCCGGACTTACCTGTACACCCACTGTTTTGATGGGAAGAAGTGTTGAGATGTAGCTGTTAGCTGAACTAATGCGCATTAATTCTGCTTGCTCTTCCTCAGTGGTGCATTCCTTTACACGGGTGAGCAGTGCATGAGGCTAGAAACAGATTGTGCATAAGATTCATGGTGATATCATCAGTGTAGAACCAAACACTGGTACTAAACAGACCTCAGCATTTGAGGATCCTCACTGAGCTGAACATGCTGCGGAGCTCACTAATACATATAGCCCAGTCCCGCAAAACATGAGATACTGCCGAGCAAGCTCATGGTATCACAAGGTCTGGTTTAAATACCCATGTTATATGTTTCACAAGTTTTCATATTTGAACAATTATTGAGCAATTTAGTCATTGAGTTTGAATTCTAGTGACTCAACATCTAAGATGAACCACATTTTGAAAGTGGAAATGCTAGTACTTCATTGATTATTGAATCTATCGAATTGTTTATTGAACTAATTAACTGTATACCCTTACCTTTTTTATTGAATTTGAAAAGTCCACTATAATTTTTAATATGATTTTAGTTTCTGCAAAATCTTTTTCCCTATATGGTTCTGAGGCACATATCACCCTGATAGCTAGTCCTGGTCCTGAAATGATGGATGAAATATAAATGATCTTAATGACCTTAAATGATCTTACACTACTCCATTATGTATTGACTCGTAAAATAGCTCACAGTGATGAATATCACAACTAAGTGACAAACAGTTTAGCTTTTTCTAAAGATAAACTAGAAAAACAGCAACTCCACGGAGGAGCAAATCCCACCGAACAAAACATATTATGCTTATTATTGCTAGTGTAAATGTTGAAATGTTTGTGCACTTTGTGATAGAAGCATGAAATTTAGTTAGTTAGTTTATACCATTGTGAACTAGGCATCATCATATAAAATTTGAACCAAATCTGTTCACTGGTATATGTGTTATCAAAGATTACGTTTTTTACGAAAATTGGCCGCCATCTTGAAATTCAGCCGCCAACTTGAAAATTATTTCTTGAACAGAGCTACTGTGTCCCTAGGCATAATCATATAAAATTTCAACCGAATCTGTTCACTGGTATTTGAGTTATCAAAGATTACGTTTTTTATGAAAAATTGCCGCCATTTTGAAATTAAGCGGCCATCTTGAAATATTTTTGTCGAACATAGCTACTGTGTCCCTAAGCATCATCATACAAAATTTGAACCAAATCCGTTCACTGGTATTTGAGTTATCAAAGATTACATATTTTTACGAAAAATGGCCGCCATCTTGAAAATCTCTTTTTGTGCGGAACCCCTTTGTCCCTAGGCATCAGCATATAAAATTTGGACCAAATCCGTCAACTTGTATTTGAGTTATCAACGATTACATTTTTTAAGAAAAATGGCGGGCATTTTGAATTGAGCGGCCATATTGAAAATTCCTTCTCGAGCAGAGGTCCTACACTCATAAGGCATAAGCCTTCGTTCGGTGGGATAATAAAAGACTCAAGGGCTTATCCAAGCTATCATGCTTTGACCTAAGCTGGCAAGTGTTGCAAAACAGCATTCTTGGCAAGGGCTTTTGTATTTTCGATCATAATTTAGAAATTGCTAAACAATGGACGATGATGCAGAGAGTAATCTACGACAGCAGACCAACATTCAATTAAATTTGTAAATTGTGATGGCTTGCAATTAGGTTTTAAACTGGGTATATTAAAGGTAATAGGTAAAGTCATAGGCAAGGTACAACAAGGTGAGTTTTTATTTATTAATCTAGTCTACCTAGGTTTCAGCATTTTTGTCAATTGGTTAATTAATGAACTTGTAGAAATAGTGTTACCTGGGAATGGATGTCTTTCCACGAGCTCACTCGGTAGACCTAAATCTCGACCAATCTGCCGAACTTCATCTTTGTGGAAATCTTTAAGGGGTTCAACAACTCGTCCTCTTTTTCTTAATTCTCTAACAAGATCTGTGTCATTGTGATGTGTCTTTATGGCATCTGCTTTGTTACTGGCCAACTCGCTAGCACTCTCAATGAGGTCTGGCCGTAAGGTTCCTAGACAAACAATTCAAAATTCTTATACTATTAAAATATTTGTACCATGTACCCCATATCTATTTGGCTGGGTATAAATTGCACGATTCAGTGTAATAATTAATAAATATAAATGCAGACATACAACCTGCTTTTGCTTGTTAGTATACCACATGGATTATGTCAAACATTATTTGTATTATGCTACTAACAATATTTCAAACTATTTAAAATGATTTGATGGCTATACAAAATGCTTTTTTGAAAACAACTGATCATTACCTTGACCCAGGTAGACATCTTCTATTTTTAGATTCAATTCCTCTACAACTTCATTTGCAACCTAAAATAGTAGATAAAATACGATATGACCAATTTTGTGAATATTGATAATATAACAAGGCATTAACATGCAAAATGTCACCACCTTCCATTTGTTACAAATGCTGAACACCAACCAACAAACAACACCAGCAGAACACCATTTACAAAAAAGTTAGAGACTATAACAATATGTCACCACTTGTGGTGGTGACATAAAAACAACAGATAGCAGCCAGATCAAATCACTGCATAGTACAAGTAAATACTACTTTTATCCTTTCATCAATGATATTACTAGGTTATTCTATGGGGATGAGGGGTGAAACGATATATTGTTCATAGAAATCAATGTATTTCTGTACCTTCATAAAAGTATCTCCTATGATGTTTCGCTTTTCTTCCGGACAAGACGTACAATTGAGCATTTTTGTTTTTCTTTTCCGACTAACTGGATCTGATTTGTCTATAGGGATTGAGGTGGTTCCAGTGTAGAAGTCATGGGAAGCATTTACAACTGAAACAAATAAACATTACATTTGTGTTATATTTAACTTGCATACTAGAGGTGTCAAGTATTAACCGGTTAACCGGTTAACCGCCGATAATGACTTAACCGGTCTGTGTTTTTATGGGTGGTTAGTTGACCGTGAATAATTCTTTTATTTCCCGCGCTAATATTGCATGCTCATCTGTTTGGTTTTAAAGTGTCAGTTTCACGTAAGCTTCTCATACATGTCATAAGTCCGATAACTCCTTGCAAACATCCAATCAGCAACTTTAATCCCTGACACATTGCTTTCCCGAGCTTACTTTGCATGTTAATCTGTTTGTTTTTCAAGTGTCAGTTTCATGTGAGCTACTCATACATGTGATAGTTCCGATCACTCCTTACAAACATCCAATCAGCATTTTAATCCCTGCCACATTGCTTTCCCGCGCTTACTTTGCATGTTATGCCTGGGTCACATTTTCCCCGATCCATCGGCCGGCGCCCGGCCGATTGAGTGTTTTGTTCAATATTGTATTCAATTTTGAACAAAATACTCAATCGGCCGGATGCCGTAGTGAAAATTGGAGCTAATGTGACCAAGGCATTAATCTGTTTGTTTTTCAAGTGTCAGCCATGTGTAATCAACTCATGTTGCAAAACTATTTCATAAATAAATTATATGCATTTTTTAATTCTTCAGTTTTGTTATTATTGTTGTCTATCAACGTCGCCAAAATGTCAAAGGTCAAAGCCTCGCTTTGGTAGTGAGAAAATTAAAATCAAAATAAACACTAATCAGCTGCAATTCTCGTTGTTATGGTGCGTTCTTGGAGATTCCAAGGGTAAACCAGTGTGGTAATTTAGAGGTACCGGTAGTCAGGTAGTGTATGAATAGAACAGAGTAAAGCTTGACAAACGTATAAAATAAACGCTGATATATCATCTTTCCAATTTTTTTCAACTTTCAAGATCGAAGATGAAGATTTCATTTGAAATTATCAGTTCAAATTTCCCGCCGGTTAACCGACTTTAACCGGTAAAAACATCCAGTTAACCGGTTAATGCTCAAGCAGTTAATTGACACCACTATTGCATACCCTCGTAAATATCGAAAATCTGATACCTTTTAAGAGAGGAAATCAAACTGATATGTTACATCGAGTATTATATTATATTATAATATGCTCTAACATTTTTTGTTATTACTTAACACACCAAATTTCCAAAGAAATATTTTTAGAAATATTCAGATCAAGAACTGCTTTTGACAATATGACACATAAGGACAGGATACTTTGTACCACTATTGACTTGGTCTCACCTCTTAGTTTGAGTCCTATATTCTCTAGGGACTGTTGGACATGTTTGCTTTCGTGTTTCCTCATAAAACCATTGTCTATATGTACAGCTATGACCTGTTCTGGGGTAAGGGCTTTGTGTAATAGTGAAGCACACACAGTGGAATCCACACCTCCACTAACCAACATCTGCAATAAAAGTAGAGTGAAAATGAAGACATTTTATATTCAGTACACAGCCAATCTCCAACAGTACCCTATGGTACTGTAGACTAAAACGGCAAGTTTAAAGGGTCAACAGCTGTAACTCTCATTCTAAGTAACCACTAAATATTTTTATTATAATGATATTAGTAACCAACACAAATAATATATTAAAATTTTGAACATTTTAACATTTTCTTTCTTACTGTTTTATATGACACCCAACATACCAATACTTTACTGTCTTTTACTGTCTTCTTAATATAATCAATACAGACAGCCTCTCGAGAGGACATTGTGTAGCTACCAGTGAAATGGCAAATCTCAAAAAGGAAGTTTTTCATCATTGCCATGCCATTCTGTGTGAGATCAACCTCTGGGTGGAACTGTACTCCATATAACTGAGCGCTCTCATTAGCAATTCCTAAAACAGATTGAACACATTTATTGACATTGTTTTTACTTCATGTAAAATTGACAATATGGCCAAGGAATATTCTTAATACTGAACAAAATATTAAAACTAGAAAAATAGGACGCACGGTCCTGTGCTCACACAGTTTGGAACCTTCAGAGGAATGTATATCCTGACTTTCAAACAAAAATATTGATTCGGATTTGTAGTCTCGAACTTTGAGAAACTTAGACAGCACAGTTGTGTGACCTAGTTTGATGACCTTTGACCTTGAACATTTTACTTATTTAGAGCTCAGTCTTATGTGATTAAGCTGACCAAAATTTACATCCAAAAATCAATTTGAAAAATCAACTTTTTTGACCTTTCAAAGGTCACTGAAGGTCAAGTAAAGGTCAAATCCTAAAACTAATGTCTGATTTGAACTCCTGGTAACTTGTAGATGATTTTCAAAAAAAATGTGGTCAAATTGAAGAAAGTTGAAAAATATCTTATTTTTACTGTTTTTTTACGTCAAATATCTCAAAAACGGTAAAAATTTGATGCTGACATATATTGAGCAATATGTAGGGAATGCTAAATCTAGTTATGATGTAATTTATTGCAAGAAATGATCAAATATAAGGTAAACTTTGAGAAACTTGTCAATCACAAAACCTGCCACTGACTTTATACATAAGAAAGTTTCCAAAAACAGTAATTCCAAGAGCTTTGAAATCTTCAGAGGACATAAGTTGCATATACAGCAACTACTACAAGTTATTTGAAAGTTCTACTTCAACAAAGTGTCTAGTATTTACAGAAAATTTGACTTGTTGACGTCAAAATCAGCAATTTCTCGGAAACCGGGGGAACTTGGGAAATGGCGATGATAGGTCAAATAGGCATTACGGATATGCATAAAATGACTTTGGATATGACTCAATCCGAATAGCAGTTTTAATTTGTGCGGCCAATGTTGACGGACGGACCAACGAACGGACGGACCAACGGACGGACGGACGGACCAACGGACAGACGCCTGGTCGATCCCATAGGCTCACTGTGTGAGCCAAACACAGCAACTTCTCGGAGTAGCAAATCCCACATCATAAAACATATTTTATCAAGACTTGTATGCCCATAGGGTAAATCTACTGCAGATGAGCCTCAGTTCAAAGATTTCGGCCTTCGTATTTCAGTTTAACATGTTCTTTCACGAGGAACAAATCTGAGAATATAATCTACCTGCAATTGTTTTGCCAGACATTGCAACAGTCTTGAAGCCATCAGCTACTTTATCTATGCTATCTCCATGTGTCAGTAGTACAACTTGTTCTTTTGATAGACCCCTAATATAGAAAAAAGAAGACATAAGAAACAATGCAATGTACAACAAGTAGCTGATTGTACAAAAACAAGTTACACATACCATTATCTGTAATTAGCACTCTAAAAAAAACATCTCCTTCAGACCATTCTAACATTGGATAATAATAATATAAATTCATGATTTCCCTGACTCCTGAGCATATTTTGGTATCCTTTAACAATAAGTTGCATAAATATACTGCCTCGCTTTAGGGAACCAGCAGTTATAGACATTTACCTGTAGAGTAGACATGTAGGATCTACTGTTATGTCAAACTGGCCATCTTCTCTCTGTCTCTTTTGTTCTACTTTTCCATTGAACTCATGATTCATCAACTAGTGTACAAGACAACATCGTGTTACATACATACAGGACATCAGTGATAAATACAACATGGAAATATATCTACATTGGTGGCAGGGGTGGGTGAAGTGTTTGTGGCAGAGGTTGATGTAGGCCAGGTTGGGCCATACTATTATGGTCACAACAATTCAATTCTTGGGAAGTTGACTGTCAGAGCCCTATATTGGTTGCAACTGTAATAAAGCTCACAGACCCGTTCTTGACTTGGGGAGGAGAAATTATCACTATCAGTGACTGATCAGGTAATTGGTCAAGGACAGGTCACATGACAAAAAAAACATTTCCCTGTAAAGCTTACTGTGTATTGGCTGACACAAGAACCTACAAATTGTTTTTTAATATCCCATCTTCAGAACAAGGACCATTGAAAATTAGGCCTCATTTTTTGGGGATAATCTGTTCAAGGTGTTCCCTGAATTGATCATCATACTGTTCATACTGATCATTGTTAGCTCTTAAATGCTTATGATATGACACAATTAACAAAATGGCCTTATCTATATATTTCCAACATAGTTCAAAAAGGGATGTGATGTTAAACATATATTAAACTTTGAATGGCCTTATCTGTATATTTCCAACACAGTTCAAAAAGGGATGTGATGTTAAACATATATTAAACTTTGAATGGTCATATCTGTATATTTTCACAACATAGTTCAAAAAGGGATGTGATGTTGATCATATAATAAACTTTGAATGGCCTTATCTGTATATTTCCAACATAGTTCAAAAAGGGATGTGATGTTAAACATATATTAAACTTTGAATGGTCATATCTGCATATTTTCACAACATGGTTCAAATCACAAATTACGACAATGTGTAGGCAGGGTGTGTGTCATCAGACATCATGCGGCACCTACTTAAACAAATTCAAGCCAGTATCAATGTCAACTTGGAACTGGCCATCTTCTCGCCAGGACGTCTGAATAACCGTGCCACCAAACTCCCTGTTAATCATCTAAAAAATGACAGTAGTACAATATTAAGGAAAGTGGATCTTAAGGAAGCAATTTTTCATATCCTAAAGACTACAAGTATTAGTGCAGCACCTATTAAAACCTAACTGCCTCACTGATATGATGAAGGACATATAACATATGACATATAATATGATAAAGTGCAGGAATTAGTTGACACAGTTATTCTGATATTAATCAATACTATATTCAGAGTTAAGTGACTGTGTGTCCAATAACTGCGCAACAGTCTCATTTTCAGGCAACTATTACATTTCCATATATTAGATGGTTTCCAGATTGGGCCACTCATAAACATGTACATCACCTCGAAAAAGAAAACTACACACAGATACCAATTATTTCTCTCTTTTATTGTAAGTTTTAGAAAACTTCAGTAGTTAATTCTCAAAAGTATGTCAAAACGTCAATAAAAAAGGTACAGTGAATGATTGTTTAAATGCTAAAGCATATTTTGACACATGCAAATATACTTTCAACAATACAGTTCCCAACTTTATGTATGTCTCAGTTATTACAATGCTAAGGATCTTATATATTGGTTAGGAAGCAAAGAAGTGGATAATAAATACCTGCATCCCATAGCAGATCCCAAGTACAGGCAGGCCACAGCGGAATATATCAGGGTCATATCTTGGAGCATCATCAGCATATACAGAGTTAGGGCCACCAGATATGATAATTGCACTATGTACGTAAAAGAATAATAATTTTAAATTAACACGAGATAATCTTTTTCATGACACAAATTAGGAGTTTTTATTTCTAATTATTAGCAACATGTAACCCATAGTAACAATGATGTCATATATGATGCAAGTTGCTACGTATTGCATTATTATACACAAACAGAAAATATGGGTTCTCTTTTTTGGGTCATCCTGAATTACAGTGGAGTGATATTTAAAAATTCAAATCTTATTGGCTCGGAGAGACTTGCTATAATTCGAAACAGTCTTCAGAACTCCCATTAAAAGTGGGAAACATGAAGTTAACATACTGCTTTAATCACTCAGATCAAGGTATGAACAAGTTTCTCTTCTCAACCACTCTATTCAGCAAAATATATTTTCTGACGATGGCAATGAGATCAATCAGAATTTCAGTGATTAAAAATTACCTGAAACCATTTTCTTTGAGAGTAAATGCAGGAGTGTCCAAAGCGAGGATCTCTGTGTCAATCTTGAGTTCTCTAACTTTCCTGTCAATCACCTATGAAAGCAAATAGTAAAGGTCAATAGCTGTATGGTCATCTTTTTTTAAACAACCCTAATAATTATATTATGAATAATTTATATTTCATAATGTATAATGTTAATGAGTGTTACTCAATCATTTTTGATGTTTATAATTCATAATCATATGTTATTTACAATTTTTCATTTTTCAATTTATTTATTAAACCATCATCCGATCATTGGGAATTAGGTACAACAATATAATAATATAATTTATTCCATAATAACAGTGAATAGAATTGATATTCAAGATATCCTGATCAGATCCCATATCAGCCAAAATTCCATATCAGAACTATTTATGTTTTTCGTTTAAAAAAATATTAATGGAATAAATAAGTATTGATGGTTGTGAAAGAATATTAATTGTTTCCTTGAGAAAATATATTGGCAAAAAATATCACATTGACACTTGGGCAATCACCCTGGGACAATGTGATATTTTCTTTGGCCAATATCATATCCCAAAATAAGAATTATATTCCATCCCACCCATTAAAGTTGCAACAATTAGTGCAGAGGGGCCATTCAACGATCAGGGACCAGTGTCAAAATATATTTAAGTTTGGATATTTCATCAAGACTTACATCTATTTTTATTATCTACAAAGAAACCACCTAGATAAACATCAGCTGATATTCCTCTTGAAACATTGAAACATGGTGGATCTTAAAAATGTAAAAATTGATTTCCTCTTTTTGAAGCTTTGAAGAAATTGATAGTTTATCCATACATTTTAAGAAAATAGGTATGTCAAAGAAGATGTTAAGCCAAATGTTGCCTTGATAGCTCAGAAAATTTAGAATTTTCCTATTTTCTCTGTACAGGCCTTGTTGCCCCTTTAAATAACCTCTATTTATCATCCTACCTTTCCGTACTGAGCACCAGCATCCAAAATTGCAACCTTCTCCATCCCTTCTGTGGTACCATTAACTTCGATACTCTCTCCATTCCCGTTCCCGTTCATCGTTTCTTACTACCTTTAAATAAATGTTAATAATTTGATTAGTGATTTATTAATCTGTTATTGGTCAGGTATCTATGACGAGTTTTGAAACTCATTCACTTATTTTTATCTGTAAATGCTATTTTTGAGATTGACGTTTGAGTGATATATAACATCAAAAATACCTAATTTTGAGATTTGTAATGAATGTACAATGCATTGGTGATAATTGCCATGTGTAAATGGAGTAAAACAAACATGTATGAATGAACCTGTATATTGGATTGTATATTATAATACACAGAAACCTGTAAATTGAAACACCTTAACTAGACAACAGCAACGCCAAAGCGTAGCAAGTCCCACGAACAGCCATGACTGGCATTTTTACAAACAAAGTATATAGCAAAAATGGCAGCCATTTTTAAAAATGGCCACCCTCTACCAAAAGTGTCATTAGACAGTGTGCCATGCTTATAGTATTCGCATTCCAAATATGAACAAAATCGCTCGCCTACTTTTCGCGTTATAGTAAAATATGTTAAAATGGTGGCCATTTTTCAAAATGGCCGCCTTTTACCAAATGTGTCATTAGACAGACGTGCTATGCTTATAGTATTCCCACACTAAATATGAAAAAATCGCTCCACTACTTTTCGAGTTATAGTAAAATACGTTAAAATGGCGGCCGCCTTTTACCAAAAGTTTCATTAGACAGTGTGCCATGCTTATACAGGGTGTCAAATGGTGTTGTGCCCCCCCTCCACAGCATAAACTACGAAAGATACACACACATACCATATACCATTGGAAAGAGCATTTAAGTGTTGTTAACATGTGAAAAGATGAAAATGCATGATGGAAAATAAGATATATTTTTAACTTACTTTTAAAAGTGAGTATGACCCCATTGGGCAGCCTTAACCGCTACCAATCTAGCCGGATATGAAGCTAAGAGGGAATGGAAAGGGGCTGTGTCTTTCTCAAGAGATTTTAATACTTTTCAGAGGTTCTTGAGCAGGGCATCTTTGGAATACCTGTTCTCTGCAGCTTCAGTGTCCATAAGTTGCTCTGTTTTATCCATTTATATAGACCCCATGTGCTCTGCAGCATTCAGGTCAGGGCTGTTGCTCGGGTATTCATCAATACCAAAAAAAGTCTATGCCAGATTCTCAAAAATCAATGAAATAGAGCACTACACTAGTACATTTCAAATGCATGTGACACTCTGTAGCAATATCTGACCTAAGTCATCTAGGGTTTATTTTATCCAGAATTGAATGCTCTTTCCAATGACATACATAATGTGTAGGTACCTTTCTAAGTTTATGCTGTGGAAGGGGGGCACAACGCCATTTGACACCCTGTAGTATTCATATACCAAATATGAACAAAATCACTCCCCTACTTTTCAAGTTATAGTAAAATACGTTAAAATGGCGGCCATTTTTCAAAATGGCCACCTTCTACCAAAAGTGCCATTAGACAGTGTGCCATGCTTACACTATTCACATACCAAATATGAACAAAATTCCACCACTAATTTTCGTATTATAGTAAAATACGTTAAAATGGTGGCTATTTTTCAAAACCAAATATGAACAAAATCGCTGTACTTCTTTTTGAGTTATAGCAAAAATCGTAAAATAACGAGTAAAGGCCGCCAGTTTTCAAGATGGCTGCCATGTGCTTCTTTAATATCTACATTTCTAGCTTTATTAATGTCCTATATAATTTCTTTACATTTAAAACATATTGCTATTACAGTTTTACATATTGCACCTAAATTACTGTAAAATCTGCATTAAAATGGCCGCCATTTTTAAATGAGCGGCCATTTTGAAAATCGGCTTTCGGGCAGAACTTCTACCCCCATACGGTATATGTGTACAAAATATGAACAAAATCGGGCCATCGGTATTTGAGTTACGGACGGATGGACGGAGGCGTTCCCTATATCCCTCCGAACTTTGTTCGATATGATAATAAGTAGAATACTTTACAGAGTCCAAAGACCAACTGACTTTGTGTAAAATGAACCTTCATAAGTAGAACACCTCTGTTAGTGGAACACTTTACAGAGTCCCAAGACCAACAGACTTCATGTAAAATGAACCTTTATAAGTAGAACACCTCTGTTAGTAGAACACTTTACAGAGTCCAAAGACCAACTGACTTCCTGTAAAATGAACCTTCATAAGTAGAACACCTCTGTTAGTGGAACACTTTACAGAGTCCCAAGACCAACTGACTTCATGTAAAATGAACCTTTATAAGTAGAACACCTCTGTTAGTGGAACACTTTACAGAGTCCCAAGACCAACAGACTTCATGTAAAATGAACCTTTATAAGTTGTAGAACATCTCTGTTAGTGGAACACTTTACAGAGTCCCAAGACCAATAGACTTCATGTAAAATGAACCTTTATAAGTAGAACACCTCTGTTAGTGGAACACTTTACAGAGTCCCAAGACCAACAGACTTCATGTAAAATGAACCTCTATACGTAGAACACCTCTGTTAGTGGAACACTTTACAGAGTCCCAAGACCAACTGACTTAATGTTAAATGGACCTCTTTAATTGGAACACCTGTTAGTAGAACACTTTTTAAAGGTAGCAAAGATACTCCACTTAGACAGGTTTTACTGTAGCTGTCATATTACATGTATTTTCATCATAAATAATCTTGAAATACTTTAATTCATAAAGGTACGTAAGCAACATTAATAACAATTATCTGTCATATTCCTCACTCTCTGATGGGTCCATGTCTTACATGTGACTAAGATGAAAAAGCGATATTCAACAGAAGCCAGGTGACCGTTAAATATTACACAAATATTGAATTCTGTTGAGTTGAATATCTGTATTTATTAAGTCATTGAAATGTTTCTCGCTTTCTCATTGGATAAGAACCGATCACATGATTAAAAATATTAGGGTGTATTTCATTGTTTCCTTCAGACTCCAGCCGCAGCCTCGTTTTCAACTGTATATACCACGATGTATATACCACAGAGTATATACCACGGTAGAAAGTCCCGGATGTTATGTTTTTGTTATGATGTCACAACAATATTGTAGAAAATACTTGGATACGCACAGCAAGAAAACTTCATCGTTATGACGTCACAGCTTACATATGTATATTTGTAGTATGAGCATGGGTACTCATAGCAATTGTGCATCCATTGCCATGTTCTTGATGTTTATAAACAAGTGATGTCACAAGTCATCCTGCACGTGTGACTTTTGAGGATGAAAGATGGCAATATTTTGCATCTAAGAGTGGCTGTAGTTAGAGTGGTTATTCTGACGAGCACATGTATTGTATCTATGTGTTAAATGGTTAAAAGAAATACACTTAATTTCTAGAACATTTAAATAATATAATAAATCAAATATTCCATTCTATTTTCGGTGAATATATGTCCATCTTTCCCTCAGGTAAATATGCTGAGGGAAAGATGAACATGTATTCACCTCAATAGAATGGAATATTTGGTATATATTTCTGAAGGTGTATTCACCGCAACCCGAAGGGCGAGGTGAATACATCTCTAGGAAATACATACATTTTAAAAAGACCAATTCAAGGAATGTTTTATCCATTTACTTAGGGAGGAAAAACAAAAGGAAGTATATTAGCCCTTACAGAAATTGCTCACATGCAAGTCTGATAATGATATAGGGTGAAGGGTAGTATGTATCCAACAAACTGACTAGAAGTCAGTCTGTTATGATATACTATAGTCCTGTGGAAATTGCAGTGAACTTCTTTGCACAAAATCATCAATTTGATGAAGCATTAGTTCACAAAAATAAACATTATAACATTTCAATTAAGTAGTAAGGTATAATTAAATGCAATAAAAAGTAACACAGCATATTGTCAAGTGGAAATAAAGCTAAATGAAGTAACAAATATGCAAATTAGTTTACTCCATCGGCCATTTTGAATAGCACTTCCTATCTAAACAAATATTTTGAATTACCAAATCTTAAAGGGACTTTAAAATACTTAAGAGGCTAAAATGAGGGATTACAAGAAATACTCCTCAAGAAAACAGTCCTACCTTTCTATGAGAATGGGTTCAGGTGCCAAAAACAGCTGATTTATGGATATATATCATTTTAAAAATTGGAAGCAAGATATTCTTTTTGGAGGCCATGTTTTTTCTACTGTCATGACAGGAAATAGATTATCAAAACGAAAACTTAATTAACATCATTAATTCTGAATTTGGCTTAGAACACTTACTCAGTTATGTATTCTAATATTTTTAGCATGATTATTGACTATTTTTTTAAAATCATTATGTTGTAGAAAAAATATTTTCAAAAAATAACAATCTACATGTAAATTATTAAAATTACTCCTACTAATCAAGCTGAGGTCGTGGTTAAAGCATCAGACTTATGAATACATTTTTCTAGGTTTGAATCCCGGCCATGGGAAATCTTTTTCTTTTTTTTCTTTATTTCGTAGCCTGAGCCACTATATATATTTTTTATCTCATTTTAATTTAACCTCTTGACTACCCAGAATGACGAGATTTCTCGTCACCTCAGAAATGACCTTGAAACCCAGAGGGACGAGAAAATCCGTCACAAAATTGTTCACAAAAAGTGCTCTTATTTGAACAATTTTCACCCAATTTACACAAAAATCATTTTAAAACGTGTAGAAATGATCTCTGCCATCTAATTTTACTAAGTTGAGCATCTAAAGTTGTAAAGGTATGTAGTAAAATGTCAAAAGGTGGCAAAAATGAAAAATTCTCTGGTTTCAACCAATTTTAAAGCCTGGAATTCAAGAGGTTAACACAGTGTCAATATTATTTATTACTTTTTGGGGTTTATAATATAGGTAAAATGTCTGCGTGTGGCTTTAACATAGGTTGTAGTCTAGGGTTTACTATATTAGCACATAGCCATCTTTAGATAGATGGCTATGCATATGTTGAAATTCCCAGCCTATGTTAAAGGTCTTTAACAAAAATGTAAGAAATCTTGGAAACATTTAACCTACTTCATTCGATGCAGAACATTCTAAAGTATCGTTTTCCTGACCATATCACGCAATCCTGAGTCAGGAAACAGTGTAATTGACAAAAAATGTATTTGGGACTTCTCATGGCATGGAGGCGCATTACCCAACTTCCTGAAAAGCCATCTTGAAAATGATCAACTCTTCAACATTTCTCTTCAATATATTTCCTCTTCCACTCCAGATAGCCCGATATGGTAAGAAAAACGATACTTGTACAAGTGCATCGATTGAAGTAGGGACAGGCCTCGAAATTAGCGTTGCGAAGGTAGCGATTCGCTACCTGTTTTCCCAGAACACTACTTGTCATTTCCTCCAATTAGCTAACTTCGCTAGTTCCAAACAGCCCCCGGAAACAGCCAGACCCGAAGATTTGGTAAGAAAAAAGATCGAACTTCCGAGAAATGAAGTGAGCGATAATAGAGTACTCACACTAAAAAGTGATAAAAATGACACATGTTGTAATTCGATGCATCCTCCCGATAAATATGCATCAGTGGGTCCTTTTAACACAATTTTAAACTAATATTATCTCAAAATAGGCTGAAATGAATGAAAGAAATGTTCAAATTTAGAGTCGTTTCCGCATTTAACCAAGTAGTCTTTTGCGCAGCTTTTTTGCGCATGTCAACATGACAGTCAAGGTCATGAACTTTAGTTTGACGTTTCCTCTTTCTTTCTAACATTTCTCGTTATTCTTACGACTTTTACATGGAAAATGACGATCTATCATTAAACAAATAGCTTTCAGTATAATATCAGATCGATATCGAACGGTCTCTAGCGGAAATAATAAAGATAATCGGGGAGAACATATCATTCAATTCGCGGGGCTCCGCTAGGGAATTCTGCAATATTTTTTACTGATTTTATTTGTTTATTGATTCTTGGTTCATTTAGCGATCTTTACCGTAAACTCTCCAATAACAATCCATTCCATTATTATACTCCGTTCTGATGTTGCAAGTTAGTCATATTTGGCAAGAAAACTTTGCCATACATGAAATTCCCGGGGATTTTTTACTTCTTCCATATATCTAATAGAGTGCAGTGTTCTCCCCAGGATTTTATCTCAAGTGGGTGCAAAATTCTTATTTCACAATTTAGACCAAAATTGGAAAAATATGCCTATTTTTCACGTTTTTCTCATTTTCAAGTAGGTGCAAATTGATTCTCAGGTGGGTGCATGCATATTACCAAAATCTCAAGTGGGTGCTGCTGGGGAGATCACTACAGTGTAATATCTTATTATTGCGCTGGTAAGTCATAAGAATAAAGATCGAAATCTTCACTATCTGGTTCTCTCAAATAGCTACCTGGAAAATTCACTAAGTAGTGAAACAACTACCTGATAAAAAAAGTTAAGCGCGAGGCCTGCGTTACCAAGATTTCTTACATTTTTACCAAATACCTTTATAAAGGACTGGGAATATCAACATATATTCTCAGGAGATAGCTTTGTGCAAACTAAGTAAGTCTAGGGTGAAGGGTATAATGTTGACACTATTTCGTTTCAATTTGGGGTAACTTTATCATATGAGGTAACTTCGATACCTTGTTTGTATTTGCTCTAATTTCCGTTCAAGGGGGAAGCACAGGAATTCGTCTAGAAGGAAAAAGAAGTCAATAGAGCAAGCCTTGACTCACAATGAGATGGAGAAACTTGAGTTCTGACACCATAATAGTGATATTTTAAAAAAAAGAAGTAAAAATGACAAGTTTTTCAAAAAACAAATCATATATCTGTTATCCAAATTTAAATGCTCGTTTTATGCTGTATTTTTTTCAGCTGTTACTTACCCGATTTTCCAGATCATTCACTTATATTGACAACTTCCTATTGTTGTTGAAAATTATATCCTTTCCGTTCGAAATTTACTTATTTTTCAGAAATATCCATCTAAACAAAAACATCATAACATTCATAGATTTCGCCATTGTATTGACCCGGATGAAGGGCCCCGGATGTACTATACTCCCATACGTAGAATTGCGGACAATATTAGACTCTGCTCGTACCACGTGATTTGGAAATCAAGAGAAAGTGATTGGTTGCACTGCGCGTATTAATCGATAACCCCAAGTGCAGTGAACTAATATCAACAAAACTTTGACTTAAATTTCTTTTCACGAGATTTCATCATGAATTTTGATTTGGAAACCTAAAAAACTCAATATTTCATAATTATATCTTAAAATAAAATTGAATTCATCGACGTTAAAAGGGGGACTACATTCAACAATTTTTGATTATTCATTCTGATTGCCGCAGTGTTTATACTAAGACACTGCCATGCCAGGCCTGTCAACTTGGGAACACCCAGCATGAGTGACTTGAAAATGTTGAACACCTCCCCTCAAAATGTGGACACCTTGGTCCAAATCTGAACACCTTGATTCAAATTTTGAACACCTTGGTTTAAATTTTACGAATATTTTCGAACAGAATGCGTGACATATACGTAATTCGCGTGAAAAGTCCGAACAAAATGCGTACATTTTTTTCCGGCGTTCGTATTTTGGCTGTGTAGACGATCTTTTTTAGAAATTTTTCTACAGAAATATTTTTGCTTGACAATTACCAGGTAAAATGCGTATTTGCGTGACATTTTCTGTCACGCAAAAATAACTGGCGTGACTTCAAATTCTTCAGCAAATGCGTGACAAATACGCAAATTGCGTGACAGTTGACAGGCCTGCCATGCCTTTCAACAATTTTCGTTCAGTGCAGTCGTGCTTATTTCCAACATGTCTAAATTGAAAAAAAATTGAAAATTTCATTTCTAAGTATATTACTAAACGCAACACATATTGTGACACATATTGAACTATAGCAGCACAGGATATTATAAAGCAACTATCGATCAACAAGTTTCATAAAAATAGGTACATGTAAGTAAACATCATGAAACGACAAGATAGCGAAATTTTTCTAATAAAGCAAAAGTTGGAACTTTTGTTTTGGAACTTTTGTTTTCTTACAAATTTTTCAGAAAAATATCCTTCTAGAACTTTCGACTTGTATGACTCTGATCGCATCAGCATTGAGAGCATTCTTTTGCCTGTACGATTACAACTTGGGAGAATTATCTACGCCCCTTACACTTAAGATACCTGTACTTCAATTGATTCCTGGGTATTTCAGCATTCTTTTCGTGTAGTTGAATCCACAATTGTATGGGTATATCGGCAGAACGGGAACATTTTTCTTTTTCATCGAGAGATATTCCATCACTTTCCAAGATGGCAGTTGGATTTAAAAGGGATTCCCCGTTTGACTGACCCGGAAGCACCAAAAATGGAGGAATTTGACGGTTGCAATAAGTTAAATATTACACGCAAATAGTGAGATTAAAAACAAAAATTTCTTTGTTCTGCCGATAAACCCAGACAATTATTGTGGACTACAAGAATGCTAAAATACCAAGGAATCTATTGAAATAGGTATCTTAAGTCTCTCACAACTGCCGGCGGACCCGTACGCCCAATTTCAAACTTTTAAAAACTTTACTTTTTCGCCCCATTCGAATTGTCCAATTAGATTGCCCGATTTATTCAGTGCCTAACATGACTTCCTGTTGACCTAAAAATGGCGATATTTCGAAAAATAATTCTCAATTCAACAATTTAAACAGTGTTTTAGTCGTGTTAAGTGAACAAATCGTACAAAATGGCGGACAAATATGATCACAACGAAAATGTGGAGGAAATGGACTACGATTTCAACTCTTTAGGCTCTTGGAAGCCGATAATGGTCATCGAAAATAGAAACTAGAATATTTTCTGAATTGAAAAATTGAACATTCGATCGCTGCAAATTCAGATTTGAATTCTGACCAGACGAAGGGGCGGAGCGGCGGATTTCGGAGGAGTATTCATGGTATATTTATGCCCAGTCATGTTATTGTACGAAAAATATTTATAAGAACATTTTTTTCATGAGCCAGGCCACTGTATCTTCCCTTTGTGAAAATTTTATCCAGATTCATTCTGTAGTTATTGAGATATTAATTATTTAGTCCAGGCATATCATTTTTGCACTCTTTGAAAAAGAAGCCAGATGCGTGGGATATATTTGCTGAAATAAGGCAGCATGGTAAAGGTTAAGGTGACATTTAAGTTAATCAAAAGTACAAAAACATGGGAGCCATATTTTTTTGATAAAGTCAGAAGATTTTGAATTCTGTTTTCCTTGTATGTGAATCCATTTCCTGACTAAAGAGACACATAAAAGAAAACCTCACATTTAAACGCATTTTTCATAACTATGAATTAGAGGTGCATGGCTCCCCAAAGCTAGCATGAAGAGTGTGAAGTGAGGCCATTTTTTGAAAGTTTCAAGGAGTAGCCTTGCGAAAATTCTATTAAGGTCCATGGTTCATATATATGGAATTCCCTCAATGAAGATATTAGAAATAAACCATTAAATTCACTCATATCTCGTTTGAAAATTGACCTCCTGAGTACAGAGTAACCAAAACATCTATTTCATTTCTTTATTGTCTCATATTATTGTATTTGTATAATGTATTTATATTATATTATTGTATTGACCTATGTACCACTTTAAATGTTCACAGTTTATCATGTTTATTGTAAATTTAATTATGGGCAGTCATACACCCCCTGGGGTGTCATAGCCTGTATAATGTTGTAATTTTTGTAATGAAAACTGAAATAAATTATTTTGAAATTGAAATTGAACAGTCACACATTTGCAAGAATTCAAAATTTCCATATATAATCTTACCTTACCAAGGAACAATGAAGGAGCATGAAAATGTGTACTTCTTGCATTGTTAGAGTATAATAAAGCTCAAACCATTGTGAATTCTAAATATTTCATGTCTACCATTTTGTTTCCTGGAACTATTTTTTAGTCCAGAGTTATCCTCATTCATGTATCCATTGTTTATCATTCATAAAGCCTCTATCATTTACTCACTTCGAGAGCCATGTTAGATTTTGAAACTTATGGCTCTCAAACGGAGAAGTGAACAGCTGATCAATAGTGACCTTTGAAACTGAATTAAGTCGATCCGCGGCTTACTTTTGGTCTCTAACTGTGTCTTACATCAGTATCATCAATCTGTGTAAGTATTGGAGCGCTGGAGTACTTCTTTTTCGATCAAGACTTGTAAATTGTTCATCGAGTTAAAGTTTTACAGACCTATTTCCAATATGGCGGTTTGCTAGGTGCGAGATACGCAACGAACGAAATGAATTTTGAGAATTAGTTAGGTTCGGACAACCTCCGGAGATTTACGAAAATGTCCGAGCAGAAACCGCCATATTGGAATTTGGCAGTAAAACGATTCACTCGACCTAACAATTACAAGTCTTGATCGAAAAAGAAGTACTCCAGCGCTCCAATACTTACACGGATTGATGATACTGATGTAAGACACAGTTAGAGACCAAAAGTAAGCCGCGGATCGACTTAATTCGATTTCAAAGGTCACGATCACTGAGCTGTCCAAATGCTCCGTGGGAAAGCTATTATATCAAAATCCAAATAGCTTTCGCAGGAAGTAATCTATCATGTATCTATCATGATAATTATACTGTAATAGATAAAATATACAAGTGATAATCCATGCCACTTGGTGTAGTATCAAAACTTGTATGAGGATTAATCAGGAAGTCTAGAAGTAGTTCCGGCAAACAAAATGGTGAACATGAAATATTTAGAATTTACAATGGTTTGAGCTTTATTATACTCTAACAATGCAAGAAGTGCATATTTTCATGCTCCTTTGTTGTTCCTGGGAAAGGTAAGATGATTTGTGGAAATTTTAGACTCTTGCAAATGTGTGACTGTTGCAAGGCTACTCCTTGAAACTTTCAAAAATTTGCCTCACTTCGCACTCTTCATGCTAGCTTTGGGGATCCATGCACCTCCAATTCATAGTTTGGAAAAATGCGTTTACGTGTGATGTTAACTTTGACGTGTTTCATTAGTCAAGATATACAATTCATATACAAGGTAAACAGATTTTAAAAACATGTGTCTTTATCAAAAAAATATGGCAGTCATTTTTTGTACTTTTTATTTAATTTAGCTTCGCCTTAAGTGTAAGAAGCATAGAAAATTCTCCCATGTTGTAATCGTACAGGCAAAAGAATAAGACGTTCGCAGGACTATAGTCCTGGCACGGGATAACCCTAGTTCAACGTCGTTAAACTCAATAACGGCGTTCTTTAATATTAGGAATTTTCTTGGGGCCATTATTGAGTTTAACCTCCTTACTATTCTTTCCTATGATGCAAGTTCTGAATCCATCGAAACCATTTTTCCGCGATAACGTGCAACTGATACTTGACAGTAATATAAAAACACATAACATCAAGCGATTTAACACAATATTCTTTTGTTAAATGTTCATTTATACGAGTAAAATGAGGCTACACTTACCAATCTCTAAAGTGACATTCCGCATGTCCGTCATTGTGTCTGTTCGTCTGAGTGTCCCGGATCGTAAAATTAAACTACCAGCGAAACGAAATTGTTGTCAAATAGATTGATAATTATTATCGCGATTACTCGGGATAAAAAGATCAATTTTGAGGATAACAGGTATCTTTGATTAATTCATATAGCGCGTGTATACACGCAAAATAGTTATTAATCGCAAACCTACTGTTCGTTAATGCAGTGCCGTGATGACGGTTAAATCCTGAAACGATTTGCAATTTCGATGTTACCGAAACTGACCGACATTTTCGTCATTTTCAAACCTGTCTCCAATATTTTCGTAATTATGCATCAATAGGGTCTAAGGGGGATACGGAACGGGGTGTATGTGTTTATAAGGTATGTATGCATGTTTGAATCACATTCTTTATGTAATATTGCCATGTTTTCAGGGTTTAATTTGTTCCGCTTGTCGAAACCTGCTGAACGATTAAATTTACGCATCAAAGGCAAAATGGTCATGGAGGTTAGACCTAGCCGGGCCATAACACACGTCAGATAAGAAACGAGGCCCGGGCTAGGTCTAATGTTGTTGGACTAGGGATAACCCTAGACCACATCATCATCAGGCACTACGACATGCAGTATGAAAAAGTTATATGCGATCATCTTTTTAAATACCATATTCACTAGATCTATCTAAAATTGTCTATGCAGAGGTTGTTCAGTTGGCTTTAGACAGATGTGTAAAATGTCGATTTAGTACCAAATGAAAACAACATGAATTTCAACCTGACGAAAAATCAAAAGAAAACAAAAAAAATTCACACTTTCATTCGTCAGTAAAGACTATGAAAGTTATTCTTGGTAATGATCACTGAATCATATCATTGCTTAAGTTACTATAGATGCATTATATGTAGATATTTAAGTAAACTTACCACTTTGGTGTTTAAAAGCGAAAATATTGGAATAATTTCACCAGACAAATCCCCGAAATAGATGACCTTGACCTACACGTGCTTTTCTGCGGTGAGAGTTTCGTACTTTTTTATTTTGTAATAAGATCATAAATTTAGGTTATTCTAATATTTATTGAAAAGATTTAATTTTGTTATATAAAATTATTATTTTTTTTGTCGCTGATGCATTTGTAATAGTGGAAAAATTAATAATAGTGAATACATAAAGCTACATTCGTAGCACCGTTGCTTGGCAACGACTCAAGCTAGAATTTTGTGTTTGCAGACTCTATTTTATCACTGCTGTTTTCACAACAAAATAACACGTTACACGCGACTCACGAATTTATTGTGTATAAAAACTATTGGAATAATACGCACAATATACTTTGAAAGGTATGTGAACTACATGAAGTCTCAGAGTTCCATCAGTTTTGATGAATTATGGTCCAGATAAAATTTAAAATGAATGAATCAATGATGATAGGCTAGGCTAATTGATCATTCATACATTATACAATTGATGAAACTGAGTGTGACTGTGAATTACTAACTTACTATATTTGCACATTGCCATCTTTTAGATAGATCTCTCTCAGCAGATAGCTTTGTGCAAACTAAGACTAAGTAAACTGTGAGATAGCCTAGGCCTAGTAGTTACTCAGTTAGGCCTGACACTGACAGTACACAGTAGGTACACAATGACAGTGAAACTGCAGAGTGAGATTTCATCGTGATAATTAGCCTAGATGTGTTGAAGATATTTTTGAGAATAGACATGGGCATTCAATAGAGCCCATGGAATAGAGTAGGCCTACAGGGAAGCAATGTATTGTAGGTAATTGAAGTTCAGTACTGAGACTGAGAGTGAGACAGCCTTTGAAAAATATAGTCTACTCAGTCTTACATTGTCTTCTTTCAAGGCCCTACACTGTATTCCATATAGAAGACAGTGAATTCTATAAATCTATTTTCAATTCTTTTCAATTCTTTATTTCAGTAAACAATGACAGACAACTCCAGCATGGACGTGATTACTCAGCGTCCAAGGACTCCAAATGACCAGTACACAGTTCTCACAAAGCAACAAATAAAGAACATATCAAAAACTGCTGTAAGTATCATCTGAAAATTATTCTTCATTGATAGGCCTACAATGCAGTTGAATCATGGAATTCATTGTAATTCATTTAATATTTCTCAATAGCCTGATGAATTATCCTGCAAAAATTGGGCTTTAAGATATATGTTGATCTACAGTACATTAGATAATTATGCAGTTTACTTATTATGTCAACATCACAAGTGGCGGCATATTGTTCTAGTCTCCAAATTTTTGGGGGCAGCGGTTGGTGTTTGTCATCTATGAGTGTCTGTAACATTGCATCTGTAACAAATGGCAAGTGCTGACATTTTGCATGTTAATGCCTTGTTCATTAATATTATTGATATGCGGTAGGTGTGTACACAAATACACAATATTTTTTTAATATACAATTAAAAATGTACTTATTGCTTTCAGTTAACCCTGTCATTGCAAACGGAGTTTGTCATCTGCCCCAGAATAGATCATACATTGAAATACATGAAAGTCTTGCTACCATTAAACATAATTAATTTGATCAATCTTATAGGAAGCATCCCCCCACTTCCACATCACAAAGCCTAAAGTATTTGATGACAGGCGAAAATATATGGACAGACATGCGACGTGTACCAATCAATATCATCTAAGAGGAAAACCAATGTCTCAGCCCTATGACTGGATAGATTTCCAGTGGAGTCGATATCCAGCTGAAAAGTATGACACATGTAGAGATGGAGCAAGTTTCAGATGGGGCCCTTCAAAAACAGGTAGAATATATTTATCTGTATTTCATGTATTTTGAGTTCTAACAAACCCAAAGAGGTATATAGGCATATGTTTTTATGATAATATGTTGAAAAGATTGCAATGAACAGAATAATATAGGTAATATAGGCTTGCTTCAAGTCTCTGGACCCCCCCCCCCCTGCTTATCTATTTCACCACTAGATGGTAGGTGACTATAGTGGAAGAGGGGTCACTAGGGCTTGCAGCTAGACTATAAATTACAGTAGAAAAAAGTTCTCAGATTAACACAGTCTACAAGTTTTAGCAGTAGTCCTTTCCCCTCAATGTATATTTTGATGGAAACAGTTGTGGCAGTGTTCTCCACAGGATTTTTTCTCAAGTGGGTGCAAAATTCTCATTTTCACAATTTGGACCAAAATTGGTCAAAATATGCCCATTTTTCATAATTTTCTCATTTTCAAGTGGGTGCAAATGGATTTTCAGGTGGGTGCAAGCCTGTTTTTAAAATCTCAGGTGGGTGCTGCACCCACTTGCTTTAATGCCTGGGAGATCACCGTGTGGCCTTATCGAAATGTGTTTAGTAGTGGTGTCAATTAACCGCTTGAGCATTAACCGGTTAACCGGGGGTTTTTACCGGTTAAAGTCGGTTAACCGGCGGGAAATTTGAACTTATAATTTCAAATGAAATCTTCATCTTCGATCTTGAAAGTTGAAAAATTGGAAAAAATGATATATCGGCGTTTATTTTTTACGTTCGTCAAGCTTTACGCTATTCTATGTAAGTAAGCGCGGGAAAGCAATGTGGCAGGGATTAAAGTTGCTGATTGGATGTTTGTAAGGAATTATCGGACCTATCACATGTATGAGTAGCTCACATGAAACTGACGCTTGAAAACAAACAGATTAAAATGCAAAGTAAGCGCGGGAAAGCAATGTGGCAGGGATTAAAGTTGCTAATTGGATGTTTGTAAGGAGTTATGGGACTTATGACATGTATGAGTAGCTTACGTGAAACTGACACCATAAAACCAAACGGATTAGCATGCAAAATAAGCGCGGGAAATAACAGAATTATACACGGTCAACTAACCGCCCATAAAAACTCAGACCGGTCAAGGCATTATCGGCGGTTAACCGGTTAACCGGTTAATATTTGACACCTCTAGTGTTTAGGGTGTATGACGCATTTATCAGATCTAAAATGTTGAGTTTACCTAATCATATTCCATACTTTCAGGTGAAAGAACACTGAGTCACTATCAAGGTGAAACAATAGACAGATATACAACAATAGATATGTACAGAAGACCTGCCACTAACAACCTCAGCCAATGTGTCATGTCCTATGGTAGGCCCAGCTATGGCTATTACACCCAGAGATACCCATGTAAGTCAGCAGTCAGTTGAAAAATTTAGTGTGACATTAATTGTGTTGTTTAATTTTAAAATAGGATACTAGAATTCCCAGTCTGCTTTTTGATTCAAAACAGGATCAACTTGTATTCTTTAGGTCTATTTATCAATATGGCCAACATGTTTGTGACTGATATTTACTGATAAAATGTTATTATTTTACAGCCAAATCAACATGGTTTGGAGCTTCAACTCCCTTAAACCAAACTAATGTCCTACAAACAGTGCCACAAAAGACGAAGGAAGAATATGACAATATTAATTATGCCCAACAATGTGCCAGTAAATCCAGAGATGGAAAGTGGCCAGACTATTCAGAATACACAGACAAACTCTTACTAAGATCAAAAACAGAACCTAGAATAAACAAGTGAGTACATGTCCTACAGAATATTGTAGTTGTTTTTATTTTAGTGAGATCTCGTACCAGTCCTGGGGTCTTGCCATATACATTCCTTTTTGTTGATCAAAAAATTGATCAAACGACTTCATGGTTTTATACTGTAATGTACTGTACATAATATTGCTTCAATTCAGGAAAAAAATCTAGGAAAAACCAACAACAAAATAGCTGAATCAGCTGCAATGGTTTTAGGAATTTAAATATTTCAAATCATTGTTTAAAGAATTAAGAAACTTAGTTTGCTTGTACCAATTTAACAAATTATGCAATTTCTTTTATATCATGTATTTTCAGTTTGGAACAAAAGAAAAGGTATGTCCAACTAGCAGAAATATGTGTGTGACACTCAAAGTAATGGAACAATGTGACAGACATACCTACTTAACAGAAGTGAATATGTATGTCTCGATATGGAATCAGTTATTAATATCACATGCAATATACAATACAAAACATGAAAAATGGAGATTTAGACTTTACTACAAATATAACGATATGAGTAGAAATATACTTTATTTCTAGCCAGAATCCATTATTGTCTGTAGGTGACCGAATCACATTTCTGAAATGCAAATTCTTCGTTGATTCTGCAGTAACGGGAAAAACGAAATACTCTAATGTGTGTGTATGATACATGTGCCATGTGATATATTTTGAAGTACAGCACAGAAGGAAGTGTGGTATTTCAATTAATATGAGATTTTCATAATCTTGACTTAAGATATCAGTGCTGGACACTGGATAGTGGATATTAAGTCTATTGACCATCAAGTCATGGAAAACTATAAAACATTGACAAAATGGTGGCATTTTGAGTTGTGTATCATATTTTATTAATTTTTATGTCACCACCAGAAGTGGTGACATACTGTTATAGTCTCCAACTTTTTTGTTGATAGTGTTTGGTGTTCAGTGGTCGGTGTCTGTAACAAATGGCAGGTGGTGACATTTTGCATGTTTATGCCATTTTATGATACATATTGTGAGATTACTTTGCTTTGCAATATACAGCATCATTTTATACAATTTCTGTTTTTTGAATAGCATTTTCATCATTTTTGTACATTCCTTGTACCTATTTTTAGTCATGAAGAGTTATTCGTAAATTGTAAATGATGAACTGGGTTTTAAAAAAGAATGCACTAAACAGAATTACAAAAGACTCAGAGTTTACATGCAAATATGCATTATTTATATAACATTATCATACACTTATTTTTTACCAATAAACTAGCATAAAAATATCATATATAATTTTCTTATTCTTTTATGCAAGATGAGTAAAATAAAGACATTTTATATCACCCCCATTTTTAGACTTCAAAAGAAAGGAAATACATGTACAGTGAAATCAGTCAAATTCGAACGCCAAAGGGAAGACCAGCCAAAGGTGTTTGATTTAGCAGATGTTCACATTTCAAGGTTATCAAATATATGAGCTATGGGAGATCACAAAGGGACCTAGAAAAGTGTTCACATTAAAAAGTGTTCCGGATATACAGGTTTTTGAAATTGAAATCACGTTGCACTCATTGTCATGCCTTTTTGGGAATAACTCATTTTAGGTATTGTACTTGAACCGTTATTTAATGGTTTTGTGAAATTGTTGGGTCAAATTAATTTTGAATAGGTCAGACTCTTGAAGATAACATAAATGTTATAAATATTACGATCAGTTTGACTGGCCATAAGCTTTTTTAAATTGCATATCCAAATAATCCAGTGCATTGATTGGTTCATATTTATTTGACCCATCTAGACTCTTCACTATGGTGCTATTATCTGGTTGTATAAAGAATGCCATTGATTTGCGGGCGCATCTCCTTAGCTTTTCATCAGTAGGAACCACTACTCTATGTCTCTGGAAATACAAGTAGACAGTGTATTATGCATGCATTCTGTAACAGGTATTAAAACTGATACAATGCGTAACAAAGGGTTTCAGAATTATACGTTAGTGGTATAGTTTTATAGCTACGGTATTCATCCATTTGTGAAGGAATTTCAAAAGTGATTTTAAAAGCATGAAATATAATGTGAGATCATCCCTTCCTAATATAAGTCTATAATGTAAATACTGACAATTATATAGATTGCATGAACAAGTATTTTAATTAATCGTCAAAAGCTATGAATCTGTAGCATATTCATTAGCAAACTAATCAACAGAGTAAAGCATGAGAGTTCAGAAGAATACCTAGCTATCCTTCATAATACATTACCCCATTACTCATCACAAATTCCCCCTTATATTATACCATTGCATGTGAGGCATGTGTACCATCCCCACTATGTACATATCCCCACTATCCATCCCCACTAGGTAGAACCTCACATTTGAAAGTAGAGTATCAGAAGTCCACCTCTGCATCATATCACCAATGTTCACCAAGACTGTATCAACAACAGGAGTAGCAGAAACAAATGTCCCATCCCTAGATGCAACCTGCAAAACAATACAGAAAGCAGAAACAAATGTCCCATCCCTAGATGCAACCTGCAAAACAATACAGTAAAGCAGAAACAAATGTCCCATCCCTAGATGCAACCTACAAAACAATACAGTAAAGCAGAAACAAATGTCCCATCCCTAGATGCAACCTGCAAAACAATACAGAAAAGCAGAAACAAATGTCCCATCCCTAGATGCAACCTGCAAAACAATACAGTAAAGCAGAAACAAATGTCCCATCCCTAGATGCAACCTGCAAAACAATACAGAAAAGCAGAAACAAATGTCCCATCCCTAGATGCAACCTACAAAACAATACAGTAAAGCAGAAACAAATGTCCCATCCCTAGATGCAACCTGCAAAACAATACAGAAAAGCAGAAACAAATGTCCCATCCCTAGATGCAACCTGCAAAACAATACAGTAAAGCAGAAACAAATGTCCCATCCCTAGATGCAACCTGCAAAACAATACAGAAAAGCAGAAACAAATGTCCCATCCCTAGATGCAACCTGCAAAACAATACAGTAAAGCAGAAACAAATGTCCCATCCCTAGATGCAACCTGCAAAACAATACAGTAAAGCAGAAACAAATGTCCCATCCCTAGATGCAACCTGCAAAACAATACAGAAAGGCAGAAACAAATGTCCCATCCCTAGATGCAACCTGCAAAACAATACAGAAAGGCAGAAACAAATGTCCCATCCCTAGATGCAACCTGCAAAACAATACAGTAAAGCAGAAACAAAAATTTGGGTTTCAAGTAATTATTGTCGTAAAAGTACAAGGAATTCCTTTTTGTTTTTTCTTCTTGGAAACCTTGAAGAAACTAAAAATGTAGTATATGAACAATGTATTACAGCAACATATCAATATGCATTTTAAAAATCCTACTATTTCACGATCACGAGGGTCTCAAAAATTGAGTAATTTTTCACAAAGATTTTACTCTGAGCAAATGGAAAAAGGATAAATCATTTTATATCTACATACATTAGAACATGTCTAATGTGAACACCACTGGGACTGACAAAAAGTGTTTCTGGTATTAAATCAGGTGTTCACACTTCAAGGTTTCTAAACAAATGTATGTGAGCAATGGGAGAAAACAAAATTGGAGCCAAAAAAGTGTTCACATTGAGTGGTTTTCGAATTATAGGGATAGGGGGCCCGAGGGGGGGTTGCTGTTTAGATATACAGGTTTCACTGTACCTCTAATCCTCCTATATCATCTTGAATTAGAAGTGTTATAGACCCATAGTCTGAATGCTCCCCCAATCTTAACTGGCCTGCTTCGATTTCTACAAATTCAAGAACATGCATTTGCATCCATTTGTTTCAGCTCAATAAAATCACTGACAAGTGGCTACAAGATATAGTATTAGTTTGACCTGTGAAATTAACACTTAGACTGAAAGTACTTGTCCGTAACATGAATCACAGAAGTCTCCAAATCTATTTTGAAGCTGTTATACATTTACCTTTATCATCTGGAACTGGGGGATAGTTTAGGAACCTAATACAGCTTGTGTTTTCTAGTGAACCAATTTTCGAATGATATTGGTCAAAATAGTTTCTTTCCTGAAATAAAAGAAACATTTTCAATATGTATATTCACAATTAATTACTTCTTAAATATTCACAGACAGATATGTTATTTGAATAAACACCAAAACTTAAAACACCAAAACTTTAAAATCCTGTTACCCATTAATCTGTTAATGTAAAATGAATCTCAATTAGAGGAACATCTCTCAAAATGGATCAATTTGTACATACCATTTTCATTCCCAATGCCATTATCTGAAGGACTCGTTTTCCCAATTTTTCACAACTTCTGAAAAGTGTCTCAAAATCACTGTAGAAATTAGGTAATTCTTCCTTTGGTATAATCTGAAAATACAAGACTGTCTATAAAACAACGAGTTAAAAAGTTGTCATTATTTTCTATCAATTTCCTTCATGAAATTTTGAAAAATCCAAAAAATGGTAAATTAAATTGTCACAATAATTTATTAATTGGCCATAATATGAATAAATGCCAAAAGTCCCATCAGTTCAAAATGATAGTTGATAAATGACTGTACGAGGATTGACATTCAAAATTACCCCAGAGTATTATATTACTTTCCGACTTTATTTGGGACTTTTTGCAAATATTCACCTATCGTCCAAATGATGTGAATATCGCAGCATTGTATTGGAAATTGATTTTTTCAATGATTTACTGTAAAAGTATAGAGTAAGGATATTGGAAATTTGTAGTACTCAAAGTGCGTCGTTTTATAACTCACCCTGTAACTCTTTCCGTAACGATCATTTCCCTATAGATACTTTTAACCAACCTCTTGTTTTAAAAAACATGCTTGGGGGATTTTTATTGATAAAACTGAAATAATTTAATTTAAAAGGGTTCAATTTACCTTTGGTGTTGTCCCATCATAAGGTATGAAGCTATATGTTTCTTTCAGATCTCCTGGTTGAGATGGGTTCAATCTAAATTAATTATAAACAAAATAACTTTAATGACCTAATAAAAAATATTGGAAATATATGGCTGAGAAAATCAAATTAATTAATCTTTGGATGGACACCCAGGTATGTTCTTGATAAAAAAAAATATAGAAACAAAATTGAACTTACCGTTCGCCTTCCATAGGGGCATAGCCATAGTACTCTCCTTTTGGAATGGCATATCGCATTTTGACTTCTTCAGGTAGGTCGAAGAATTTCTGGGATACATTGTATACATCACTTATCTAAAAAGGAATACTAGTAGTAAAAATAGATCTTGGATTTTATTCTTTTAAATAGCACTACGTTCTGAAGTAATAAAAAGACAACGTTTGTCGCTGAAATATTTGTTATAGGCAAAATGGAATTAATTATTGGCAGTCCGGAGTCCCTCCCCCGTCCCTCTCATGGCTGCCTCCCTGGGGCTGCCCACAGTACATCTATCATAAGCTTGGCTTGATCATTAGCACCAAAATCCATACTTGTGTCTTAGGAAGTCCATGTCCTTTCAAGTAGACAAACCCTACTGTCGTGAACGCTTTGTAGACGCTATCTGCAAGTTGCTGGAGTTCATCATCACCCACCGTATTCACATTTAGTCCATATGCAGAAAAGTCAACAATTGGGATCATTTTTACAAGAGTTCAAAAACACAGAAGGTACATACGCGTAGACCTTTGTACTTATACTTTGTGTCAACGTTTGAACTGCACCAAGCGACTGAATAGTATTACCTACATACGAGGTCTGGAAATTCATTAGCCTGAGAAAGGGATACGTTTTTATTGAGAAAACCAAATTATTGTTTTATGTTGTATCGGTTAGATTATCGTCAATCATATATTTGAGGTGATCCTTTTTCAACAACAAACACAATGTCAAAATAACCCACCAATACTTCATTTCATTACAGCATACTAGACCTCAGATCTACCTACTTATTGTGTTTGTATAACGAGACTAGCATTGATAACAAAGTAAACACAGGCCCTCTGAAACACAGACACGGGAACAAGAGTTCATCCCCCTCCCATTCACTCTGTATTACTTAGAAAAAGACTGTATTTTTTACATTAGCGATACAGTGACTAGGGGGGGGGGGGGTCAGGGGCGTAGGAAGGTGTAAATGCAACACTACGCCAAAAATCCCGCCAAAAAAATATGAAACAATTGTGTCAATATTCTATAGCAAAACGCCTATATTATGCTTGTAAAACGTCATTTTATGGTAACAGAGATTTTAAGCTTGCAATGTTTTTCACAAACTAAATGTGAACGGAAATACTTAAGCGATGCATTTATATGGGCGATTGGGCATACGTATAGGTTGGCGTTTCGATTTTATATGCAAGCTTTAAATCCCTGATACCTTTTTAATGTGCTTTAATATGTTCGAATGATTTTCATCATTTAAAATCACCTTGGAAAGCCTATCTTTTAAATCACGACACAAATCATTCTCACTTTGCTAATGTCTCGAACGATTGAGACGACCAATTTCCAAAAAAACAATTAGAGATTTTTTAATCATTTTCGAATAATTGAATTAAGATATACAGATATATAGTATTGTCTGATTCCATCGTGTACCATGCAATACAATACGTACAGATTAAAGAAACTAGTTTGATCAATTGATATAAAGAAACGCATTCGTGATCAATGAAACAAATAAATACACCCACCGCAAAGGTCAAATCGAGGTCAACGTGACTTAGGGGGTGCCAAAAATGTTATAAAACAAGAATCTATTATTTTTCAAATGAAAAAAAATAGGTAATCGCTTTTCTAGAACTGAAATCAATGGAACGTGTAATTGAATAATCAGCATTTTCAAGTTGTTTTTGTCTTTAACATCCATATTTCAAAAAGTACTACCAATAACAATTAGTGATTTAGTAAGAAAATAGATAATTGTTGACTTAACTATAATTTCGTGTCTATGATTTTGCATAGCAACGGAATATAAATCGATAGTGAAATTGAAAAATTGGGGTAGGGGAGAATAAAAAAAATGTACATCTAAATTTAAAGAGGTTCATCATTATAATTATATGATACCATAGTTTGCATAAGCATTACGGAAAATGCAGAAAAAATGTCAAAGGTATTTATCAAGTAGTTTTTGAAAAAAAAACAGTTTTCCTCTCAAATTCGTGAAGAGAACGCAATTCACGAATATTTGGCAAAATTGTATTCATAAGACATTCAATAGTGGCTCGATTTTCATGAAATAAAGCATGTTGCTAAGGGAATTAAATCTGTTAAATGATATTTTCCAGACAGACCAATAATGATATGGTATCCACAAAACATTTCTTTAGGCTCGAGATTACTTTTACAATTTATGAACAATGAGAAAATATGACTAAAGAACATAGGAAAATTCTTTTTTATTCTCACTTTTCAACACTACGCACTGGCGTTTTGGCGTACATTGTTCCTACGCCACTGGGGGGGGGGTAAATCTTCCTGGGCCCTGTGCTCTGAAATTAAACTCATGTTGCCTGATGGTCTCGATGAATGGCAACATTCAAAGCCTTGTTAAAGTTGAAGGAGTCACGGAAAAAAGCATCCCCCTCACTGCTTGGCTATTAATAAGGATAAAAACATATACCCGCCCCGGGTAATTATATCCTTCTCTGGCTCCTTGTGATCCCTCCCTGATCCCCCGGGCCTGATCCCTAGCCCATATGCTATATATTCCACGGCTAGTAGCTTACTAGGTTACTAACTCGTCCACAATCGGTAAACATGATAAAGGTTATTCTTTTTGTACATTTTACATCTCTTCAATATTTGCACCTATACATTCAAGTAATCAGGAAGTTATCAAACTGTTATTTTATACGTGATTAATTCCCGGGAAAGGTGCGTGCCCCTGTTTAAAAAGCGCGGGTAAATGCCCGCCACCTATTTATTTGACAAAGTCTCGTTAATTCTCGCGTGTGTTCGAGCAGGATAGAAATGGCTGCCAAGAAACAGAAAAAGATATCTCCAGAAGTCAACTAATTTAGTAGGTTTGTGTGACCTTTATTGCATATTTATTAGTGGCAAAATATGAACATGACTTTGGTCCACATTTGTAACGTGTCTGATTACCTCTTACGCAACTGCAAAGTTACTAACTTCTCAAATGCATTGTTCAGCTTGTCAAAAATTGACAAGGAAGAAATCAGGTCAGATTTATATGATCTTGAGTCTATTGACCTTAGAATATATACACGGAAATTAACTAATCGATGCTTTCAATGTTATGTAGATGTGATTAAAATCATCTTCACAATGGGGAAGAAATTTCTGTTCAGTAAGTGTTTTCAGTCTGTCATGACAAGAGCTCAGAGTTGGAATCTTATCCTTGACATTTCTGCATTTGCCATGTGGTTCATTGTCATCATTATGTCTCTATATTACAATAGTTGACTTGTAGAAGAGGCATTCCTGCCCAGATGATTTTTACATTAAAAGTGGAGTCTGTGTCATGGTATTTCAAAAAAGTGTATCCATTGGACTCTACACTTGATAAAAATAACATTTTGACACAAAAATACTCCCCTCTTATCTTTCACTTATCAGTAATATAGAAACTTCAGATCATAAATGCAATGGTTAATTTTTTGTCAAACCTGACAGAGAACATTACGTCTAATTTAACAATATTGCAAGAGGATAATAAGTCAATTTACAACAAATATATAATATAACCATGATCATGATTCACAATTGATTCTCAGGAAAGAAAATTATTGAGGTCATCTTTTTCTATTTAGTCCCTCTTTCGATATCTTCTCCCTGTAAAAAACAAATATTGTCTGGTCTCAAATGTATGGTAGTTTGTTGCTTCACAGTTTGCTGTTTGCTAATTTATTGGAAGCGTTTTTAATATCTCCATTCTATAATTTATAATAGAGGTCTATCTGCAGATGTCATAAATCACATTGGAATCAACTGTGATAATTGGAGTTGATGGAGAATGCAATATTACACTTCTCACATGACTGTCAGGAGGGCCTGCCTAGAGGGAATATTTTCATGAGAATAGGCAAGATGTGATTTATCTCAAATGATATGCTTTCATTTGAAGCATCTGGATATCTATTTCGATTTAAATTTAACACAAACTAATTTCTATTGTTGCTTTTTAGCCATGACCTTATTGCCATGACAACAATTTTTTATTCTTGATTTTATTCTCAATGCTTGGAAAAAATTAATGTTGTGCCAAATTGTTTTTCGACAGGTTATTGTTCACTAATATTTTTCATATGAGTACAAGCTCAGTCTTAAATTATGAAACTTTCAATTCACCTTTTACTGAATAATTTTGTCATTTATTCTTACTGCAAACTTTGAAAAGGAACAAACTACTGCAGTCTGACAATGCTTGGGTTTTTGGCATTTTAAGAAATCGGTCATCTTCATTAAAGTAGGTGCTACACCCATGTATCCCTTTCAGATCTCAATAATAGGTGTTGGCTCAGCCTAACCATTTGTGCCCACTTGATAAAAATCCTGAAAAATTGGCATGTATTGATCAATTTGTGAAAATGACAATTTCTATACAAATCTGAAACACAGCAAAGCTTTTGGTCTAAATTCTTTTTTTTTGTTCTGTAGGGATTCACAATACAAAGAAAATGGCTGAAGAGCTGACTCATGATGAAAATTTGACCCCGGAACATCAATTGCTGGGTGATTTATTGAAGGATGCCGGATCTCCATCTATGTGCAACTTGACGTCTCAAACTGAAGGCACATCAACATATCAGTCTTGGTCACCATTCCTTACCTCTACCCAAACTGGACAGTTTGATTTTGGTCAAGGTACAGAGGCATCAGCTTGGGCAAATTTTCAGCTCCCCGATGAGAGTCCTCTTAATCTGCCTGGTGCACAATCCAGCAGACTCGGCTCTTATGAGGACTATATCGCATCATTAAGCCAGGCAGATTCTAACTCTGAACATGGCTCGGAAAGTGGTAACAACTTCTATGGCTTTTACCCTAGCACAATAGATGGCTTGGCATCTGGTATGGAAGCTAGTGCTGCCAATGGAAGGGATTTGTATGCGGAGGCTATGCAGCAGTATAACTGCTACAATACTCAATATGATCCGTTTGGGTCTTCGGCTGTACTTCAAGATCTCACTGATGCAACTACTAAAACTCATAGCTCAGCTGCGAAACCTAAAACATATTCTGATGTTGCCAAAAACGCAGCAACCAAGCAACCAAAGATAGCCAGTGGTGGAGGTACTAAGATACCTGATGGGGGTAGCAAAGCTGGCACTGGGGCTCCACCAATGATGAGGCCTGCAGCAATTCCCAGGCATTTCATTAAGCAGAAGAAACCACGTGGCTTTTTCTTTCCTAAAGCGAGACATACATCCATGAGTGAAGATCTACCAATCCCTACTGTGAAACCTGATTCTAAGTATGGACTTGATAGCTTCGATGACTTCCCTGTTACTGGCCCTGCCAAAGAGAGAGCTAAACTGACTAAGACACAGTCGGCCGAGGAGCTACCCATAAGTCGCAAAGGAAGCACTAGTAGTGTGAGTAGCAGCAGTGGGATAGAAGATATCATCACCCCAATAGTTAAGCCAACAACCAGTCCTGGGGAGGGAAACCCACAACCCGTATCACGGAAATCCAAACAGAAAGAATCGGCCAGCAAGTCCAAGCAGCAGCAGCAGCAGCCAAGTAAGGTTTTCTTTGACCCTAGACGTATGTTCCCTGATCAAAGTACGAGAGGGGGATCTAGTAATGGCAAAGAAGAAAAGCATTCAATCCCAAATAACCAACACTCTAAGGCACCTGAAGATGGCCATATGTTGAATAATGGTAAACTGAACAGCAACTTGATGAAATCCAATGGAAATGTAAAGAAGAACTCGCAGACATACATTAACAACGACCTCAGAAATAAAACAGACAACAAGAAGCAGACCAACACAGAGAGCAGGGGGTCACCATACAATGATAAGCCAGGAACTGGTATGAAGACAACTCACACTACCACTGGGGATGTACACAATAATAACGTACCAAAACCAGAGGCTGTCAAGAAGAAAAAGAAACAGAAAGGTCATGATTATATAGGTGAGTTCAATGTCTACTATTCATTTAACTAAAACTGCAAATTATGAAATCGCAGTGATTTAATGTGGCAGTTAATTGCATCTCAACTGTGCACAATGTTGTACAAAACACCATTTGAAAATCAATTATGCCAATCTCCCTCTACTTCCCTCTCTAACTCTGCCATTTGCAGCCTAGCTTCTTATAGGTTTGTAGCAACAAAATCACTGGTTGATTAGCACATTTCTTTACACTTGGTACAAATAAATAGCTAGAGGGTTAACATTTCGAAATAAGGATATAGGTACCAGAAAATGTGTTTACGTCAGAGATGTTAATTTAAAAGTCACTTTGTGTTATAAAGCTAAATGTTTGCTTTGGTTATCATTGAACAGTGTAGCGTACAGCTATTTTTAAACAGCATGGTTGCATTAGTGCATGTATCTTAAATTAATTATAACCCTTTAATCATATATCATATATCAGCTTTGTGATACATGTAAATATATCACATTTGTACAATATAGTTTACCGTTTATTCAGTTTACTGTACTAGGAATGCCATGCTGGATATTATTGAATAAATTCTTAACAATCTGATTGTTACAGTGTTATAATTAAATAAATGGCTCTTGACTTAAAAAGATTTATAAAAGTTAAATTTTAACTATGTATACATGTCATGTACCAGTATGTAGCTTTAATGTTACAACTCTTCAGTTTAGAAATAATTGTGCTCCCAAACATATCATTTACATAGAGGTTTTCAACAGAACTGGCTTTATTAAATATTATTTTATTTGTCACATAATAACTTTAGTTATACAGGCTCACACATATTAAAAACTAGATTTCTCTAAATCTCAAAGTTGTTGATGTAATGTTTTTGAAGTACACCACTGCTTCACATTTCAAACATTACATTTGACCCATACAGAAAATTAGTAAAATCTCATCTGTGCATCCAGGTCAGCATCGGGTCGAATTTGAAATAGAAGGTGATTTTAAAACAGCATTTGGTCAGTTTGAAGCAAGTTGAAAATGACGATTTTTACCCTATTTACTGAAATATTTACTGAAACGTTTATCGAGATTTAGCTGTAGGAATTTGTAGGGAATGTTTTCAGGATGTTTCACTTTATTCATAGCTCTTCAAACACAGAAACCTTTAATTTGACCTAGATTTAGATGTTTGACCTTGACCATGATACAAATAATTTCCCAGCAAGTCTACCCCAGGTCCCTGTTATTAGCAGCATAGGGTTAATAGCTGAAACCTAGCTAGTAATATGAGGAAAGAGACAGAAGAATGAATAAATGATTAATTAAAGTAATATTTTTAAGAGGGCCTCCTCTTGCTAATAAGAGATACATCTATAATATATGTAAAATGTAATGAATATATATGTATACTGTACAGTAGCTGTAATCAGTTAGTGGTATCCTACCACTGAGAAAATATAATCATTGGTCACAAAATAGTAGGTTAATAATCCAGTAGCCGACAGCCGAGAGTTGCATTCGCAAATACAAGCTTTGTGTCACAGATTCATTTCATGACAAAAATACCTGCAGTCAATACTGGCTAATGATAATATGAACAATTGATTTCTGTCTCTTCTTAAAGCTATGAGAGAATGTAAAGATTAGGAATCCATTTCTTAAACCTTCCATCGGGTCATGTTTATACTGATGTTATAAATCTGTACTTCTAATAATAAATTGTTATTTGCATTGCATTTGTATATTTGTTTGAAAGAAAGCCAATACAATTGTGAACTCAGAATGAAACCAAACATCCTAATTACATGGCTTTGCCAAATACAAGTATAATCTTGCTGTTGTATCAATGTAAATAGAAGAAGAAATATTAAGATTGTCCCCCAGCATTTAAACTATCATATGCTTTCCTATCTAGCTTTGAAATCTCTTTGAGGTCTCATTTCTACTGATTATCCCACCGAACGAAGTTCGAGGAGGATATAGAAAAGCCATCCGTCCGTCCGTTCGTGTGTCCGGGCAATAACTCAAATACCGGTTGACGGATTTCATTCAATTTTATAGACTTATGCCTTATGGGTGAAGGACCTCTGCTCGATAAGGAATTTTCAATATGGCTACTAAATTCAAAATGGCGGCCATTTTTCAGAAAAAATATAATCTTTGTTTACTCAAATACTGGTGGATGGATTTGGTTCAAATGTTATATGCTGTTGCCCAGGTACAAAGGAGCCTTGCTGAAGAAGACATTTTCAAGATGGCCACCATATTTCAAAATGGCGGCCATTTTTTGTAAAAAAACGTTATCTTTGATAACTCAAGTACCATAGAATGGATTTGGATCAAATTTTATATGCTGTTGCCTGGGTACAAAGGAGCCTTGCTCAAGAAGACATTTTCAAGATGGCCACCATATTTCAAAATGCCGGCCATTTTTGTAAAAAAAGTTATCTTTGATAGCTCAAATACCATTGAATGGGTTTGGTTCAAATTTTACATGCTGATGTCTAGGGACATTGACCAAAGCTCTGTTCGAGAAGGGATTTTCAAGATGGCAGCTAAATTTCAAAATGGCCGCCATTTTTCATAAAAGAATGTAACCTTTGATAACTAAAGTACCAGTTGGCGGATTTGGATTAAATGTATATGCTGATGCCTTTGGACAAGAGAGCTCTGCTAAAGGAGAAATCTAAAGATGACAGCTGAATTTCAAAATGGCAACCATGTTTCATGAAAACACAATCTTTGATAATTCAAATACCAGTGGATGAATTTGGCTCAAATTTTATATGGCCGCTGTTTACCAAAACATGTTTTGTTCGGTGGGATTTGCTACTCCGTGGAGTTGCTGTTTTTCTAGTTTTAATATTTTTGCATGTTTAACCATAAAGACTTCTTTTTGCAAATAAGGTTTTACATTAATCCCATAAATTAAATAATTAAGTGACTTGTGTCAGTTGTCAGTATCATGAAATGGTTTCTTGCCCAACCAAAACACTATTGCCATCTATTTGGCAAAGGCGAATCATCTTTTTTTGAAATTTGCTTCATAAAAAGCAGCCTTACCATCTACCTACCCACTAAACGTAAGCGATTTCACATAGAATTTGCTATAAATCACGAGCTACTGCCTAGAACAAGTACTTTCCTGAACCATTTTGAATTGCATATTTTTGGTTTTTCTATGTACAAAACATTAAAACACAAGTGTGATAAATTACATTTATTTGTTGTGGCAAGGCAAGGGAATGGAGCAAGTGGCTGATTGGTATATTTATAAAACATTAAAATGAGTGTATTAAATTGCAGGTATTTGTTGTGGCAAGGCAAGGGAATGGACCAAGTGGCTGATTGGTATATTTATAAAACATTAAAACGAGTGTATTAAATTGCAGGTAGTTGTTGTGGCAAGGCAAGGGAATGGAGCAAGTGGCTGATTGGTATATTTATAAAACATTAAAACGAGTGTATTAGATCTAAATTGCAGGTAGTTGTTGTGGCAAGGCAAGGGAATGGAGCAAGTGGCTGATTGGTATATTTATAAAACATTAAAACGAGTGTATTAAATTGCAGGTATTTGTTGTGGCAAGGCAAGCGAATGGAGGAAGTGGCTGATTGGTATATTTATAAAACATTAAAATGAGTGTATTAAATTGCAGTTATTTGTTGTGGCAAGGCAAGGGAATGGAGCAAGTGGCTGATTGGTATATTTATAAAAACATTAAAACGAGTGTATTAAATTGCAGGTAGTTGTGGCAAGGCAAGGGAATGGAGCAAGTGGCTGATTGGTATATTTATAAAACATTAAAACGAGTGTATTAGATCTAAATTGCAGGTAGTTGTTGTGGCAAGGCAAGGGAATGGAGCAAGTGGCTGATTGGTATATTTATAAAACATTAAAACGAGTGTATTACATTGCAGGTATTTGTTGTGGCAAGGCAAGGGAATGGATCAGGTGGCTGATTGGTATATTTATAAAACATTAAAACGAGTGTATTAAATTGCAGGTAGTTGTTGTGGCAAGGCAAGAGAATGGAGCAAGTGGCTGATTGGTATATTTATAAAACATTAAAACGAGTGTATTGAATTGCAGGTAGTTGTTGTGGCAAGGCAAGAGAATGGAGCAAGTGGCTGATTGGTATATTTATAAAACATTAAAATGAGTGTATTGAATTGCAGGTAGTTGTTGTGGCAAGGCAAGGGAATGGAGCAAGTGGCTGATTGGTATATTTATAAAACATTAAAACGAGTGTATTAGATCTAAATTGCAGGTAGTTGTTGTGGCAAGGCAAGAGAATGGAGCAAGTGGCTGATTGGTATATTTATAAAACATTAAAACGAGTGTATTAAATTGCAGGTAGTTGTTGTGGCAAGGCAAGAGAATGGAGCAAGTGGCTGATTGGTATATTTATAAAACATTAAAACGAGTGTATTAGATCTAAATTGCAGGTATTTGTTGTGGCAAGGCAAGAGAATGGAGCAAGTGGCTAATTGGTATATTTATAAAACATTAAAATGAGTGTATTGAATTGCAGGTAGTTGTTGTGGCAAGGCAAGAGAATGGAGCAAGTGGCTGATTGGTATATTTATAAAACATTAAAACAAGTGTATTAAATTGCAGGTAGTTGTTGTGGCAAGGCAAGGGAATGGATCAAGTGGCTGATTGGTATATTTATAAAACATTAAAACGAGTGTATTAGATCTAAATTGCAGGTAGTTGTTGTGGCAAGGCAAGGGAATGGAGCAAGTGGCTGATTGGTATATTTATAAAACATTAAAACGAGTGTATTAAATTGCAGGTATTTGTTGTGGCAAGGCAAGCGAATGGAGGAAGTGGCTGATTGGTATATTTATAAAACATTAAAATGAGTGTATTAAATTGCAGTTATTTGTTGTGGCAAGGCAAGGGAATGGAGCAAGTGGCTGATTGGTATATTTATAAAAACATTAAAACAAGTGTATTATTTGCAGGTAGTTGTGGCAAGGCAAGAGAATGGAGCAAGTGGCTGATTGGTATATTTATAAAACATTAAAATGAGTGTATTAAATTGCAGTTATTTGTTGTGGCAAGGCAAGGGAATGGAGCAAGTGGCTGATTGGTATATTTATAAAACATTAAAACGAGTGTATTAAATTGCAGGTATTTGTTGTGGCAAGGCAAGCGAATGGAGGAAGTGGCTGATTGGTATATTTATAAAACATTAAAATGAGTGTATTAAATTGCAGTTATTTGTTGTGGCAAGGCAAGGGAATGGAGCAAGTGACTGATTGGTATATTTATAAAAACATTAAAACGAGTGTATTGAATTGCAGGTAGTTGTGGCAAGGCAAGGGAATGGACCAAGTGGCTGATTGGTATATTTATAAAACATTAAAATGAGTGTATTAAATTGCAGTTATTTGTTGTGGCAAGGCAAGGGAATGGAGCAAGTGGCTGATTGGTATATTTATAAAACATTAAAATGAGTGTATTAAATTGCAGGTAGTTGTGGCAAGGCAAGGGAATGGAACAAGTGGCTGATTGGTATATTTATAAAACATTAAAATGAGTGTATTAAATTGCAGGTAGTTGTGGCAAGGCAAGGGAATGGAACAAGTGGCTGATTGGTATATTTATAAAAACATTAAAATGAGTGTATTAAATTGCAGTTATTTGTTGTGGCAAGGCAAGGGAATGGAGCAAGTGGCTGATTGGTATATTTATAAAACATTAAAACAAGTGTATTAAATTGCAGGTAGTTGTGGCAAGGCAAGGGAATGGAGCAAGTGCCTGATTGGTATATTTATAAAACATTAAAACGAGTATATTAAATTGCAGGTATTTGTTGTGGCAAGGCAAGGGAATGGAGCAAGTGGCTGATTGGTATATTTATAAAACATCAAAACGAGTATATTAAATTGCAGGTATTTGTTGTGGCAAGGCAAGGGAATGGAGCAAGTGGCTGATTGGTATATTTATAAAACATTAAAACGAGTGTATCGAATTACATGTATTTGTTGTGGCAAGGCAAGGGAATTGACCAAGTGGCTGATAGGTATATTTATAAAACATTAAAAGGAGTGTATTAAATTGCAGGTATTTGTTGTGGCAAGGCAAGGGAATGGAGCAAGTGGCTGATTGGTATATTTATAAAACATTAAAACGAGTGTATTGAATTGATTGCAGGTAGGGGAAGATCACCTAATTCCATCCAATTTTTTCTATTTTTCTTTTTATTGAAAAACACGGCGAAGATTATCAAAACCGCTTGAAAACTATATGAAACATCAATAAAACTAACATTATTTGTGGGGTCTCGTTTCAAATCATCCCTGTTTGATTGGTTAATATCATAGAAAAGGTGGACAATTGCGTTTCCTAATCCCGTCCACCTGTCCTAATCCCGTCCACCAAACAGTCCTAATTCCAGCCAGCCAACAACCTAATGCCGTCCACGTGATTAATTACCGTGATTCTCAATAAGTTTACATCTATTACCCAATATTTGTTCATTCCCTAACCATTTATACTATGGTATGTTACCCTACGGTGTTATAACTGAATGACTTATTCATATTTTTGTTACAGCGCAGCCAGAGTGGTGATATATTCGTTATAGTATCTAAGTTTAGGAAACATTGTTCGGCGGTTGGGATTTCTCACTTGTAACAAATTGCCGGTGACATTTGGCTTGTTGTAATAAGGCCTACAATTTGTTAGATAACGTATTTAGCAAACATGTTGTCAGTTTATATTCCTTTAAGGATCAGATGATAAGGTCCCCGTAGTGTTAAAACCTGAGGCCCAGGAATACGTTAAAAATGTTTAAAATGTCCGCTAGTGTTCTGAGATGTTAATGCGTGGTGTATACATGTATATTATACTAGATTACTTACATGTATAAGAATAAGACTGATTTTTATAAGCTAAATGGATAATAATTCTTTTTATTAATGACAGTATACCCGGGCCTCAGGTTAAAACAATGTACGCCAATGCCAAGTGTTAACAAGCAAGGGTAAAAATTGAACAGGCCTACACCTACCTTAAGTTCTCAAGTCAAATTGTCAAACTCACAATGGGTTCACACTGCGACAGCATACTATTTTCTCAAAGTTATGTATCATCGTATTACGAAATAATGGAATCTGACAATACTATAGTTGTATACCATACCTGTAGGTCATGTAGGTATCATGATGATTAAAAATCGTAGTATCTGGAATATAGTTTTACTGCTGTGAAAAGTGCTCGTCTATAAAGCAATCCTTTTTATTGGAAAACAAAGTCAGGTTGAGTTCTGTCAAGATTTCCAAAATCGTCGTTCAATAATGATTTAAATGTCAAAAAACATTTGATCGTTTTAAGCACACAATTATAGTTGCAATAGATGCATTTAATTTATTACCATTTGGATCTGGGACACTGATATTTCCCAATGGTTCCATTAACAAATATATTTAATAGTCCAACAATCTGACTATACGATACCATACACTGACACGTAATCAGTGATTGAAAGTGCATAATAGGCCCAGTATATAAACGTTGAAGCTAGCGTTGCGTACTAGGCTTTTGACCCAGGCTACTAAATAGGTTTCTGTTTGATTTAAGCTTTTTTAGCAAATCTGCTTTTAAATTTCTTCTCTTTATTTAGTTTCCTTTTTTCTTTCCGGAATATGGTAACCAATGTGAACTATGTATTGTATAATCATTTTCGTATGGAATAAATCAATGATTAGCATATGTTTATGTACATGATGTAGTTCAATTTATACTAAAATAAAGTTACCAAGTCGCTGTATTTAACTTTATATTGTAGTGTAAACCAATGCAAAGCTGAAATCAATGGACCTCATGCGTGTACGCGTTACGTACCCCATGATTAAGCAAGTTGGAATAAGGCATCGTATACTAATGACATTTTCAGATATTCAAAGTACACATGTAAATGTTAATACGTAATTAACAATCTGACTATACGATCACGGATTGTTGACTTAGGTATAGCATATCTTGCAGCCGTTTACCTCAAAGTCAACTGGCCTTCTCTGTCGACTTTCACGGCCTCTTCCAGTGTTTCCCGTCAATATTTTGGCATTGTGACCTAAAAATAATAAATGTCCACGTACATATCGTCTTTTACACATGTGTTTTAATTCAGTTTTTAAATATAATTCAACTTCGACAATCGTCTTCAAGTACACAGTGCAATGAAAAGAAGAATCTCCAAAAAGGGGAATCCCCAAATTTTCTAATTGAACTTAATTCCTAATTCCGGTCAATCTTTTCAGACAAATTGTCAGGGTTTTAATTAATTTTTAAGTTTATTATGTCGATCTTTTAAAAAAATTAATATTCAATATCAAATTAAAATGAACTTCATGTAGTTTTCCATTCCAGATTTGCATAATATATCATATAAAGACGGAGACATAAAATACTCACATTAAAATATGGCGCCAATTGGAAAGAAACACCAAGATCAACAATGAATTATAATCGATCAACCTTTTACGTAGATATAGATTCTAAAATGAAACTAGGTATCAACATGTGTCAATTTATTCATTAATACTAATACAAATATTCGTATATATCAATATATCGTATGGACGATATTAGGCAGTGTTGGCTGTCATTAGGTTGTGTTGGACGCCATTATAAGTTATTGAATAATTTGAAGTGCAATACAGGATATATTCTGTTCGAGAAATTCCGTATTGGAACGAGACGAAGTCGAGTGCCAATACAGAATATCGAGACAGAATATATCCTGTATTGCACTTCGAATCATTCAATAACGTTTTTATCGTGTTATCCTCTGTATTGCTACTGAGATTGTCTCCTCCGTACCAATATTTTCTGTATTGCGACGGAGATGATCAACGCGGACAATCTCAGTAGCAATACAGATTGGTACAGCACAAGAACTGACCAATCAGAGGGCTTCATTTTACAGATCATGCGATAATAGGTTGTGTTGGATGCCATTAGGTACTGGACGGAATTAGGTGATTCTACCCTAGTTGTTTTGGCAAGGCAAGGGAATGGAGCAAGTGGCTGATTGTTATATTTATAAAACATTAAAACGAGTGTATTAAATTGCAGGTAGAGTCCAAGTGGCTGATAGGTATATTTATAAAACATTAAAACGAGTGTATTAAATTGCAGGTATTTGTTGTGGCAAGACAAGAGAATGGAGCAAGTGGCTGATTGGTGAGATTTGGAGCCTATTGTGGATGGTACTGCAGTTGCTGTTCACATGTGTTTGCTTACTGTAAGTAACAACTCTATGTACAGAGTGTCCCGAAAGTATAGGACCTCCCTAGATAGACATAAACCAATGTCTGCATGGTATGTGTCTACCTAAGGGGTCCCATACTTTTGGGACAGCCTGTACATTAGGAAAAAGCATATAATCATCCTTCTCAGTCTCAGATGTTGCTAGATTATCGGGGGTTCCATTGTCTCACAATAATACAGTGAAACCTGTATATCTGAACACCTCTCTAATCCGAACACTTCTCAATGTGAACACTTTTTCTCGGTCCCAGATTAGTTTAAACTTCCATTGACCTACATGTTGAAAAAACACGAAATCTGAACACTTGTTCCTTGAAACACGTTTATTTGCTCCCAGAGGTGTTCGGATTAGTCAGGTTTTACTCTCAGTAATGCTAAATATCAGTCATGTAACATAGTAATGTGAATCAAGGTGAAGTGAGAATGTATGCAATTAGTAAGTTGACATTTACTTTTAATGAACTGTGATTTATTGACAGCGTTTAATATTGATTAATTCCTTCTTCATTAGGGATGATGTCTGTAATTCCCAACAGTTGTTCAAGAAGAAAAGTTAATTCATAAAGGGGGATTGATTTCTATTGTGAAGAGTTAATGATTTTTTAATTTTCAAGTGTTTTTTCTATAGTATATGAGTTTATTACATTACTTAACAAAAGTATCCAAATAATCGATTTCCAAAGTGAAAAATGTTAGTGGCAATTTTTAAACCTGCACATCGCTCCAAAACGCAATATGTTGACATATATTGTTTTTACATTTTCAAGCTCTAATATAAAGTTTATGTAAATAAAAATTGTTTTTTTCTGCGTAATATCAAAGAACAATCATTTAGTTAAAAAAAATAAAAAGGCGAATGCGGGATTCGAACCCGGGCCTCCCGCGTGCTCAGCGAGGATTCTACCGCTACACCACCGTATTAGTATGGATGATGTAAGTAATTAAACGCTACTTATTTTGAATGCTATGATTCGGAAGTGACGTCACGTTCTTCATTTAGAAACCTTTCCAAAATCATATCGCCGGCTCCGATCGAAGCAAATTCAATGAAAAATCTTTGAAATGACACATTTATCGTAAGTATTTCTACACAAGATTTGCCCCATTTGTTCATCATTCTATAATCTTTCATTAAGCTCAAAATGATAAAGTTCACCCCCGAAACAACCCAAGATTGCGTTTCGGAGCGTAGTCCAGCTTTAAGTGAAAGGCCAATTTTGTTGGGAGGGGGTTCATTTTCCACAACTTTTGGGATTTCATAGATCCTATGTTATTTTGTGTTATTCATAATACCTTCAAACACTAACCTAGTTCTATAAGAGGCTGGAAGTTAATGAACTGTGTTGTAAGATGTCTCCCTGGTCAATATCAATTCATTAAACTCATTAGCCTCAAACTCATTTTATTTCATCAAGGTTGTTTGAACATTGACTGATCCTTTTTCGATTGTTGTTGTTTGATGTAGATAAGTGGTGACATATTGTTAAAGACTCCAACTTTTTTGTGGATGGTTTAACGTCCGGTGACTGGTGGTGGTTGACATCTGTAACAAATGGCAGGTTGTAAAATTTTGCATGTTAATGCCATGTTATATTATTGAGGAATCAATTTGAATTTTATTATACTTTCAGATTTGTGGTGTTGAAGAGGGCATGCAGTACAGTTGTAGCGTTTATATGTTCCAAATTTAACACACATTTTAAATGGGGCAAGTCTAACGAGAACTATTTTGACGCTTCGGGTCCGGGAAAATATCGTGGACATCGTGGATTAGAAGAAAATATAGTCCTACCTTCTACAGGAGATGAAGCTATGAAACGACTCTTAGCTTGTAAAGGAAAAGACCCTTATAGGTGAGATATGAGAATATGTGATACATTATCACTTTGCTGTTCATATTTACATTTTAAAGCACTATTTCCAACTATTAAAATCTGAAAGAGTGTAGAAATGTAGTTTACTTTGTAATTTTTAGGGGTGAGACGAGTCGAAAAAATCCGATTCGAGTCGAATCCGATTCGAGTCAGAAAATGACGATTCGAGTTTCGAATCCGTTTCGAGTCAGATAAAGTGCGAACAACATCGCTTTTGACCGTTCGTATTTTTAATGCGTCAATGCTGGAAAGCCGGAAATATAAACAAACACAATTCGTTGTAAGTTTATTCTGATTTTATTACATATATTCTTTCATTTATGTGTACATACAATATAATAATTTAATACAAGCATATCCAAGTCATTGAAACTTATATATTCAACGCAATATCGAGTAAAAACATGCATATTGACAGTATTTTTCTGAATTTTTTTATTTTTTCGAATTTTTTTCTCAACTCGAAAATGATTCGATTCATCAACTTCGACTCGATTCGACTCGACTCGAAGCCCCAAACCCGCGAGTCCTCGACTCATCGGGTTGTCGTCTCACCCCTAGTAATTTTGTTTCACCACACTCTGTGTTTAACTTGTGATTTTGTTTCAGTATACTTGGTGTTAAACTCGTGATTTTGTTTTTAGCATACTTGGTATTAAAATTGTGATTTTGTTTTGGCATACTTGGTGTTAAACTTGTAATTTTGTCTCAGTATTCTCAGTGTTAAACTTATGATTTTGTTATGTCACATATGTTAAACTTGTGATTTTGTTTCAGTATTCTTTGTTTTAAACTTGTGATTTTTCAGTATTCTTGGTGTTTCAATTTTCATGATGTTTAAATTGTGATATTGTGTAACTTATGATTTTGTTCCAGTATTCTTGTTGTTAAACATGTGATTTTGTTTCAGTATTCTTGGTGTTAAACTTGATGCAACTGATGATGAAATTAGGAAATACTACCGTAAACAAGCTGTTCTAGTCCATCCAGACAAGGTAACATTTCAACTACACTCTGTTAAGCATGATAAAAGGCAAGAAGTTTAGTTAGAAATAAAAGAGTTATCTCATGAATGGGACCCTTACATGGCTCCTAAAAGGTAGAAGACACTAAATGGTGTGACACTATAAGCTGAATTTTGTCCACATAGAGCATGTGCACAATACTAAAGACATGTAAAATTGAACTGTCAAAATAATAGAAATTACTCACCAGCTCGCCTCTACCGGAAGTTATGATACGTTATGGTGTAACTACAGTAATTAATTTTAAAATATTGAAAAAATCAACAACATTCAATTTCTAGGGTGTACAACCATTTTCGAGCGAATTTGCCGATATAATAACAATATTTTTGAGTTTCCCTAGGCTATATGTAAACTTCATCAATACACAGTATATTCAACATAGGTTTTGCTTCTCGATTTTTAAATATCACTATGCAAAGACAGGGACTCATTTTAGGTAAAATCATTGCTTCACCAATGAAAATTAAAGGGAACGTTAGCTCACAAAATAAATAAATCCATTACAATGTTAAGTATATGATTTGAAAGATTGTCTGGATTATATGTGTGATCGATTGATGCATAAACAAACATATTCATTTCAACTTGCAGACCTCCATTCTGGCTCATGTATAGGCCTAAGACGCCATATTGCCTTATGTATTGTACTGCCCATGCGTGCATATTTAATGCGTGACGTCACATCGACAGAGATCAGCGATCAAGTTTGACTAAAAAATTAAAAGGTCCACACTTAACAGCACAAAAATGATATCAATGATCGCCTATTTCATATCAAATAAGTGTAGGATGTAAGGTTTAAAATTTTTCATGTTATTTAGTATTTACAGAAGCAGAGCTTGTAAAGAAACCAAGTTTTAAATTTCGATTTTGACTGTTGACAAAAATAAAGAAAAGAGAGAAAGAGGCGACTTGTTAGAAACAATGACATGAAATTGTGAATAAAAAAGATATTATTGTGGGTTTTATTTTTTGAGAGTTCATCAAATACACTCATGTGTATTAATTTAAATATGCATTGTAAAACCTCTCAGTTCTACCAAGCATTATAAAAACTGATCGAAATGGCTTCGTTTTTAAAGTATAAAAAACACTACCCTACCCGGAAGTAGTATAACATGTATATTGAAACCATGTGCAAACTGTAAATCACGTGAATTGGCTGATGCAATCAGGATGTGACTAGTACAAAGTAACTATGATGCAATCAGGATATGACTTGTGCAAAATAATTGGCTTCACCTAGAATTCGCGATCTTTGCTCTTTAGCATAATATGAAGACATGTTTTGTGTTTAAGTAGCTAGATTCAAATACAAACTAAATGAATATAACATAAACCAACCATCATTTGTTCCAATCATGGCGAATTTTCAAGGAAATACGTGTAACTGAATGTAAATCAACAGCGGAGCTCTTCAATTATGAGGTGAGAAAAATGTAAAAATAAAAACAAAAATAAATCTCACAGAATAGAGCTATTTATACGATTCTAAGTACATTTTAAGTGCTCCATACATTAATGTAAGTATAAAAGCCATTAACCTCAACTGGGAAGCACTTTCCAACTATTTTTACGGCTTGAATTGTAATAAAATGGCACTTATCTCAAAAAATGGAAATTTGAAAGAAGCTCAATTTATTGTGAAGATGAAGTTTATATATATCTGTATGGGGGTGCGAATATATAGTCATAGTATGGGCTAATTCGCTTAAAAATGGCGATATATACCTCAGAACTTGTATTTTGTGATTTTTTCAATATTTTAAAATTAATTACCGTAGTTACACCATAACGTATCATAACTTCCGGAAGAGGCGAGCTGGTAAGTATATTTCAGTTCTTTTGACAGTTCAATTTTACATGTCTTTAGTATTGTGCACATGCTCTATGTGGACAAAATTCAGCTTATAGTGTTACACCATTTAGTGTCTTCTACCTTTTAGGAGCTATGTAAGGGTCCCATTCATGAGATAACTCTTTTATTTCTAACTAAACCTCTTGCCTTTTATCATGCTTAACAGAGTTTAATAATATCATAAATAGTCAGTGATTCAATTTACCGAGGTAAAGCATAACTTCATTTCAAAGGGCAACATGGTGCCCAATGGCCAAGATTTCACTTTTTTTAATCACCATCTATTGAAAATTAAGCACAAAATTGTTATTCGGCCTGGACCAAGGAGGATAATGGCCACTATGGCGCCACCTATTGGTCAGATCTGTATAGTAAAATGTAAGCTTTCTAATGTAGTACTTATACCCTGAGAACAGGCCTAGCAAGGTAGTGATAATAATGTTGTAATACATTTTCATTACAAAAATAATGCTAGAGTAAATACATTCTCTCCAGTTGGCTCCAACTATTGCTCAAGTCAATGTTGTAAAATATAAGCCTTCTAAACTAGTACTTATACTCTGAGAGCAGTTCTCACAAGTGGTTGTAATCATAATTCATATTTATTTCAATTCCGCATGTACGCTTCAATCATGGATCCTATGTGTTAAGGCTCAATATGATCTTTTATTTCATTGATTATAAATGATTTCAGAACAAACAACCTGGTGCTGAAGAGGCTTTCAAGATACTTGGACATGCATTTGAACTCATTGGAGAACCGGTAAGATTCATGGTCATAAACATGTTAGAGAATGAACACAAGGTTGTGTACATTATTCCAAAGAGCATGATTAGCCACGTTTCACGTTAGAGCAGTGTAATACGCCAATCCTGATATTCTATTTGTCATGCATACAATCTTTAAAGCAGCACTCTGGAAGGAACTTATAATGTTTGGTCCAGTACTAGATTGTGAAGAATATATGAAGCATGTTTCCGAAGTAACTACTGATAATTTTTGTTTCAAAAATAAGTTGTCATTATTTCATGTTTCAGAGTAAAATAGTTATATTGTGTTATTTCAGAAGTAACATGATTTTGTATGTTTCAGGAGAAGCGACGCTTGTACAATTCTCAGGAGTTTGAGGCTGCAGAAGCAGAGGCTGCCATGGTAACTTAAGACATTTTATTTTGAGGCTATTTCATTACACTGTAATGAAACAGTTTATATTAAAGCTATTTGAAATCAACAGCTCATTTGTGTTGTCTTATTATCTAAATAAATGAATTCAATCATCTCTCAGTACGAACACTTTCTCTCAGTCCAAATCACCCATAAACTCCCTTGAAATGGGAACATCTGCTTTTCTGAACACTTTCTCTCAGTCGTAATGGCATTAAAATAAGACAAGTTTTACTATATAATTAGTATTAATTACTTATGCAGTCAATAAAATATCCAACTTCGTGGACATTGGTTTCTGCCTTGGCAGTTGGTTGTGTTTGTAATGCCATCTAATATAAAATTCACATTTATGATGGATATAAGCAGAATAAAAATTCAAACATGTTAGAAATTTGATGAATTACATTCCTAAATATTAAGTTTGTGACTTTCAGAAAGAATTTGCTGATCTTCTTACAAAACTACAGGAAAAGATGCAAGAGGTAAGACACAACATCTGAGTGCCTAAAATACATAAACTAATATTACAATAGCCATTCAGTAACCTTCTATAGATTGCTCTTTACATATATTGTCAATTGTCATAGATTATTGTCTGTTGAAGATCAATAAGATATTATTCACATAAAGAAGTAGAGAAATCAGAAGGCTATCAGAAATTCAAAAATATTTAACAGTATTTATTAAGTTTGACCATGGGATTTGTTAATCCATTTAGGCTTCGAACCTGATGCGTTGTGACCATTGCGGAGGCAAGCATAGGAGGTTCCCTGTAGATAGACCCTGGTACAGTGCAAGATTCTGTGATAGATGTAACGCTAGACATTCTGCTAAAGAGGTGGGTGATTTTTCGATATAGACTTGCATCAGAAACAATGTACATGTATTGCTTGCCAGGGCAGAAATACACACTTGTAATTTTGAAATATAGTTTGTCTGTATTCATTTTAATAGGACCATAATCATACGTGGGTTAATCATGCATGAATTGAAGGCCACATTATCATAATACCATCTCATCTTATCTATATTTTTGAAAATGGAATAGGGATTAGATCTGGCATATTCTTTACACCATACTATTAGCAATAAGAGAACCCATTTACCTAGATTGACTATAATGTCAAGATATTACAAAATGATTGAGGATATTGGATTATCATGACCACCATAAACTTTCATCTGATAAGGCATCAGCCATGTTGAAAGACATTGCAAGCCTGTCCAGACCAATGACTAAGCAAGAACAGTACTCTGTTTATGAATTAGATATTCCTTTTTTCATTAAATAAATTTTGGCTGCTTTGTGAAAAAAAAATGAAAACTTGTTATTTTCAGAAGGCAAAAGATGACAACTATTTGGGAGTAAATGGCTATTGAACACAGAGAACAATATCTGTTAAAACCGTGTTCTCTCATTTTTCAGGGAGATCTCTGGGCTGAGAGTACTATGTTAGGCTTTTACTGGCACTACTACGCCTGCATGGAGGGTGGTGTCTATGACATCACAGAGTGGGCGTCATGTCAAAGGGAAGGATTCAAACACCTACAGGCCAATGCTCATCACGTCATGTATAGGATAGCCACTAACGCTAGTCGACATCACAACCAGGCACGATCAGGGTAAAGGAGTTTGAATCATTTTGCTTTGTCATTCTTGATGTACTGTGATGTACTTGTTTTTAAGTGATTTTTCATCATGATGAAGACTAGTCTCAGTGTGGAGAACGAAGTTCATCAGTCTACTGCATGTTACGCCTGCTTTGGACAATTTTGATATTTTTACATATTGTAGATTTATATGTCATCTTTTGAATATCCATAATTTAATTTGTGTGTTATTTCAATATTTTTCATGAAAAAATTATTTGCGCAGTAGACTGATGAACTTCGATCTCCAAACCGAGACCTGTCTTTTATTGAATCGGTCTGCTGCATGTTACGCCTGCTTCAGACAATTTCTATATTTTTACATATTTTAGATTTAAATGTCCTCTTTTGAATATTCTTAATTTAATTTGGGTAAGATTTCTAGATTTTTCGAGAAAAATATTAGCGCAGTAGACTGTTCTCCAAACCATGACTTGCCTTTTTCATTATTATCCCATCGAAACGAAGTTCGGAGGGATATAGGGAACGCCTCTGTCCGTCCGTCTGTCCGTCCGTCCGTCCGTCTGTCCGTCCGTCCGTCCGTCCGTACGTACGTCCGTCCGTCCGTCCGGGCAATAACTCAAATACCGTTGGCCCGATTTTGTTTATATTTTGTACACATATACCCTATGGGGGTAGAACTTCTGCTCGAAAGCCGATTTTCAAAATGGCCACTCATTTCAAAATGGCGGCCATTTTAGTGCCGAATTTACAGTAATTTAGGTGCAATATGTAAAACTGTAATAGCAATATGTTTTAGATGTAAAAAAATTATATAGGACATTAATAAAGCTAGAAATGTAGATATTAAAGAAGCACATGGCAGCCATCTTGAAAAATGGCGGCCTTTACTCGTTATTTTACGATTTTTGCTGTAACTCGAAAAGTAGTGGAGTGGTTTTGTTCATATTTGGTATGTGAATACTATAAACATTGCTCACTGTCTAAAGACACTTTTGGTAGAAGGTGGCCATTTTATAAAATGGCCGCCATTTTGAAAAATGGCCGCCATTTTAACCTATTTTACTATAACTCGAAAAGTAGTGAAGCGATTTTGTTCATATTTGGTATGTGAATACTATAAGGATGGCACACTGTCTAATGACACTTTTGGTAGAAGGCGGCCATTTTTCAAAATGGTCGCCATTTTAACGTATTTTACTATAACTCGAAAAGTAGTGAAGCGATTTTGTTCATATTTGGTATGTGAATACTAACAGCATGACACACTATCCTATGACACTTTTAGTAGAAGGTGGCCATTTTGAAAATTTTTTTGAAAAATGGCCGCCATTTTAATGTATTTTACAATAATTCGAAAAGTAGTGAAGCGATTTTGTTCATATTTGGTATGTGAATACTGTAAGCATGGCACACTGTCTAATGACACTTTTGGTAGAAGGCGGCCATTTTTGCTATATACTTTGTTTGTAAAAATGCCATCCATGGCTGTTCGATGGGATTCGCTACGCTTTGGCGTTGCCGTTGTTCTGGTTATTTATTCGGTTGAACCATTGAATTTTTTGTTGATCTTTTTGATCTTTATTAGATTAGAAATGAACGACTTTTCTTGTCTTGAAATGACAGAATAAATAACTATGGTACCCATTTTAAATTAGATTTTAAGTTGCCTTGTTAATGTTGAAATAAGGAGTTCAATATCAATAGATGGCAACTTTGAATTTGCACTCAATAATTTCAATATTTCTTGCATAATCTCAAAAATACAATGCAATACTAAAACAGCTTAACTTGATGTTGAATTTGTAAGAGCATAGGCAGGAGAACTTAACTTTGTTACTATTCTAGTCTAATTTGGAATAACTTATGCACAAATCAGTCCATATGCATATCAGTCAAAATTTTTTCTTTTTCAGTTTGAAGAAGCAAGGGGAAGAACTGGAAGACTTTATCAACCATTTGTTTCACAATTCTCGGCCAACGGAAGGCGCTACCCAACAACCACCTGATGCTCACGGTTACCCTGGCAACCAACAAACAACACAACCATCTTGGAATTCCTCTAGTAAAAATAAGAAACGTGGTAAAAAGAAGCGACATTAGTTTTGGCCTCTCATTTTGACAATTAACATCAGGGTGGTGAACTATAAGTTATTGGACTATTTCATTGCATGTATTTCATAAAGTTCTGGGAGAAGGTGCTTTTCACATTTTCACATTTTCAGCTTAATCATGCGATGGCACACATTTATTTTATTCAGATGATTAACACAACCACCTGGTAATTTAAAGTCATATTCAAGTTGAATGGGAATGTAAATTCAGTTTCACATGTACTACGGTTTTCGGGACATAGCCAGGTATATCCTTGGTGGGTTAATATTTTCAAATTCTGGCTATGGTCCTTATTTGTAAAACCAGTTCACACATCTTGAGTGATGTGACCATTGCTTTAACATATTAATCAATGCAATAATTCTAGCTCGTAGATTATAGTGTTTTATGTTAGTTGTTTGATACTTCATTGTTGGAAACTGCTGAATAAGTTCAGGGAGACACTGAAGATGTATGTTTATTAATGTTTTTTATGTGAAAAATCAAGGTGACTTTTGATAAGCATGATTGTATTCAATATGGTACATTATAGGGGAAAAGTAAGGTTTGCTGTGTTAACATAGAACAGAAGATCATATTGTACTGAAAATCAAAGTTTTACAGATGAAGGTTAATGCCAAATCTTGATCATTTTAATTGTGTCTTTTATACTTAGTATTGACGACTATTCCATGTACTGGTTAAGTTACTCCAAACCTAAAATTATCTATTTTGTGTCATGTTTAGAGCAAAGTTAATTAACTTTTTATTTTATGGTTTGGTTTCCATTTCAGGTATAAGTATAGAGTACTGTATTGAATACAGTCATGAATGCACTTCACACGTGTGAAAAAAACATGACAAAATGCTCAGATTTTGTAATTCCAAATCAGTTTTTATTTTTTATTTCATAATGATAATGCTCATATGACAAATATAAGGCAAAGTAAGGTGAATATAGATATAACTTTATAAATTTTATTGACTGGATCATGTTACTGAATATTTTAAAAATTGCCACACTTGTGAGAACAATCAATACTTTGAAGACATTGTCTTGCCAAATCTTGATCATTTTAATTGTGTCTTTAATATTTAGTATTTATGACTATTCCATGTACAGTGTTAGCCAATAGGGCTATACATGTTTCCTGGACTTGAGTTTGTGGAATAGACATTGTATCATTATTTTAATTAATAGTTAAAAAGACATCATTTTCCACACATCTGTAAGGGAATTTTTAACATTCATGCCAACTCATGTGTGTAACTTCTTGTTTCATGTTATGTTATTTTGCTATATACTAGTACTGTATAAAACTATTTAATTGAGCTACTTCATATTGTATGCAAATAAATAAGGAAATAAAACTTATTTACTTTCATTTCAAACTTTTATTTGTACCTTGTATGTATAAATAATACAACTATAATATTGTTTCGTAAAAAACATCTACCCATTTTTACTGAGTGTTTCATTCAGTTTTAAGTTGGACAATAATAGTAGAAAACAATAGTTTCCTAATACACATATTCATTCAAATTCAAATTCTGCTCGACTTCTCCAATATTGAAATGTTTAATCAAAGAGGCTATTTACATCAGGACATATATCTCTATTATCAACAGGGATAAGGGCAACTATGAGCTCAGAAACTGTTCAGAAACGTTTCAAATAAGTTTCAATATTGGATAAGTTGAGCAGAATTTGAATGAATATCATATACAGGGTGGTCCAAAAAAATGGGACACTCGTATTTTGAAAATAGATATTGTTGATTTTCTTGATGAAAACTTGACATATTATATACCAGTGGATAGGGAATTTACTTATCTTTAATTTGGTATACCATAAGTTCAAATTTATTATAATGTCTGTCAACCAGCGTCCATTATATAAATGACGTCATTTTCGTTTCAAAACAGGTTTTCCGAAACTTGCAAAAACCAAGTTTTTAGTCAACTTGATTTACATAATTAGACGCTCAATATATCCACCAATTTGATCAATTATAGCTCTCGATTTTAGCCTTAACTGGTCAAATGCATCATTGACATGCTGTTGAGACAGTGAATTTGCCTTTCCAATAATTCTGTCCTTAAGGGACTGAGTAGATGTAAGGGGTTCATGGTAAACCAATTCTGTTAGTTCTCCAAATACGCGGTAGTCGCAGACATTGACATCAGATGATCCAATTATGTTGTTTTTGGACCATCCTGATATGAGCTCACTTTCGAATTATTACATTTTCCAACAAGATGGGGTTCCAAGCAATAGATCTCACAAGAGTGTCAATTGTTTAAAGGAAAATGTGCCTAGATTCATTCCCCTTAATCACTGCCTCGCCCAGATCACCTGATTACCCAACGTCTACCACTACCACGTATGGGGAGGACTGACAGAATTGGTATACCATAAATCCTTAAAGGGTTCCGATTAGCATCCCGTATAAAAACAATATGGCGGCTCCAGGCGAATTAACAGGATCAGTCCATTTTTAAGAAATAAGGGGAGTTCTGTAAAATCCAGTTTATTGAAATTGTCTTTGAGATAAAGTAATCCGTTTATAATGATTTTGAAAACGTTATCCAAAGAGTGATTGCGTTCAAAGAATACATGTACAACAGCTAATATAAATCCTTGTATTAGAAACCGGTTTGTCTTGCTTTGTTTCATTTGTAGGATATTTCATATGCCAAGCTGTGTGCTATTACGTTATGGGGAAATTTAGATGCCAATCTTTCCTTATTATAAACAAATAGAAGATCCTGAAACTTCACCCATAAATGTGGAATTGATTTGTCAAAAAAAAAATCACCCTTTTATAAATGTGTGACGATCTACAATATACTTATGCTATATAACAGTTAGAGGTGTTGACACAACGACCTCGAACCTGAGAACCCTTGAGTATTATTCCGGGATCGGGCCTTTTATACTAAACGGTGAGCAACACCAGAAACGAGCGTTCGATTTGCTAAACGATATGCGTCACCCTTTAAGATCTATTCAGTCCCCTAAGGACAGAATTATTGAGAAGTGAAATTCATTGTCTCAACAGCATATCAATGATGCTATTGACCAATTTAGGCCAAAATTGAGGGCTACAATTGATCAAAATGGTGGACATATTGAACATCTGTTTATGTAAATAAAGTTGACAATAAAACTTGGTTTTTGCTACTTTTGGAAAACCTGTTTTGAAACGAAAATGACGTCATTTATTTATATTATGGACGCTGATTGACAGACATTAAAATAAATTTGAATTTATGATATACCAAATTAAAGATGAGTAAATTCCCTATCCACTGGTATATAATATGACATGTTTCATCAAGAAAATCAATATCTATTTTCGAAATACGAGTGTCCCATTTTTTTGGACCACCCTGTATATCCAGATGAATATATTCGATAGTAATAAACTTTTAAAAGTATTAAATGGGAGAATTCAATGATATAAGCCAATTCATGCATATACAATAATGTATGCCTTTGTATTAAATAATAATATATATGGCATTGTACTAAAATACCTTAATTGGTGACTTCAATGTAATGTCTACATCTTAAATCAGAGACATTGATTGTGCTTTTAATATACAGAACTACCTCCTATAACCATAGTACAGTAGACCTATCAAGAGTTCAATGATTGTAGAAGGAATGCACATGAAAATGTCCAAATTATCCTATATTTATAATTAACTCAGTAAGACCCTGATAAGTCCAAAAGGCAGATTCTCATGGTGATTCATTTACTTCTTTTTAATAGAGATCTACTGATGATATGATCATTTTAAATCTGTATCTCCAAGTTTGATTATATTCTACTTTCCTCCATTTTTTACCTTCTCCCATTCAAATTCATGTTTAAATACATAATTAATAATGTCAGCTCTATAGTTCATCTAAGTCTAGGGAGTCATCACTGTCAGCCGTATCCACATCACTCAAGTTTAAATCATCAAGCTCCTCAGAGAAAGCTAAAAAATAATAACATGTTGTTCTAGGATTTTTGGTATGTTGAAGTGAATTACAGTTAAACTTGTATAATTTGTCAAATTTTTATGTCACCACTTCATGGGTGACATATTGTTATACAGTGTATAACTTGTGTTGTATACATTTTTTCCTAATGTTTAATTCACCAAATATTTCAAATCTACCTCTATCAAACAACATTTTCTCTAGAAAGAGCCAACATCAATGATTATTTTGGCAAAATCAAGATTTTTGAATTATGATTCGAATACTCGCGGGATCGCTATACTATGGTAAAAGTGTTATGTCAGAAAAATTTTAATTTGACAGAGGTAACATAACATAACAGAGTAGTGCGATTGTGCCTTATAAAACTCACCAGATACTTTTTCTTTTGGCCCATTGTGTTTAGATTTTCTATTCGACCTGAGAGACAAATCTGAGGTATAATCTGCAAGGCTTAGGCTGCTACTTAGATCAAGGTCACTACTGTGTATACTGAACATATCTGCTGGTCCCCTGATTTTGGCTTGTGGTTTCTTTTTGTGCCGTTTGGATTTTTCTGCAATATAATCAATTAAAATTAGAGCAGGTAACATTATACCAGTATGATTTTGTGATATTTTGTCCACAATGTGATGACAAAAACCTCGTCTTTAATTTACAAATATTGAAAAAGATAATATGAGGTGCCCCTTGGCCTGATATATAATATGAAAGGTGAAACATATTTTAACAAGGCATTAACATGACAAAATGTCACCACCTAGATGCTCACAATATTATTAGTTCAAAGATTTGAATTTCTGAGAACTCTATAGATGATTTTGAAAAAATGGTCAATTTGAAACAAGTTTTTTGACCCTGAGAAGCTCATTGAAGATGAAATCTCAAATCTAGGGTCAGATTTGAACTTATGAGAACTTGAAGATGATTTTGAAAAAAAACTAGTCAATTTGAAGCAAGTTGAAAAAATACCTTTTTTTGACCTTGAACAGGTCATCAAAGGTCAAATCTTAATTCTAGAGTTAGATTTGAACTTCTGAAAACTTGGAGATGATTTTGAAAAAAATGAAGTCAGTCGAAACAGTATTTGTCAAGTTATTGGAAGTTGTAAGAAATTGTTACAGACACCGGTCACAACCAGTCAACCGCCATCCGCCGATCACCGTCACAAAAAATGGAGACCATAACAATATGTCACCACTTTTTGGTAGTGACATAAAATACCCTACAAGTTGTCCAAGAAATAAACTTTTCTTTGGTGGCATCCATCATGCATTGTATACCCAAATAAAGTTACAAATACCCGCAACAATATTATTGCTACTTATATCAATGTTCAATTTAATGTTCTTTCTGGCTGCATACTAGTACCTGTATTTTGTTTTATTGGCTGGGAATGTGTGAGTTGATTGTTTGTCTCCATGTGTCCTATTCTGTCTCTTAATGCAGCTACAGTCAGGCTGAAAGCAGTAAAACTTATTATCAATCAACAGTAATATCAAATTCTAAATACAGTAAAACCTGTATCAGTGGAACACCTTAGGCACCTCAAAATAATGTACTTTGAAGGTGTTCCACTTTATTTACAGAGGTTCGTTTTACATTAAGTTGAAGGGAAACTGGGCTTTGAAGTGTTACACTTATGGAGGGGTTCCACTTAGTGAGGTGTTCCATAGGTTTTACTTATAATGTTCCCCGACAAATTTTAATTAATACTTAAGAGGATGAGGTAAAAATTTTAGACAAGGCTTTAACATGCAAAATGTCACCACCTGCCATATGTTACAGGCACTTTCCACTTAAAAATTGTAGACTATAACAATATGTCACGACTTGTGATGGTGACATAAAAACTAACCGAAGTTCTGTTATTTGATGTTTCTCATGATCCCTGTCTTCCTCCTGTCGATTGCTATTCTGCTGCTGTGTCTGGTAGGTGTCTGACAGTTCCCTAAATATCTGAAATAAATGACTCAAGAAATAAAATGTCATAAGCTTTCAACTTTTATCACATTTTAAAAACTCAATAAGCAACACTGATTAATATTAATGACACAGACACAATGATGCAGTGACTCAAAAATGGATTTTATAATTAAGCCCATTTGAAGTAAAATATTGAATATTTGCGGGCCTGTTATGACATTTCTATCAATTCCTATCACATATTTAATCAGAATATCTTTGATTACCCTTTCGAGTCTGTCATTCCTCCTACTAAGATCTTGGTTGTCTGCCCTTAAAGTGGTCATCTCAAGATCTGTTTTCACTGTAAACAGAATACAGTAAAACCCTAGATATTCACTCATCTACTACTTGAAAGGATATGTGTTCCCTGTATGGTGTCAGATTTGGTCACACATAATGCAACGAGTATATACAGTAAAACCTGTCTAAGTTGAACACCTTTGGTACATCTAAAATGTTCTACTTACCCATTCTAGTTTTAACAGATTCCAATTCCCTACGTAATGAGTCATTATCCTCTCTAACAAAGCGCTTCCTGAAAATAGTAACGAAGCCAAAATAGAGCAAGAATTTCCATTCCAATAAGACATTGTAAAACAGACAAAAATAGCAAAAATTTAGAGATTACGATAAAAAATATATAACAATATATACAATATATAAGTGGTATCAAGGTCATTCATGATGATGATGATGTCAGTTCTTTAGTGCATATAGGCAAAATATAGGTATCCTGAAATAGTTGTCATTGATTGGTCAGACTGGTTGAAAGTTGGAAGAAGTTGTTGCTTTGAGAAATTACAACCTCATACTTAAGCCATCTGCATTTCAAGATCATATAAGAGATCGCTTATCAAAAACGGAACTTCTTTAATATTATCAAGAATTAACCAGGTATAAACCCATTCTTACAAATCTTGAATTTCTCTAGTCGCATCAAACATTTGATTGGTGCCTAGGTGTGTGAGGTCATCACTCTTTTTCTGCGCCTGTAGCTGGCTTTGTACCATATGTAGTTCTGTCATCATATTGCGCTTCCATTGCTCAATCTTACGCTCTGTTTCCAGATCAACACCTTTCTCATATACCCTGTCACTTAGCTTATTGAGCTCATCTACAATAATACATATACAATACAAATACAATAGTGCAAATTAGTATCAGATATCATATGATTTTATCAATGAGCCGAGGAAATGATATTGAGATATATGAAAAATATGGAAATATGAAATTGGATTTACCTATTAAATTCATGTATGCTATCATTCATATGAGAATGTGTTTAAAGGCAAACTCATATTTATGTGTTAAAAGATGTCTCTCAGTAAAAACTGATCACTACCATCTCTTACAGGAAGTACATGTATTAGTATAATCCCCACTTAAGATACCATTAAGTTAAAAAATAATGGGATACCTTGTATACTTTTGAGCTCCTTTTTGTAAAAGTTCCTCTCTCCTTCCATCTTATCAACTGACCTTCTCAGCTTATCTATCAGCTAAAAATAAAGAAAATATAATTTGTCTTCATTTGGCAAAATACAGAGTAGTTTGTTTTCATAAATTCCCAAGCATAATTTTCATGTGTACAGTATCTTCATGGGCGTAGCCAGGGGGGTAAGATAGGTGTGATCATACACTTTGCTCAACGCCACATAAAAGAAAAAAGCAATTTTGTAAAACTTGTTGAAAGTTTGAAATGCTTAGAATGCACCATATACAATGTAAATTTCAAAAAATTTCTGGGGGTGAACCCTCATAACCCCTTTTTGGGGCTCGTTTTACTCGCTGTGATGCAAACCCCAAAAATCACACCCCCATGACAATTGCTGGCTAAGTCCCAACTACTTGTATATGACTGAAGCAATTCAGTGGTACATATATAACAAAAGAAGCAATACAGTGGTACATATATAACACCAGATTCAGTAAGCCACACTGTCTCTGTCTTTCTGTATATTCTATGATGCAACGGAGAGAGATGCAATGAACATCAAAATACTAATACCACCACCAGCCAACCCAATGAAAGTTTCTCTGCAAAAATACACAGTAAATACCACGAAGTAAAACACTATAGTAAATGAGAAAAGTGTCCCAGGGGATAAGTTTATTGAAGAGTACTTTATCATATTGTCAGGTAAATCACCAATGAGGTGTTAAACCCTGAAATAAAACATCACGCTAGGATTGTGTTTAGTTCAAAAGCATCTAAAACAAGAAGAAACAAGGCAATGCAAAATGACACCACCTGCCATGGAATGCCTAACACCAACCACCAAACACAAACTGCCAAACACCAACCACCGCTACAAAAATATTTGGAGACTACAACAGTTTGTGGTTGTGAAAAAATGATAAACTGAATAGAGGTATTCTCAATTGTTTTTAACAATATAAAATATTTCAAAAAATGATTTCAGGAAACAATGAAGAATAACCATCACCAGACTGATATTTTGAGTTAAGGGGAAGTTACATCTCTTACTTTATTTCTAAGTGATTACACCGACCCTGTGACTGAATACCAAGGACAGATTACCTCCATACACGCAATAAACGCAATTATCTAAAGAGAAGATGTGTGTTCAATGATCAATGGGGGAATTATAAGAGAATGGTGTTTCTAGAAATCATTGCAGTAATTTGATACAAGGCATTAACATGCAAAATGTCGCCATTTAACCATTTGTTACAGATGCCAACCACCGAATGCTAAACACCAACTGCCTAACACCATCCATAAAAAAGTTGGAGCCTGTAACAACATGTCACTATTTGTGGTGGTGACATATGGATCTCTTGTACCATTTTCAGATTGGAGGACCTTTCACGGAACATAATTAATGTGACCTGACATAAACTAGCCATCTATTAATCTGATCATGACCCTAGTGTAACCATGGCCTTGTAACCTTTGACCTAAGTTTGACCATGACCTTAATGCAGCATTCCATGGCCTTGTAACCTTTGACCTTAGTTTGACCATGACCTTAATGCACCATTCAAAGGTTTGCATGCAGGGAGGGTTGGGAATTTGACATGGAGTATTGTCCCAGGAGATAGGATTTTGACATATCACTTCATCTCAGGAGTAGGGACTTTTGGAACCTTTGAATGGCATGCAACATTCCAACACTTGAGCAGAGCTTGTTTGTCCCTAGGCTCAACATATAAAATGCAAACCATATCCGTCAATTAGCATTTGAGTTATCAAAGATTACATTCCTTTTTTTAAGAAAAAATGGCAGCCATTTTGAAATTCTCTTAGCATCATCATACAAAAATTGAGTTATCGCCCGGACAAACGGATGGAGGGGCGAATTGATGGATGGACAAATGGACGGACAGACGGAAGAATGGATGGCTTTCCTATATTCCCCTCGAACTTTGTTCGGTGTGATAATAAATAAAATTTGGCAAGATTACACCAAGCAATACATACCCTCTCTTGGTGTTCAATTTTATCATTCAGAAGAGCTACCACTGCTGGAGATTGATCTATTTCTATATATGGGGCATCATTTGACATCATCCCAGGTTCAGGATTTGATGAATACGATCGCCCAGATGATGAATAAGCAGGGTAATTACTCTGGGATGGCACTGTGCTTTGTCCAGCCTCAAGGTCTCTGAAGCCAACATGTCTCGTCTTAGGGGTGGAGGCCATGAAATCGCGAGAGGAACCAGCTCGTAAATGGGAAAATTCTGGAGACAAAATTGATATGTTCCATTGTATTTTTTATTAACAAGGTACCCCATTAACAATATTAATATTAATTACTTGATTTATTAATACAATTATGACACATTAGTTGATTTAATATAAAGTAATTTTACTAAAAATCAATAATAACAATAACTAAATTGCGATGTTTTTTTGTGAAATTCTGTCAACATTGTTTAATTATTCATACAAAAAATGGCCAGGGAATTGATAACATTTGCCATATATTCATGGAATATTCTGGCTTGCCATTTCCCAATCTTAATGAAAGAAGGAAACAGACAAAATGACACTTACATGTATATGTTGATTTGTATGAATGAAATTGTTCAAAATTTTGTCAAAAAGATATCTATATTTGGAATCTATATTTAAAATCAATTTGTTACAAATATTCACCTGGTTTGTGTGATTTAAATAATACTCACCTGGTTTGAGTGATTTAAATAATACTCACCTGGTTTGGGTGATTTAAATTATACTCACCTGGTTAGTGTGATACAAATAATACTCACCTGGTTTGTGTGATAGAAACAATACTCACCTGGTTTGTGTGATTTAAATAATGCTCACCTGGTTTGTGTGATACAAATAATACTCACCTGGTTTGTGTGATACAAATAATACTCACCTGGTTAGTGTGATATAAATAGTACTCACCTGGTTAGTGTGATACAAATAATACTCACCTGGTTTGTGTGATATAAATAATGCTCACCTGGTTTGTGTGATACAAATAATACTCACCTGGTTTGTGTGATACAAATAATACTCACCTGGTTCGTGTGATATAAATAATGCTCACCTGGTTTGTGTGATACAAATAATACTCACCTGGTTTGTGTGATTTAAATAATACTCACCTGGTTTGTGTGATACAAATAATACTCACCTGGTTTGTGTGATATAAATAATACTCACCTGGTTTGTTTAATACAAATAATACTCACCTAGTTTGTTTAATACAAATAATACTCACCTTGTCTGTGTGATATTAATAAAACTCACCTGGTTTGTGTGATTTAAATAATACTCACCTGCTTTGTTTCATACAAATAATACTCACCTGGTCTATGTGATACAAATAATACTCACCTGGTCTGTGTGATACAAATAATACTCACCTGGTTTGTGTGAAACAAATAATACTCACCTGGTTTGTGTGATTTAAATAATACTCACCTGCTTTGTTTCATACAAATAATACTCACCTGGTCTGTGTGATACAAATAATACTCACCTTGTTTGTGTGAAACAAATAATACTCACCTGGTTAGTGTGATATAAATAGTACTCACCTGGTTAGTGTGATACAAATAATACTCACCTGGTTTGTGTGATATAAATAATGCTCACCTGGTTTGTGTGATACAAATAATACTCACCTGGTTTGTGTGATACAAATAATACTCACCTGGTTAGTGTGATATAAATAATGCTCACCTGGTTTGTGTGATACAAATAATACTCACCTGGTTTGTGTGATACAAATAATACTCACCTGGTTAGTGTGATATAAATAGTACTCACCTGGTTAGTGTGATACAAATAATACTCACCTGGTTTGTGTGATATAAATAATGCTCACCTGGTTTGTGTGATACAAATAATACTCAACTGGTTTGTGTGATACAAATAATACTCACCTGGTTAGTGTGATATAAATAATGCTCACCTGGTTTGTGTGATACAAATAATACTCACCTGGTTTGTGTGATTTAAATAATACTCACCTGGTTTGTGTGATACAAATAATACTCACCTGGTTTGTGTGATATAAATAATACTCACCTGGTTTGTTTAATACAAATAATACTCACCTAGTTTGTTTAATACAAATAATACTCACCTGGTCTGTGTGATATTAATAAAACTCACCTGGTTTGTGTGATTTAAATAATACTCACCTGCTTTGTTTCATACAAATAATACTCACCTGGTCTATGTGATACAAATAATACTCACCTGGTCTGTGTGATACAAATAATACTCACCTGGTTTGTGTGAAACAAATAATACTCACCTGGTTTGTGTGATTTAAATAATACTCACCTGCTTTGTTTCATACAAATAATACTCACCTGGTCTGTGTGATACAAATAATACTCACCTTGTTTGTGTGAAACAAATAATACTCACCTGGTTTGTGTGAAACAAATAATACTCACCTGGTTTGTGTGATTTAAATAATACTCACATGGTTTGTTTGATACAAATAATACTCACCTGGTATGTGTGATAAAAATAATACTCACATGGTCTGTGTGATATCAATAAAACTCACCTGATTTGTGTGAAACAAATAATACTATCCTGGTTTGTTTGATACAAATAATACTCACCTGGATTGTGTGATACAAATAATACTCACCTGGTTAGTGTGATATAAATAATACTCACCTGGTTTGTGTGATACGAATAAAACTCACCTGGTTTGTGTGATTGCAATAATACTCACCTGGTTTGTGTGAAACAAATAGTATTCACATGATTTGTGTGATACAAATAATACTCACTTGGTTTGTTCGATACAAATAATACTTGGCTGGTTTGTTTGGTACAAATGATACTCACCTGGTTTGTGCCAATGAATAATACTCAACTGTATTGTGTGATATAAATAATATTCATCTGGTTTGTTAAACAAATCTAGGTGAGTATGGAGAGAGAATTACCTGGTATGCGTGAAGATACAAATGTTGACATGGCAATAGCAGAGATACCAATACAATGTACAAATATGGTGTGTGAGAGAGTGGTCTTACCTGTTGGGTTTAAAGGAGATAAAGCACGTTGTGATGTGGATTTTGCAGACCCAAGATGACTCTAAAAGCATAAATGTTGTTTTTTTAACAATAAACTAAGTGATCAACCTGTTTCTATGGTGATTTGGTTAACATTAATCACTATAAAGATGTTTTTTCTCTAAAAGTGATCGTAACCTCATATGAATAAATCATGTAATTTTAATATAGGCCTTCTATAGCTGAATAAATGTGAAATGAAATAAACACTATATGGAAATAAACACTTGGGAATTAAAATAAAATATCAATGCCACAAATGAAGCAACTGAAATAAAAAAGATGTAAAGCTGTAAGAAAACAGGAAAAATTAGTTGAAATACTATAACAGGAAAAGCGACAATGGGTCTGGTAGAACAATGAATTATTTAGTGTATTATTCTGGAGCTGCTCCTTATTTCAATTTCGTACCTATTGTGTTTCGGCATAAAAAACAGTAAATAAACTAACATCATCTTACAGCCATTATAGCGAACCCCGAACAGGTGATAAAATATAAACAGCTGGATGAACATTTCATAATCATGACATAACAATTGGATATGGGGAAAAATAAGAGCTTTTTAAAATGTAGTTTATTTTTCATTCATGCAAAAGATGCGACAAACAACATATTTCATCGTTTTTAATTTTTTAGCAATAGCCATATATGGAGAGGGTGAGTAAATATACATCAAGTTATACTCATATCAATAAATTGAATTGTTTCTTTTATTTCTGAATATTAAAAACATATTTCCATAGCAACAGAATGTTAACAATATTGTTGTGCCATTATATTTTTAGAAGTTCACTTTTGGTTACTTATTCTGCCTTTATTATTACAGGGTGACCCGAAAAACAGAACTACTCAAAATTATAATGATTGTAATTAATTTTTCATTCAACATCAATTTTGAGACCTCTTCAAAGAATGGCGTTATTATACTTAAATCAAAGATAAAAATACCATAAAGGTTTACCAAGTCCATGTAATTATTAAATAATACTACCAGTATGTATTTCTCATTTCTTTCAGATTGCATTCCCCAATCTGGGCCATACCAACTAAAACTGCCAACTGGATATATCAATGTCGCTGATGTGGTTGGAGGTGACATTAAAAATACAATGTTGAAGGTTGGAAAAAAGAACAAGGATCTCTTCATATTTCATCATCACAATGACAATACAATCACAATCGAGTCACTCACATATCGTGGCTATAGAATTTCTCATCATCAAAATAAAAACCCATTCTTGAGTAACAAGATCAAAGCACCTTTCAGAAACAGATTTGAAAGAATTGAAGATAAGGATGAGTTATGTCATGCATATGTACTCAACGATGAAGGAGAAAAATACGCACTTGGACTTCCGAGAAATGCTGGTGATGATATAGTTTTTATTGATGTATATGACACAGGAACATCTGATGCTCTATACTGCTTCAATGAAATAGGTAAAAAGGTGTTTCTAAAAAATTGAACGGCATATTTAAAGGGAACAATTTGTAGCCCTTGAAACATACAACAAAGAATTTATGTATGATGCTATAATACATTGTCAAAATATGTAATATAATTTGCTGTTCTTTTAGAAGTGAGAGCTCTGGAGTTCTGTCCTGAAGATATGTTTCCATGTGAAATGAATGAAGGTGAGAATTTTAACATTAAGGCGCATGAAGTCAAATACATTTTCAATATGCTTAATCAGTGACTTTCTAATATTTCTTAATTCATTCTCCAGAAAAAACTTTAAAAAATGTTAAATGTAATATAGAACAAGTATTATACTAAAGTTTATAACTGATATGATTTTTATAGACAAATACTGGAGATATCTGCACAAGGGAGCATTGTGCGAGAGTGCAAATATAAATATCTATTATCCATGAATGAATAGAAAATATCACAGGCATCAATATCACAGAAAAATGTAACAATCTGTTACAGATAGTAACACTCAGCTTATCACAAAACACAATATATCACTATATCTTAGTCATTTTATTCAGCTCTACCCACCTTAATTGCAAGTTTAAAGTTACTATCATGATGAATTGCTTCTTTATGATAATGATGGTAATTCCTTTTATATAAAAATCCAATTACAATAACTGATGTAATGATGCATTTAAATGCTTCCTTTACACCTATGCATAATGAATTACTATTCAATACATCATCTGCAGCAAATACATCCTTTCATTTCATATTAGACATCCAGGGGTGGTCTACCAGATCATAAGAAAACCTTTAATGGAGATTTTCACGTCTTAAAGTACCCAAAGGTCTAAACTGAATGAGGTTTCAGTTCAGCACTTTTCACGCCTGCAGCCAGGATTTCTCAAGTGGGGTTCTATTTTTGCTTTTCCATGGGCACTTGCAAGCATGTGCAACCTAATTCTAAAAGATGTGCCTGTCATCATGGTCAGAAAGTAGTGTTAATCTATAACTGTCTAAAATTATTTGCGATAACCTATGTGGCCTTTTGTATTGACAATGTTGCGATATTACTTTTTACGTCAAGTTGATTATTTAAATTTTTGACACAAATCTTATTTACTTTAGATTTAAATTTTAAAAATACACTTCATTATTAAATATTGATTCTAAAAGATACCCGATGCGTCATTGTGAATTTGCAACTTTTCAAAATGAATCAAATTAAATGGCCAATGTTTTTATCCTCTGATGTCTAATTTTGCTTTTAGACATCCCACCCTTATAATAAATATGAATAAGACCATTACTAGAGATGTCAATGAAAAAAAAAATCTGAACGGTTTTGTTCGGAACATTTTGCTTCGGAAATTGTCTATTTGTTAGCGAAAAGCTCTTCAAAACTCTTCAAAGAGAAGGAGTAAAAGGAATAAACCTATTTTGGTACAAAATATTGAAAGAAAATGCTGTTTTGTGGAGATTCAAGGGCCAGAAGTTGGGAAAGGGTAAAATGTTCTTATTCCGGAACAGAACCGAAATGCTAAAAGTTTATCCAGTGAAAATTTCATGAAATATTATTGAGAAGTGAAATTTTTTTCGAAAGAGGAGTATGGCTTGTTCTGTCCCAGCTACTATGAACATAGTAAATGTGAATGTAATCTAATATAATTAATGAGAAATTTTGGGAATTTTTGACTGTGGGTGCACAGGAACCCCTTGAACCCCAGGTGGCTACAGGCATGCTTATATGTGTTACCAGAAGAAAAGGACAAGGGGTCATGCAAATCTATGGATATATCAATCATTAGTCATTGAAACATAAACATTGAAATTATCCCAATATAATGAGGGAAGATAATGAATTTTTTCCGAACTTTTACAATTTTTTAAATCAACTGGACCCAGAGTATTTTTTCAATCGACTGGACCTAGAATATTTTCAAAGAACAAGAACAACAATGCACTTGCACTCTACATTTCTTTGAGCCAAAATATATTTCATACAAAAGCATTTAGGTCCCCAAAGATCTACATAATCTAATGGTCAGTCCCTTCTGATCTTTACAGGAAACCATGTATGTAACCGTGTCAAGATCATTACACCAGATAATCCATCTTTAAATGAAAAAGAATTTAGACGCACATCAACCATGAGTCACAACCGTCCAGTGTTTGAAGAAACTGGACAAAGTACCACGCCATATATTCTAAAGTATCACAATGGTTCTGAATCTTCTATACATATTGATGAGAATAAAGTTGCATATATAAAGTGTTCCTGTGAGAAGAAAATACAAGTAGAAGCTGCATCGTATCAAAAAAAGGGAGATGGAAATTGTACAAACGTAAATAGGTATGTGTTGAAGCAATACTGTTAGTGAAATAAGGGTATAAAGGGTAACAAAGATTACAGTTGAGGTGAGAGTTACTGTCCAGACCCATAGCCAGGATTTACCAAGGGGCGGTTCAATTTTTGAAAAATTTCAGGGGGGGTTCACTTTTGACAAATTTGGCCCAAAAATGGTCAAAACCACTTGAAACGTTCTAAGAATGGTGAAAAACTGCATGATTTTGAGAGAATTTTACACCGTGGGGGGGTGCTGTCTAAATGATGTTCAATGAAAGTCCCCTTTTTCAATATCACTGAATTTGGCAATATGACTGAAATCTTCCTCATTTCCATATTTGTTTAGATGTTGATATTTCAAGGACACTATTGGCATACCTTTAAAAATATTGCTTTCAAAATTTCAAACTCTCTGATCCATTCTTTGCTGTCACAACTTTAAATTGATAACTGATTAAGAAAGGTTCAACAAATATAACTAATAAATATGCCCTCAAATCTTTTATGGTTCCAGTTTAACAGTAGAACAGAGGGACCTTGCCTCAAAAACCATAGTGGAAAACCTGTGTAATAATGAATCAAGCTGCAGCATCAAGCCAAACAATAATGTTTTTGGTGAACCTTGTGAAGGGGTGCACAAACAGCTTGTTGTAAACTATAAATGTCATCCACCAAATGGATTGAGTAAGTTAAAGGTTGTATAAACTGAAAAAGTGTTTTCACTCAATTTCAAAGCCTAATTACAGCATGTTGTAGTGTATATATATTACTGATTCTTACTTGAAATTGATACTCAGCTTTATTCCCTATAAATGTGTAAAAAATATTGACAGAGTGGGAGCGGTTACAATGATCCCTAATTTGAGCAATTTTCAGAATGGTTCATCCAGTGTTTTTAATCTGTGGTCTGTATACATTTTCTCAAACATAAGCTATATCCTAATTGTAAAAATGTTATGTATTTACTCGTAAGATACTTACTATATTTTCAAATATTTAAAATATTTACTAACAAAATACTGTGCTGTATGATGCAAATATCTCCATGTAATTTACAATATCAATGGGAGCTAATTAATTATTCCAGGCTGCAGCTTTAGATGGAGTGTTCTCAACCATATTGAAGAAGAGATTATATTTGCCCCTGCTTATATCAAAACTAGTACAGACATTCTAAGAGGTCAATGGCAGATTCCAACAGCTGGTTGTGAAAGTCAAACACAACACAGGCCCAACTACAATGTATATTGTGGTATGTGATTCATTGTTTCATAATCAAGTTTATATATGGCATTTTTTGGCGTATAATTTAATACACTGTTGGACAAAGTGTTTTATCACCAATTCTAATATGATATGTGACATCACAATAACAAGAACAATTGATTTACTGGTCTATATTGGAGTATGTATGACCACTAAAATTCATGAATGCAAATATTTGTTTTTCTTGTCTGTTTATCATATTAGAATCGTAACAAAGACCTCGATTTCATGATTATGTCAAATATATGACCTGAAATTTTATTCAGGCTATTAACGATGAACAGAATAAATTTTTTGGTCATATATCACGCCATAAATCATAAAATCTCGGTCTTTATTCCTTAATTACATGTACAATATAAAATAGTTGTACGCATTCTTGAAACCATGGAATGATGAACTAATACTATGGCATTTACATTCACAGGATATTATATCTCTATCTAGCTCACATTGGAGAACTTCTTTCTATTATTGTGACACTATATGTACATGTATTCATTTCTTAACCAGTATTAGGGATGAAATAGGACAGAAAAGTTTAATATCAAAACTTAACATTTTCTATATATATTTTTATTTTCTAGTAAATTACACCAAAATCACTAAAGCAACAACACTGGCTCCTACAACTTCTGCTGAACTGACCTCTGATACTACACAGCCTTCAACTTCTTCTCTCGCAACTTCTACCAGTTTAGCTGAGACCACGCAAACTCCAACAATTAACGACACCCCTGTTTGTACAGTCATATCAAACACAACCCCAGCAGTAATCTTGCATCCTTTAAGTGAATCAAAACATTCAGAAGGAACCGTATATTATGTGAATGGGAAAAGGAAATTAGTATTTTCCCCCGTTGAGGCGGAATTTGCTGCTGTTGTTGGCTTCCCCTGGTTAGCGGTTCTTATAGGTTGGGCTGTATTCATTTTCTTAACAGATATTCGTCATTTTTATATAAGTTTAAAGTATGCATGGCGTAACATCAAACAATTTAGGAAAAACTGTCAGGATGGAAAATACAAAAGGTATGTTAACAATAAAGTTGATGTCACACAAGATGAAGTGACCTCACAAGAATTCAAGAAGGAACCAGATGCTGCACCCAATTAAAAAGGATATTTTGCACAATTCAAAGGTTTGTGTGGGACCTCCCCCACGCGGGAAGGGGTGAGGATTTTGACAAAATAAAAATTGGACTGTCAAATGCCTTTCCCTGGGAGCAACCGAGTGAGTGAATCCCCCCCCCCCCCTAGGAGAGCAATAAAAGCTGATTGACGGAATATACAGTTCAAAAGTCGCAACTCCAGGAATGAAGTACTCTATGAATTTCCCACCACATGGGGCAAAAATGCATGTTAAATTGCCGACATTTTCTGTAAATACTCCAAACTTCATGTTATGTGTATTCATAACATATCCCATGATATATATGAACCACTAATTAAATTATAGAGGTGACTCTCAATATATTTGTTATGGCAAATCTAGTTTGCTAGTTTTCAAGATTAGTGAGTAACCACATGTACTATTTATAGTATTTAGACTATATCCTATAGTTCTGGCATTTTTGAAAGATTGGCTGAAACTACCAAAGCATAAGAAGTTTGGTACAGGTACTCATAAAATATTTGTTTACAAGAAAAATGTTATTCAAAATGGCCATATCTTTTTTCATATCTGTTACTTATTATATCATTTAATTGTACTTATGTTACTGCCTAAAAGTGCTGATGAAAAATAATTGAGGAGTCGTATATTTGGCATATTTTCTTGAATTTTAAACATTAAAATAACTCTTCCAAAACTGCTGAAACAAGAAAACTCAAGGCAAATGCGTGACATAGACTCCCCTCCATAAGTTTGGCAACCTTTTCCCCCCATTGAACTACGTGTTAAAGCCTCTTTACGTTCGTTTTTTTAGACATTTGTTTTTTTGATGTTCTCCTGAAATGTTTTTGCTTGACAATAATCAGAAAAATGTGTATTTGCATGACATATTCTGTCATGCAGAAAAACTGGTGAGACAACAAATGTGTGACAAATACGCAAATTGCGGGACAGTTGGATGGCCTCACTGTATGAGGTGTCTATATGCAAATCTGATTTAGAAGGCACATTCTGTTTAGATTAAAAACCTACTGGTTATTTATTATTACCATATTCTATGGCCACTGAGTGTGGCCATACAATATAAATAAGACACTCTTTGTTGTTTTGAATTTGCCTTTAAATTGCCGAGCTGTCTTATTTTTATTGATGTAAACATAATAAACTCACCTTCATTGATCTTTACACGCAGTCCTATTTCATAAATTGGTCTACTTCGCAGGATATTATTTATTCACAAAAGAATTAAAACAAAACTGAAGGAAATTTTTTACAACAAGCGGCCATCTTGACTAAATCGCTATAGCGGAAAAAAGGCATGCTTTCAAAATGGAAAACGAGACGACATCTATTTTAAATGAAAATGTTCAATATCTCATCATGGGCTTTCAACTAGTGAAAGCCCATGATCTCATCAACAAGATAAGCTGTTACCATTTCAATTCATGAAATATTAACAGAACGATTTTTAGAATATTATATAAATTCATTGAAGGACGGCTTAAGATTTTACAATAGTTCACGCCTTCACGGTGTTCCAGATGGAATCACTTCTAGCCAAGAATTGGCTTTAGACTCGAGTAAATTTATTATACTGTAATTCAATGAAGTGTTATAATAATTGGTTATTTTTTAAGAATAGTCACTCATGTTGATAATTTTGTGCATAGAATTTCACTGGAAAGGACAATATGTAGGGTTGATGAATGACTTACCGGTCTGTCGGATCATGGGCTTTCTCTTGATGGTCAGATACAGACCTGAATATAGACTCATAGGCGGAGCCACCTTTCAGTCAGGGGGGTCCATTTACCACAAAAATATTGATGTTGCACTCTGGGAGTCAATCCTCCTTGTTGATAAATTGATGATAGATCTAGTCACAAAAATTTGAAAAAAGAAAATAAAAAATTGCAAATTAAAAGTGTCAAAATCAAGAGAAACTTACCTTCACTCGGGCTAAATTATTTTCTGTATCACGTAAAATCGACGAAAACTGGTTCTCCCAATCCATACTTTCTTACATACGACAGCATTTGCGTATAAAACGCTATAAATCGATCGTGGCCCCTTCAAAATTTTTGAAATCTTTTTTCCTTTATTTTAGAGAGCTCTGTTTTGCATTGAACGAAAATAAGGTTAAACATTTTCATTTAACCGGGGATTTCGGTGAGAGCTTTATGGCATTTGCAAACATAAGAGCCTATTCAAGATGGGGCTGTAAATCCTAATAAGAACATCAGCCTACAATACAATCCCCTCCATTTATCTTGTTCCAACACCATCCTCTTCTTAGTGATAGTCTTGGAACGAGATAACCCTCCATAAGTTTGGCAACTGGAAGATTTTGGGCTTGTCAAAAGACAAGTCTGCGTTTGGAGAACGAAGTTCATCAGTCTACTGCACGTTACACCTGCTTTAGACAATTTTGATATTTTTACATATTGTAGATTTAACAGTCCTCTTTTGAATATCCAAAATTTAATTTGGGTGTTATTTATATATTTTTCATAAAAAAATATTTGCACAGTAGACTGATGAACCCGCTGATGAACTTTATTCTCCAAATCGAGACTTGTCTTTTATTGAATCAATCTACTGCACTTAACACCTGCTTCGGACAATTTTGATATTTTTTACATATTGTAGATGTTTGTCAATGTACTTAAAGAATATGGTGAAATTTTACTGGAAGGGATTAAGGATTAATGCCTAAGACTCACTGATTTGTGGTTGGTTTCTTGTCTGCAGCTTAATATTGGAAATAGATCCATGAGGCTGAAGCCACAATTCATTGGGTCAGGTGCATGAATTATTTTCACACATAGTTAAATTATTTTAACTGTAAGATTTGAAATTCAACCAGAACCTTTTGCAAGGGTTATTTCCAGGGATCAACATAATATTCAGTTTTTACACAAGGTCATGTTTCAGTTTTTTTTAGTTTTCTCTTATTAACATGTTTAGTTGTTTGGCTATAGTGCTCTGATTGGCCAGAAAGTGATCCAACTTTGCAGGAAAATACCTAACCAAATTAATTGTTTCATCAACAATTATGATACTTGAAAGTAAAGTTTAATGATCATTACAACATATCAAGAGTTATCCAACATACTTGTGTCTCTCTCATTTGTATCTTTCAATTGTTGCATTACTTGAATGTATGACATTAAAAATTTGAATTGAATAGTTGTGGTTTGCTCTATTGATCAGAATGTTGGACTGATGCATCCCTAGCTGTTTCGCATCCTCCTAAACAGGTGTCCAGAATCCATACCGAAGATATTCTGGATTTTGGAGCCCTGCGTACGAATTATGCTATTTCGAGATAAGATAATTAAGGATAATTTTGTTAATAAATACTAAAGAAGAGATATTTATAACACACTGTACATACTACTTAAAATACTGTAAAATAATTAGTTTATTGCATTTCACTTTTCTATATGATAGGCAAATATGCATGCCATCTATATACATACATGTCTAACATAATGTTTGAATGAAATATATTTTCATAACAGATTTACATGGATAATGTATAACGTAGAAATCTTGTCTACTTATTTCATAGAAATGTCTAAAATGTTAAAATGCATGCAGTTTCATCGTGATAAGTTTATTTAAATGTAAAACTTTAATTTTTTAATATTTCTGTAATACCAGGGTACACTGTACATCAAAATCGAATAATGTAATATCCTTTTTTATAACATGATTATGAATACAGACTTTTAAGTCCTAAAATACTCATACAAATGAATCAAAATTTGATTCACTATTCACTGTGATCGATTTTCATGTACCTCTGTACCATACATGTATAGTATAGTTGTACACCTTTATTATGCATTATGTAAATGTTTAGTCTATTGTAAATGTAAAAATAAGTGATAAAACTTAAATAAACAAATCTACATATGATATGATTCTATAATGTCTTACATTATAATACGTTACTTTGTATATTGATGCAGTTAGTAGAACAGAACAGAACACAAGTTCTTTGTCGGATAAATGAACGGTAACATTATAAAAGTTCAAAATAAATGAAACTTCACATATAAATCAATTTTCAATGTTTTATATTGCAAAATAATTATTGGCAAGAATTTTCAAATTTTGTTGCCTTGGCAAGATAAACAAGTTTTTCTTTTATTTGGCAATCTACAGGTTTCAATGTATAACATAGCACTTGCATAGTGACAGATTTCACCATTCTTAAAGTGGTCATTAAAAATGAATTTCAAGTTATCTACAAAGCGCCTTTTTATACATTCTGAACTTTAAAGAACAGATTTCCTGAAACTACTCAAAATTGGGCTATCATAATTATATCACTAGGTGGCAGCACTAAAGCTACTAGATTCCTTATATGAAGGATTGAGCCAGTATTACAAATACTTCAAGTTCAGCAGAAGTTACAAAATCAGCAGTTTGTAGTGCCATGTTTAAACCTGTTAAATACACATACAACAAATATGCTCAATGTGAAATCTAACAAAAATATGCTGATGTGAGTATATGTATAGCCTGGCAAATAGATTCTCCTTTAGGAGACAATGGGAGCTCTAACTTGGCTGTGATACTGTGATGTCAAAACCTGATGAAAAGCCAGTGAGATATGTTGAGTATTAGTATTGCTTTATCTATAGAAGACTATCGTGTACATAGTTGCTTTAAAATATAATAAACTCAGATCTGATTATAATATAACTAAAACTGAACTATATATGAATGTATGAAAACATACACTACTGTATCACTAAAATATGTACAAACTGTATAAACATACAAATGAGTATTTTCGGTACTGAGTATTTTCAAATGATGTACAACAAGATGTGTACTTCTGCTCTTTAAGAATTAGCACCAGGCAATGTCATAAAATTTCATTAACATATCAAACATCAGATATGTATACATTATCTACATTGCAGATAAAAAACAAAACTTTTTTGAGCTAAGACACATGCATGTTACACATACATGTACTTCTCAAGCAGACATCATTAGGTTCTTGGAGTCAGACCATAACCTAATCAATTCAAAAGTAGTTCAGGGCTGCCTTTTTGAGTGAATTTTTACCATTGGATATTTAACACTGTTAAGGTAAGCAAACAATACAATATTTTGTGCAATGAATAATTTGATCCAGAAGAAATATTTTGATAGGGGTCAAAGGTAAGGTTTCAGCTTCCAAGATCTAATGTTCTGCCTTTATTACTTGATGTAAATTGATGTATAAAAGTCAACAAACATGTACTTAACATGTACATGTATTACACTTCATAATTATGCAGTATTTGTTCATACATTTGAACTAATCTCAAATGGTTTGTTGAGTATTGTATCCTCCTTAATTGAGATTCTGTATTATGTTGTTACATATCTACTTCCATGTACATAAGAAGTAATTGTCACATAATACTTGCAATATGTACATGTACTTCATAAACATACCATTGTAATCTCAATAGCCTCAAATGAGACTGTTCTCCACTCTTCATCTCCATTGTCTTTGGTTCTCATACACACATGAGATCTGTACAGTTGAGATCCTAATATACGAACACACGTTTTAAGTTGCACTTGGTCCATTGCTTAGAAATATACATTGCTTGATGCACTCAGCATTGTCATCATATTTGCTTTATGGGGTGGGATCACACAGATTGAATACTTCCTGGTCTTTGAACTCATTAGCTTTCTGGTGGTGTATCACATGTATCACCCTTTCCATTTTGTTGCAAAATCCGGTAAAGACTCAGTCATTTCGTTTCTTTAGATTTTACATATGTCCCTCATTTTGAAACCATTAAGTCTTGCATTGCTTTTCAATTTGGATATCTGTTTCTTTCAATCCCGATTGTGTTCTGTATATGTCATCACCTTCGTATACTGAGGTACTGATTTTCCTCTGCTAAAGTAGTAAGCATAGAACTCATATCATTCACCACCATATTTGAAGTGTCCAGTTGTCCTGTCCCGGCTCCACCACCAAACCGAGAGGAACTTTGAGAAGCAGAGCGATTCACAAGAGATGTAGGGCTCATAATTGTTGTAGTGAGATTCTCAGTCGATATTGAACTGATGTTATCCATGAAATTGTCCGCAGATATAGCGCATAGGTTCTCCATAGTAAGATCACCTGGGCCATATGACTCTGGCATAACAGGTGTTTGTTGATGTACGGGTGGTGGTGGAGGTGGCATCATTTGATGACCCTGCATGTTATTGTTCATATGATTTGGGTCATGATTGATTGATGGAGGCTGGGGTTTCATTTGGTGTCCCCGATCACTGGTGCTGGTGACTTGGTTGCACCCTGGGGACATCTGTTGTCCATTGTTCAGGTGGTTCATGTGTGGGCCATGTTGGGCATTGGGAGGCATGGGTTGGGGACAGTTAGGGGGGTGAGGTTGCATGAACTGGCCATTGTTCTGAACATTATTATAATAGCCCTGCTGAAGGTTGCCCATATTCTGATTAGCCTTAATGTTCCTGTTAGCTGTCTTTGCCCCTGGTGGAATTTTTGATTGACTTATCTGTGGAACCTGTACCTGTGGGGATTCACGATGTTTCACCTGGGGGCTAGCCATAAGAGGCTGGGAGGGTGGAGGCATAGGATTCATATTTGGCCCAACATTGGCACCCTGCATCTGCGTAAAATACTGGAGGTTTTCCTGTGTCATGGGAGCAGGGGCATTATAATGTTGCTGTTGTTGAGACATGGCCATCCCCTGCTGTTGTTGGTTATACCCCTGTTGTTGTTGCTGATGCATGTAGTTCTGCTGCATCTGAGACTGGTTGAGGTTCATCTGGTTGTTAAACTGCTGCTGATTTGGCTGCATGTTATTTTGCTGCATGTTATTTGCCTGTACATTATTTACACTGCATGGAGACAGTTGTTGGTTACAAGCAGCAGGTGCCTGTGGTGACAGCTGGTTGCTGTTGATTGGTTGTTGTGGGGACAGCTGGTTCATTGGTTGCATTTCAAGGGCTGTATTAGGCCTTGTGGTACAAGCAGTGCTTGGTCTTGATTCTGCAATGCCGCAATCCTGCATTTGTTGGCGCTGAATTGCCTGGTTGTAACGCTCTGTAAGAAACCGTCTCATATCATCTGGGATTAGAAGATCATCAGAATCAGCCATCATTTTCTCATCAAGAGATTGCTCAACTTCTTCCATGTTGGCACCATCACCAAAGAACTCCTCATAGCCACAGCTGTAGTTGGTCGCGATACTACTTTGTGAGGAGCGCAGGTTGTCTGTGCTGCCTTGCTCATTCTTAGGCTGCAATGGTGGGAGGGGTTGTAAGCTCCTCATGTTCTGAGGTGTTGGCAGAGGCTTCACGGCATTCAAACTGTGGAACTTCTGGATTTTCCCAGGGCCAAAGTTAGGATCTAAGCACCTTACTGGGTCACTAGCTCTCCTCAGCTCGCGATTAGGGATCTCATGAGGGAGAGGTGTGCGGCATGGGGTACTTGTCCGCCAACCACGATTCTCAACCCTGAATTGAGCCATCTGGGCGACTCTCTCATTACCCGTCAACCTGTTGTTTGGACTCAACTGCTGCTGTTGTTGCTGGAGAACAAGATTCGGGTTGCTACCCAGCTGAGTATTCTGCAACTGAGTTCCAAGTAGGCTGATATCCCGACTATTCCGACTATTCATGGGTGCATTGCCTGTGATGTCATACTCGTAAGGTGAGTTGGTGATACTGAGGCGGCCCTGCTGGGAGGCATTACTTGATCGCCTGCTAGAGAACTGACTGTTGTAGAGGAAAGGACTTGCATCAGAGCGTACACTGCTCATGTATGAACTGATTGTGCTTGTGTTGCTGTCACGTCTGTTGCCCTGGTAGGTACCATCCTGGGTCATTATACCTGGAAACAAACATCAATATGATTATTTGTAAAGGACATATCCACATAAAGGAGTTTTATTGAGTTTTATTTCAAACATCAATATGACAGTGTGTGTGTATATTTGTTAATTTTTGGTAAAGGACATATCCACATAACATGCATAAGGGAGTTTTATTAAGAGTGATCTAAACATGCGTTAACCAAAATCTTTGAACAGTGTTCAGTTTAAATATGTTCAGCTTACAGATTGTCACAACATACATGCAGGTCTCTGCCCTATTTACCTGGTAGCTCTCTAGTCTGCCTTGGACTGGACTGTTTCATTTGGCTGACCTTGTTGCTCAGTTCTGTCATACTCAAGGGTACATTGCCTCGTCTGTTGTTATTCACTGGAAATGTATTTTAGCATTTGAAGTGTGGTTTAATTGAGTTATTCATAACCAGTGGTCAGTTCACAATAGAGTTATATCAAAGTGTTTACATAGGTTGGTTTATAAAAGGATACAACATAATTGGTGATGGGGAAGGTACAAAGTCAGGAAGGTTGTGTTGCATGAAGTTTTATTTATTTTTGACAGATGAGGAGCGAAACACACGTCAATATCCACCAATATAGCTCATTGTTTTTCATCTTATACTGTGCCCCTGAATTATACTTTTTTTATTCATTGCATATTAAGTTGGGTGAGTGACAAGGTTCTCAGAATACCAACAAAAATCACATGCCACATTGTAGGGCATTACAAATTCCATACAATGCCCATTATTTATGCTAAATAAAGTAGTGATTTCTTACCTGGCATATTAGGTAAAGAAGGTAGGGCATTAGTCTTGGCCTGTAGTCGTCCCTTCAGCCTATTCTGCATCAGATTGTTCCTGTTCATAGCAGCCACTCCTACACTGGGACCCCGTTGAACTGTAGTGGCTGGCAACTAGAACACAATACCAAAACTTTTGTCAGGTGTTTACCTTACTCACATAAGCTAACTGGACCTTTTTCATTTGATTTAAATTATATATAGACACAAGGTAATCTATATTTTCTGATATCAATGCTCTAATTTTATTAGTTTTTCCTTTTGTTCCTGTATTTTGCTGTTTACCTCAGTTATGATTTCTTCTTCCTCATCTTCTTCCTCAATAACAGCAGATGTTCCCGTGTTCATGTTTGAGCCACTTGTCACATGTTCCTTGAAATCTCCCTCCACTCCAGGAGAGTTCTGTTGACACACATTCAGTGGACTACTGTGATTGGAGTAGGATTCCTGCTTAGTTGTCACTGACCCTGTATTGTCCTGTTAAATCATTGATGAGTTTTTATTTTTCTGATTGCAGGGAAACAACAACAGTGCATTATATCCACTTAGGGCTGATTATAATGTACATATCTACAGGGCTTTATGAGGCTGGACATCAGATGTTGTAGATTTTGCACTTTCTAGATGCTCTTGAAATGAAAATAATGGGCCAAGGCTCTAAATTGTTCAGAATGAACAAGTGTCATAGTCATGAAATCTGGAAGTTTATTTAAATTCCAAGGAAAAAGGAGTAAACCTGACTAAAAGTGTTATTGCTCTGGTATCAATTACCTGAGATTTCCTCCTATCTGTCACTGTAGAGCCCTGTAGCTGTGTGACAGTCAAACATTCCTCCATCTTTTTGTCTTTGTCATCTTTGTTGTCATCCTGCAGGTAGACAGAGTGCAACATGCATGAACAGAGGTTTCTCTAAGATTGTTTATAAGACTCTTACAAATAAATTGGCTGTGAAGCAGTGCCTAGTGGTTTGTCCGAGAACATCCCTGGTACTTTTGAAGGCTTTCTTTTGACGCTATGTTTTCTTTTGATGCTAAACTGACAATTCACATGGAGAGGCCTAGCCTAGCAAAGTTCTACTCATTTTGTATATTCTGACTAATGTCTGTTCACAAATCATGTACAATTGTTAAATAAAAGAAACTTCCTTCAGATTAAAGTTTACTTTTTTCAAGTAGTAATATAGTAAGAGATTTGTAATAATTGTATAAAATAATTGATTTCTAACCTGATCATTATTATTTCCAGGACTGTTTTCCCCTCCTTTGTGTTTTTTGTTGGCATAAAAGTCAGGTCCATGTACAGTCTTGACATGTTTTCTCAGTGAACTAGGATCTGTGTAACGCTTGGTGCATCCTGGAGCCTTGCATATGTATGGTTTCTGAAAGAAAAATAACATGATTATCAATTTCCAATGCTTAAGGTGGTATATTTAATTTTGTTACTCATAAATCTATATAGATACAAAGTAAAATGGGTCATCTTAGTCTTGCCTCAAGACCCTGGACTCCCCCCCCACTTATCTACTTTACAACAGTTAAAGTAGATAAGGGTGAGGGTTCAGGGTTTGAAGCAAAACTAGAGTCTTCTCATGATCAATTTTGCCAACCTTGACCCTTTATATCCAGGCTTGCACACTATCCCCACATGTACCAAGATCCAAATGTCCTTACTAAGAGACCATATCTTTAAAGTCTACTTACAGCATTAGAATGTGTCCTGTTTTGATGCTTGGCTCTATCTGAGGCATTACTGAATGCCTTCGTGCAGCCAGGGAACTCACACATGTATGGTTTCTCTCCAGTATGGGACCTTAAATGAGTCTTCAAGTTCTCCAGTCTGGAGTATGCTTTGTAGCAGCCTTCAAACTGAAATATAAAGACATGCCTTTCATAAACATTCACAGAAACGTGGCAAAATATCTTTAGCTTCGGATTAAGAATGGACACTCTTAATGGGGTAATATGTTTTATATACGGTATACATGCATGGGCGTAGGACTATATTTTGAGTTGGTACGCACACTCAGGGATGCCTGATTGCGTGGCTAAAGGCTGCGCATTCGCGGGGGGTGGTCCGGGGGTAAGCTCCCCCGGGAAAATTATTTTCAAGGCCGTTATTTGATGGAATCTAAGCGTTTTTATCAACTTTAAATGTTGACAATGGTAAAAATACAGATACGGTAGGAAGCATCAATAAATTCGCAAATAAAGTAATGCATTTAAACACTTTTTTTTTTTCAAATTCATTTGGTACGCCTGTGCATATTTTGCGTAATAGGCGCTACGCCAATGGCATGCTACATCTACTTTAAAAGATTACACCTGCTAATGTGAACACTTTTGACTGGTCCAAGTAGTGTTCAGAAAGACAGGTTTTACTGTACATACTTGTATTCAACATTATAATGTGTGAGGACTAATGAGGCATTGATGTCATTAACTTACTGTACACCTGTGTGGCTTTTCACCAGTATGACGTCTCATGTGGACAACTAACATGTACTGAGCCTTGAATGGCTTCTCCTCCCTTGAACAGTCTCCCCATCTACATATAAACGCCTTCTTATTGGAGGCTATGTGGTCCTGGTTGATGTGCTAAAATAAACAGAAAATGTTGATGATATATAACATGGGATAAATACATGTACTGGTATATAGATGTCAGATATTATCTGCAAGACATATTAACTGCAAGATATGGGTTTTATTTTATAGAATAATATATTACAGAGTGACAAGAAGTTACATACTCTAACAAGCTCCTCTTGTGTCTTGAACTCTACATTACAATCCACCCAGTGACAGTTGGTTTCTACAAAATCAGGCTCTCCTTCTACAGGGGGCCTCTCTGGTTTAATATCAGGCTTCATTTCTGAAAAACAACCAATAACATTTATTATGGATATGTTTAAAATACAAAGTAACATGTCTCAATTAACATACCGGTATATTTGTAATGTTTGGCGCACAATTACTTTTGTCATTTTTCATTGATTTCAATATTACTGGTTTTAGGGTGCTATTTTCTCACCTTGTTTTATATGATTAACTCCAGGTTCTCGTTTGACCTTGAACTTCCTTGGATCTATGTGCTCTGCAGTGCTACTGCTCACTATAGCACTACCAGGGTCTTTGTGGGGGTAGTTAGGTGCCTATATGAAAATGCATATGTTAGGATGTGGTTGTTAGATGCTTTGGGGAAAACACATAAATGATGATGGTTGCAAATGGCTGGTGTCATGATTTGAAAGAAATACATGAGAAAATTGTAGTTTTGATGACACAAAAGCAATCAGACAAAAATACGTACTCGATTAATTTCTATTTTAGTTAAATATTCCAAATATTTCCCTGAGTTGATTTCTAACATCAAGATATACATATGGTACATGTACATCATGAAGTTGAAGTTCAACTTTATTTCACACAAGGTTGTACATTCACTGTTCTCCCAGAATTATTTTGTGTGGAGGATTTTTTCTAGTGCAACATTGTAGGATTTTGAAATTTTCAAGCGTAACATTTTCAGATACATACATGCACATATTGGAGGAACATGAATTGTACAATGACGTATAATCAACAGTTGTTTCTATAATGGGATAACATTAGACATATAGACATCAATCCAAAATCCAAACAAATAACAATATATACAACTTGTAAGTACAATAAACATGCAAATAGTCAACTCTTACCTAACCTTATATCCTTACACAGTACATCCCTATTGTTCTGGCAGTGGCAATAAAGAAAATATATTATGTTACTGAGAACATATGGAGATACATTATTAATCTACAGAATATTTTCTAATCGAATTATTTTCCACAAACACCAACGGGCCAACCTTGATGTCCCCCATGGAGTTCATATAAAGTCCCATGGGCGTCAAGTTTCATGAGATCCTGCTCAATGTTAAGTCTATGGCCCATTGGTGCATGTTGGGCATAACCAACAACAGGATATGGTCAGTTAAGTATCAAATATGAAACAATGCATATGTACCTGTGCCTGCGAGTCTGGCTTAGTGGCTCCCATCATGGCAGGGTGTGGTAGGGCGTTGCCCCCTGGCATTTGCCTCATCAACATTGGGTGCATCATAGGAAAGAATGGGGATGATGGGGGGATACTCCCAGGTTTCAAGTATGGGTTTACAGCAGGACTGGCTGCTCCAAATGATGCTAAAATTAAATAGAGAAGTCATCTAAAATCTCTCAACAAGGCATTAACATGCAAAATATCACCACCTACCATTTGTTACAGATGCCAACCACCAAATGCCGACTGCCAAACAGCAACCATAGAACACCATCCATAAAAAAGTTGGAGAATACAACAATAATAGGTAACCACTTAACAGTGTATATCAACATCAAATACAATTTGAAGAGACCAAGCAACCTCTTTAGGGTACTGTATATGGACATGTGGTTTTTTGTTAGTGGCTGTGCAGTGTTTACCTGCAGAGAGATGTCCATATGATCCGCTTGCTGCAGAGGAACTCCTGGAATGATGCATGAGAGGCGTCAATTGCAACGAGCCCTCTGAACTTCGCGTCAAACTCTGGATGTCAAGGTAGTCAGATATTGGGGAATGCGATAGCGCCCTCTTTCTACTCTTGCCAATTATGGAAGGCCTGGGACTTGTCAATCTTGAACCTTGAAATATACATTTTCAAAATATTATTATGTTACCCTTTACTTTTTCAAAACATTTTCTGTCTTCACTAGATACTATAAATGGGTGGAGTGGACGTCTGAATTAAATGGATGAAACATTACACACCTGGCAGTGTTAGATATATGATCATATTGGCTATTATAAGATTTGAAAAGTAGAATAAAAGCTTTAAATCATAATATCTACCATGTTTAGGCATATCTTAAGTGCAAAAAATGATCTAATAGAGAAAAAAACTTTTATTGTAATGTTAAGTTATCAAATGCTTTCAAATATTGCTTTTTGACATGTTTTTCTTTATAGAGATTAATAAAACAAATATTCTAATTAATTATGCTGATAATTATGCTGATTATATACCCTCATTGTATATGTTGTATGGACCTCCAAAAGTCAGTCCACATTCCTAAATACCATATGCAATTTGGGCAATGCAATCAATGAAAGTGACATAAACCTCTCTCTTGGATTATGTAGAAGTGTCAGTTAAAGAATTTTTAAATATAGATTTGACAAGTACTGACATATCCACTGAGCATATTTCCCCAAATTGACATATTCTAATTATTACCTACAAATATTAAAACAGAAGCAAAAATATGTAATTATGAGCTAAAAAAACATTACTTTTATAGTAAAGATTTTAATCAATAGAAGTAACAAGTCGTAATAATTTAATTACTTCATCTTTACAAATTGGTATATTTTAATATTTTATATTAATGTCACTCATTAATTTCTATTTAAACATCTAACTTATTCAGCAAATACAAAACTTTTGCTGTTTGTCCTAAAGGTAGCACGCAAGTAGAATCCTCCACCTGGGGTGAGGCTGTTCAACCACAGAGTGATCCGTAAGTTGTGATTAATCAAAATGTCAACTTCTTACATTTTTTACACATTAGCGACCAACGAAGCAGAAATGGTAGCAAAATAAAATGTTGTTTTCAAAATACAGCCTCTAATGAAATTTTTTCGAATCAATTATTCTGTAATAAACTGGCAATGACTGAGTCAGGCTTGGGTAGGCTTATTCATTGGTAAATGTTTTACAACTGCCTAAGAGAAATTTACCCACCGAGAAATACTGGCTCATTTTACGTTTATTCCAAATCATTTCTCTCTCAGAATAAACTAAACAAAAATTTCTGGTACTCATCCACCAATTATCACAATGACAACACACCCGTATATTTCATAATTGTCACATGTCGCTTATTTCATGCTTAATTCGTCATATAAAGCATTCAATGATCACATTTCATTCTGAGGAAGAATGATACAAAGACAGTGTGACGACATGTGTAATGAATCAAACGTGAGACTATGAGACAAGTTTTTAGATAACATTATGTGTTTTTGAGAGCACAAATAGACAGTTGAATGCCATCATCATCTGCCATACTAATTCTCAGTTGATACATTCAACTAATACAGAACACACATATTGATGTCACCATACCGCTATAATGCAATTGGAGCTAGAATATGAAGTCATCTATACAAACAAAGTAATACTATTTACGATTGAAACAATGTGTATTGAGACATTCTGCATGAATGCATAGAAGGTAGAAAAACAATTTAATAAATGAATAATTATACATTTATACACCGGATGTGTTCTATACATATATCTTTTCAATTTTTCTTCAATAAACCTAGATTTTGTTTAAGTATAAATACAACTCATTACATGTCACCCTGTTAACTTAATGAATGCCATATATAGGTTGTTTTTTTGTATTTCAAACTTCCCCAGGGATGCACCTTACACTTCTTTTATTGGCTCTCGTGCTAATGAACTCTTGAGTGTACAGACATTAAGGTAGACTGGGTGGAATGAACAACTTACCCAACTGACTTGAATAGTTATACAAACAGTCATGCCACGAGGCCTAACTTAATAATAAACACCCAAGCTGTGTTCAAATCAGGGTGGATCATGAGGGTGGTAGACATACTTGTTAAATTCCAAATATGGACTAGTTACCACATTATTTTCCATATACATGCTCAAAATAAAAGCTCGCCTGGTAAAAAAAACAAGAACCAGGTTTGTGACACCCCCTGGTTAAATTAGAGATTTTTGTTCAATTTAGTTCTTACTTTCTATTGATCCTGGTAGGGTGATGCTGCCACTACCTGGTGTTGGGGGTATATCTGTGAACATGCTGCGCTGACTAACTGCCCTATCTTCTGGTATAGTTGCAGGTGGTAGCATCTCCCTAAGCCCTATAAACAATGCACATATACATGTAAACTTGGGTTAAAGCTTCACTTTATGCCATACAAATGGTGCAGAAATACATGAATATTCAAACTTAGATGTAAAATAATAAACAAGTAATGAAATCATGGTAAATATGACGCTTTCATCCAAATGAATAAAAAATAAAATGTTTTAATTAACAATATTTCATAATCATTTTGCATCATTTATTACAACAGTTAAAAACAGACAGTTAAAAACAGAATTACATTTTTAATTCACAGACATATTTCCTCTTTTACTTACTAGCATTGTTCAACAATATATTCAAAGGGCAACATTTCATACCTGAAAGGCTGGCGGGTGAGTATCCCCTATGTGCCGCCAGGGGGCTCTGATATAGCCTCTGCATTTGTTCAAGCCTGATCCTGTGGGCAAGTTGCGTGACTGACTCATGGGCAGCATTTGGACTTCGCATACTTATTAGAGATATATCAGAGACTGGACTTCCAGAACTTAATCTACAAGAATAAGAAATAATAATCAGGGAATGCTATAAATTCTTTTTTTCCTTTATTGATACCATAACTTGACCTGATATTCACCTTAAAATGAAGTAATAATTTGGCCTAAGTATTGCATGTAGATTATCAACCTATTTCTAGAAGTATCAGTTTTTCTTTATCGATTGATAGCCATTAATCACTACTCTTTTGAAGTTTCAAACTTTCTCTCCATGGATGGAAATATTTCAACCTTGGGAACTGGCATGTAAGCTCACTGTTGAAGTGTTTCAACTACCTACATGGCAAATCTAAAGTAACTTGAACATTTTCTGTTAGCTGCCAAGAATTAACGGCCTTTAGTTTCATCAAGTCTACAACATCTAATACAATCAGTCAGTAGCACTGTCTTATGGGCTGAAGCTGGCACATGTAGTTAACTTCAACTTCAAGTGAAAAAACATTGACACATTTCCATTCATGTTAGTATTTTTTGTACTTTATTCGAGTGAATGAGTAGTGAGAATATGTTCTTAAGTGGTCTTTTTTAATTTTTCGAAGTCCTTGAAGGAGAATGATTTGTTTAACATTCATTAAAGCATTGAACATGCTGGATTGGGGTTTTAAGAAATCTGGGTCAAGCTGTGTGAAATCAAGATGCAATGTTTCTATGGTAGCGCACTTTACATCAGACTTTAGAGTCAGAGATGGAGTGTGAATTTCATATTTGTTTATTGTATAGCTTTACATTGCTTTAACTAAAAACACATGTATCTAAACATGCCAAAATCTGAACACAAGCCACAAAAATACAGAAGGAAGATATTCGTTCAATTGCAGATAGGATAACATAACATAAATATAATTTCCACCTTCCGGTCAGAATAACTTATTATGATTCTTTTGACAATTTAGGGCGGGGATGACTATAGTTATCATCCATTAACTTTAGGGTCAATAAGTACATAAATGGTTATACGGTACATGAACTTGGCACAACTGTCATGTGACAAGACACAGAGACATTCGAGATTAGCCAATGTAAAAAGTGAATAAGCCAACTTAAAAAGTGAATTAAAAGCAGCAAAATTTAAACGATTTCAAATCCAAGTGAAATTGAGGATTTTTACATCTTAAGTTTAAACGAAAACTATCATTAAACTATGAAGGCTGTCATTACACTAAAATCTTCAATATATCAACAACATTCATAAAAGTTCATGATTTGGCTGTAAATCACCATGTGCAAATAGTGGAAAATTATAGGTTTCATTGAGAAACTGAATGATTTATGGCAAAGTTTCTATATTTTGGCCACAAATATTCAATCCCTGGACATTTTCACAGGGGGAAAATCTTTTCATGTAGTGCTGGGATCAAAAGGGGCTATGGTCATTTTTTTCATTTCACATGACTATATAGAGAAAATGACCAAACAATGACCAGTTTGAAAATGAAGAAAAATACTCCCTAGATGATGACATCTATCCATGTACAGTACTGTAAAATGTCTTAGATTAAAAATTATTCCTGATGAGAATTTTGAATGTTATGAGTTGGAAGATACAAAAAATCATAAAAATTGTTTGCACAAGTTAAACATGTTTGTTATCAATTAGTCAAAATTAGAAACAGATTCATTTACTGTCAAATAGGACAATATAGAATTTTGTTTCTTTGGAAATCGGGAATCTTATTCATATCAATCAAGGAACAAATCCAATAAAAGATCAAAAAAATATTTTCAATTTCTATTTCAGATAATTATTTATTTCAGATATAAAGGAATATGAGTACAGTGACTGTTAAGTGACAGGTAAATTCCAATAAACACACACAAATTCACAAAACAGATCAAAAGGTACTCTTTTGAATTTCACTTTCAAATATTTTGATAGATTTCAAAAGAAATATCTTTAGATCCAGATATTAATGTCAAGTATAACATACAAGGGTCAACGAACAAGTAGGGGGCCATCAATTAGCATAGGGGTCAGTTACTTCCTATATACACCCTTAGATATAATATCTCTATGTTAATATTTTAAATGCAATAATAGAATAGAGATAAGTGAACTTTGCAAAGTTGATGTTATAGTTATGTTGTCAATAGTCTAATTCGTTTGTAAGTCATAGAAATAGGATTTCGCGAAATTTTTAAGGAGAATGTCATGAAGAGAGTCTGACCAGAGTAATGTTTCGCATGCGTATAGTTCATGTCAACACATATTACCTTGATATTCTAACACAGAATTAATAAAAGGGTCACTTTGGTTACCTGCACCTTTTCAAATTATTTCAAGATTATTTTCAATTTGAAATGAAAAGTGTACTTAATTGGCAAAGACGGAAGTGATCTCATGTCTCTCACTGTCTTGAAATCAATGATACAATGCATAATTGCACTGGAAACATTCCATTATTATGTATCACCATATTCGTTAATGTTCACTGACTCGGAAGAATATCAGCCATTCACTGAGGTGTAAAATGTTGTATGTAATATTCACATGATCAAAAGACTCCTTTTAGAATGGCCACTTTAGAACGTGATTGAGTATGATTGGTCTCTTCAAATGTATAAAATATATGCCACATTAAAATATCATCAATAAATATGCAATTCAAAATAGCAATTGTGCTTGTATCCAAGTGATACTCATTGAAACCTGGAATGGATATATGAATCATCGTTTTATTTAACTAAAGGAACTTGATTCTTCAGAGCATGGTCTTCTTTGATACATACTAAAAAGAGATCTTGTTGAGATCCTATTTATTTAGTAGTACTACAATTCATACACTTGCTGCTTAATCTATTTATGCCTCATTACTGCATTCACTACACATCCACAATTTTTTCTATCTACTCTTATATTATGTAACAAGACATTAACATGCTAAATGTCACCACCTGCCATTTGTTGCAGAAGCTGAACACCAACCACCAAAGACAAACCAGTGAATGCCCAAAACCAACCAGAAAAAGATTGAGACAATAACAATATGTCGTCACTTATGATGATTATAAAATAAAATCTGACTTACTGGTGACTAGGGTGGTTGAGAGGAGATACAGGTGGCCAGTGGTATCTTCCATCATGGGTGTGAGCATTTATGGGCATTGGTGGGTTGATCCCCAATGGCGGATAAGCCAAGTGTGGAGAATATGCATAGGGATAAGCTGAAATTTTAGAAAAATAATTGAATTTTTACATTATATATTATAGATTCAATTTTTCAATCTAATTATCATTATTGTAATGTTTTAATTATACTTCAATTAGCATTCAATTTACAATATACCTAAAAATTTTGTAACATTGAGTTAATTTTATGAGCATAGTAGTAGAATTTCACTTACGATAATGTGGGTCCACCCTTGGGTCAAGATATGTTGGCATACCATAGTAGGGAGGGACCCTTGGCTCAGAAGCTGGGGGTGGGGCAGGGGTCGGCCCACACCCTCTGTCAATCATCTCAGTATTTTTATCATTTGTCGTACTTGGCTCCTCATCCACACGTTCTAGACTTGACGTCGGTGGCCGACTCATATTCCGTCTTGCCTTTAATCCAAGATCTACAAGAAGAGAATCAGGAAGTGCCTCATCATTATTAACATCTCTTTCAGATATCCAATCTAGTAGCATGTCTTTTTCAGGGTCTTCTTCAGGTTTGACACTTGGATCATCTCCAAGATGGGCCACTTCTGAAGCCACACTCGGGTTAATTGTCTCTTCCTTCATTTTAATACATATAATCCAAGTAAATAATTTATGATTAATAGATCCTGACTAGTTGTGGTCAGTATACAATGTATAAAGTCCTAGATATGGTTTTTACCAAATGGCAAGCATTTAGTGGATGTGAATGACTTAATCCTTCTAATAATCCATGTTGCTACTGCTTGTGTACTAAAATTCAACCTATTTGTAACTGTCAAAATATATTGTCCCAAATGTCCCATAAAACATGAGTAGATTTCCTCTCAGAAATTCAATCACAGGCAACTACGTCATCCATCAATTAAAAACCTTTCAGATTCACTTTAACTTATCCATTCACTCACATAATGTCTTTCGTTATGGCCTTTTTTGGTTTCCAATTCAATGCAGTCATAATCAAAACTTGAATAAAAAAACTCAGTGCATTTTAAAATGATATGGTGCATTTCCTTGTTACACTACCAGTATCTCAGATATAAATGACTGGTCAAGAATGACAAACAATCAGCTTTTCCAATGACAAACCATTTAAAGGACATTTACTAAATAATCGTTCTATTTGTGCCAATTTACTGGACAATGCCAAACAAGGTTGTTATGCTTAATTTTATTCAGTTACTTTTGTAGCATTGATGTCCATAACCGATAAATGTTGCCATCATATTCATAATCACAGAGTGGATCCAAGTTATTCAAAATTTCTCACAGAGACCATGTCTAATGAGGCAAATTCAAAGATATTTCTTGTCCAACTTGTCAAATATCTTCAAGAGCCTTTACATGTTTCATCTAGGCTTCTTATACAGTTGTTATATGTGAATAAGCTGCTACTTATTTTAACATCCCTGCTCAACCACTCTGCGACAATCCACATATATTTTCTGATGAGTTACACAAATCTCATTTTAAAGTATCCAAAATCATCAAATTAAAAAGATGATGATAAGCTTTGTGTTGTGTTCTTAATCTGTAGATGTCACACAATGTATACAAATACAAGAATGAGATAATAGAAGTAGGGTTACAAGTGAAAGTTGTTTACACGTGCCAGAGGAAGTCCAAGCCATAACCTACATACTCATCCATGACTAACTAATTAACATGTGAAGGGTGCTTTGCAAGTGAAACCAACAAAATATTGTTCATATTTAGAACATTGTCTCTCCAGGGAAATTCTTGGAAGTGTCCATAGCTGAATCAGACTTTGAGAGCATCAAAATCATCGATGTCAATCCAGGATACAGTAATTCGATCTAATCACAATGATTTTTATTTTCATTTAATTGTAAATTTCCGTGCTGATGTATCCTTAATTTTATTAATGTGTTTTATAAATGGAATTATCATCCATTAGAGTTGATTGTAAGTAAACACATTAAATCTTCGTAAGTCCAATCTTGTCTTTTAGCTCATTGGTAGCCTCTCCTGAACTCCAAACTCAAATGTAACGTATCATCCATCCTTTTTTGAATTGTTAAATAAACTTTTTGTAAATATGTCTTCAAATGCTGTTTATCATCAAGATAAAATCTTGAACATTTATCTTTTTCTCTGCGTTCAATGAAACTTTGATTGTGAATAAAGAAGTTAAGCAGGCGAGTTGAACTTATTCATTTTTTGATGCTCATCATTTCGTGTAATGAAATCATTTGGCTTGAGTCTGGGATCACATCACTGTGGTTCAAGTTGGGTGGTCTAAATCATTGAAAAAGTAACGTAAAGTAACCATTTCAACAATAACAAACACAGGGAGAAGTTCTATAGCGCCTCTGACACCTTGTTACCCGCCAAACCCACCACTCAGTCCACAACAACATAATTAAAACATTAAAACCAACTTGATGGTCAATGAAGTAAATCAAAGAATTTCCTAAGTGACAAATAAACTGAATGCATTGATATTTTAATTAGGGATGTCAGAACAACTGGTTTTGGCTTCCACTACTTGGTTAAATGGTTAATTTTGATCTGGTCCACATGGACCCCAGATTCCTGTTCGCTAAATGTTTTAATAATTGTAGCATTTTAATCCCTCAAAAGTTATGACTCATTTGTATTGTATTACCTTTTATGGCATAAATGTATCCGCTAAATTGCATGCAACTAAAAAACATTATGAAAATCCTAATGCGTGAAACAACTTTCATCTCAATAGATTTAAGACATTAAAAAATGTTTTTAAGCTGTCAAGTTGCATTTTATTAGAAACGAACAAATTGGAAAGTTAAAACTACAGTGTTGCGAAGAAAGGCATTCAGTAATTTTATATCATTTTTTATAATAATTATTATGTTTAAAGTGAACTTTAAACCCACGAAATACCCATTCACACAAAGCATATAACATAGGTGGCGTAACTCTGGCAACCATACTATGAATGAGTCACAGACTGATCAAATCCTAGGATTTCAAAGCTGGCCTTTTTACAGCCAGCTTGGGGTTGTAAGAAAATTGGCAATGTTTTGGTAAGAATATCATATTGAGCTAGCGTAGAAAGGAAACACTGGTAAAATAAACACCATGCCAAACCTGGTAGCAGCCTATAGGTACATAAATACAACCCTCAGATTTCAAAATATGCACCATTAATCAGCCAACTATTAAATATTACACATATGAGGTAATGCCTACTGGTAGTGATGAATAACATTCTTCCTGGTTTGTCCGTACATACTACAAAGTGGGGGAGGGTTGTAGGTAGGAGAAGGGTATGGAGATTCAATTTTGTAAGTATCATTTGTAATGTACACTGATATGGAGGGGGAAGGGGGCCAGTAAGCTTAAAAGTTTTTTTTCTTTTCTCACTTTACATCTTTGATTTAGTCAGTAACATAACTGAATTCTTTTATGCCTTTATACTAATTAGAGATATCACGGAATAGAAAAAGATTGGAAAGGCTCTGTTCGAAACATTTGGTTTCGGAGAGGAATAATTTCAGGATGGTTCTGTACAGAGTGACTGCCTGTATTAGAACAACGGCAACGCCAAAGCGTAGCGAATCCCATCAAACAGAAATGGCTGGCATTTTTACAAACGAAGCGCAAATATCATACAAAAAAAGACACCAGAAAGGCCACCATTTTCAAAATGGTTGCTCACTAGCCAAGTTGTCATCAGAAGAAATAATATGCTTTTAAGTAGCCACCTCTAAAATTTTTGAAAAATCGCACATGTACTTGTAAAATAACACACATAAAAATGGTGGCCATTTTGAAAAATGGCCGACTACTCCCCAAAGTTTTATTAGACAATGTGCCATGCTTAAAGTATTCACATATCAAATATGAACAAAATCGCTCCACTACTTTTCGAGTTATAGTAAAATACGTTAAAATGGCGGCCATTTTTCACAATGGCCACCTTCTACCAAAAGCGTCATTAGAAATAGACAGTGTGCCATGCTTATAGTATTCATATACCAAATATGAACAAAATCACTCCACTACTTTTCGAATTATAGTGAAATACGTTAAAATGGCGGCCATTTTTCAAAATTGTTTTCAAAATGGCCGCCTTATACCAAAAGTGTCATAGGACAGTGTGCCATGCTTAAAGTATTCACATACCAAATATGAACAAAATAGCTCCACTACTTTTCGAGTTATTGTAAAATACATTAAAATGGCGGCCATTTTTCAAAATGGCTGCCTTCTACCAAAAGTGTCTTTAGACAGTGTGCAATGCTTATAGTATTCACATACCAAATATGAACAAAATCGCTCCACTATTTTTTGAGTTACAGCAAAAATCGTAAAATGACGAGTAAAGGCCGCCATTTTTCAAGATGGCTGCCATGTGCTTCTTTAATATCTACATTTGTAGCATTATTAATGTCCTTTATAATTTTTTTACATTTAAAACATATTGCTATTGCAGTTTTACATATTGCACCTAAATTTCTGTAAAATCGTCACTAAATGGCCGCCATTTTGAAATGAGTGGCCATTTTGAAAATCGGCTTTCGAGCAGAACTTCTACCCCCATAGGGTGTATGTGTACAAAATATGAACAAAATCGGGCCAACGGTATTTGAGTTATTGCCCGGACGGACGGACGTACGGACGGACAGACGGACGGACGGACGGACGGACGGACGGAGGCATCCCCTATATCCCTCCGAACTTCGTTCGATGGGATAATAAGTCGATCTATATCTTCAATGAGAAGGAGTGAAAAAATATACTTTTGAATTTTGGCCATTTTTGGGCCAAAGTTGTCAAAAGTGAACACCCCTGGAATTTTTAAAAAGTGAGCCCCCTTGGCAAATCCTGGGAAAGGGCCTAATAAATGCAGTTTTTATTCATCCATAATAATATTTTATCAACCCCTGTGTCCTACTGCAGCTGTAAATATATATTTTTTGAATAAACATCATTTCAGAACAAATAAAATAATACAGAAAATATACGACTTTATCAAATAACACAAGTTGAGCAATGAAGAGTATGTTTTAAGATACATGTATGACTGATGATAAGTGAATATACTCCAAAATCTACTAAAGCTACTAATCACAGCAATTATGGTGTTATTTGAGCCATAATCACCAAGTAATCTGGTAACTCTATAGGAATTTATATCCCAGTGACATTCTCCCATGTTTAACTGTCACTCTACATGATCTGTCATCGTGCATTTTTTCTAAAAAAACAGAAAGAATTGTTTCGTTTTCTTATACTTCTTGCAATTAAAAATGTCAATGTCAGATCCATTTGCTTTATTCTGTGATAATTCTATATATTATTGCTCTATTCTGTATTTAGAAAATAATTTCCTGTTGTTTCATTTACAGATTGTGTGACCTCTTTGGGCAAGAGGACAACCATGTTGCCTTGTGGATCTATCAACTTTGCACCAGTTGCCTCCCTGGGTTAACCCTTAAAACCACCATTAAGCATGTCAAGAACTTTCATAGTAAATAAATACTGCAATTTTTAATTTGCAACAAGTTTAGAGATCAATTTTCTTGGAATGAACATATCTTGTTACTTTAACCCTTATCGTTTAAAAATTTTTTTTAGAAAAAATGTGTAACAAGTGGAAAATATATATTTGCACCAAGTGGGAAATCACAAAATTATTGGGATATTTTGTTCTGTTTTAGACATTAAATTCAATTCAGAAAATGTAAAATGAGAACATTGCACTAGTTTCAGAACGTACCTAGGGAAACACTGAACACGGTTTTGCTTTGACAGAACAAATTAAAACATTCCTTGTGTTTAGACTCTGTGGAGCAGGCTGATTATTTAGCAACAAAAAATACAAACAAAGAATGTCTGTCAACTTTTTCATACTTATTCGCAATGTTACTCTATGTATTTGCCCCATCAACAGCAACGTATCTGGTTTCATTGTTATTTCAGGTTTTTTGGAATTGTACAAATCAAACAAGGTGACATTTTGATACTCATCACATCTTTTCTGTTTTCAATATATCAAGAAAGGAACAGATAGAGGGGTAATATTAGGGGTATGATCTCTCATGAAGTCTCTTACACCTATTTTCCAATCCAGTTTTTGCCTTATATACAGGCCCGATTCAGGGGAGATCTGGGGGTCCCAGCCTCCCCCCAGCCACAAATTTTTCAAAATCATGCAGTTTTCACCATTCTGAGCACTTTTCAAATGATTTTGGGCCAACATTAAATGTAAACCTCCTTGGAACATCCTGATATGTATTTTCTTTATTTGTGAATATGTCTGTAATGCTTAGTAGGGCGATTGCCATTATAACATTTTGTTAATTTTGACATATTTTTTTCAAATGTTACATAAATATAACTGATTTTTATTCATGGAATATATGTGTATTGATAAAAAAATTAGGAGAACCACAAAAATTTAAAAAACAAAAAAACATATGTTTTCTGATTATCTATAAATGAGCATTGACGTATGAGGATACGATTTGTTAGTTATATAAATATTCACTTAGTCCATCTACCCAACAGCATCAGCGGGATCTGGTAAGTGGAATAAAGCAGGTATTAGCTCATGTTACCCAGATATAGTAAGTAAGAATATTGCTAAGTGTTAATGGAGAAGTGCCATGTGTACAAAACACAGGCCCATTAACCCACTATATACCAACTACAACAAACATTGGCAGATCTTACATGGCCTGCTATCTACTTTCCATAGCAACCTGTGCTTAATTCTCCCTTAGATACACAAACAGACAACATATTCCCCCTTTAATCAGCCTCTACTTCAAAAATACAATTACAAGATTATGTAACACAAATTTTTGTTTGCATTCAGATTATTGCAAATATGAGATACATATATCCATTATGTAGTCTTAAACTGATATTTTAGAGATGAAATAAGCTGATATATTCAAAGCTTTATTTCTAAAAAGGTATCTATAACTACCAAAAATACTTATGTTGAACATGATTGAAAAATCAGTTAACAATTGTTTCTTCACTTTAAAAGCCTTGTTTTGAAAATAAGCTCTCAAAGTGTAGAATATCAGAAGTTAAATGGTTAAGTGCTCATTTTAAAGATTTCACTTTATCATAAAACAGAAATGATGAATGACTGAAGCTCTGAGACATGATGTTGCTATAGTAACGGGAATATTTGATACATTCACTACATCTTTTGGGAAATCCTGGTACAGTAACAAAACAATATACTGTACAAAAGCATATATGACAAAAACAGTAATGAAAAAATATATATTTTCCTCCAAAAAAAATCTTTTAAATTTTCACTTTATTGTAAAAATTGTTGGATATTAAGCTATTTGTTGAAGGCAACATGACACACATATGTTTCTAATAATCTTGAAAATCTGTGATTTACTTCAAATGTAATCTTGTTAGACCAGAAATCTACAAGAAAACATACCTAATAACCTGTGCATGATGCCACTGGATATATAGACTGACAGAACAGTAATAAACATCGTGACATCTTATACTTCTCAAGGCAGGTTGGAAAACTGAATCTAATATATTAAGTCGACTGACTGAAGTCATATTTTCAAAAATAAACTTTATATTTAATATGTATTCTCGAAAGAAAAAAACATCGACTTAGTAAATATAATCTCAACATCAGCACGATAACTCCAAAAATATATTCTTGTCAGCTGGTTGACTGATTTTCCCATTCTCAAGATATATTCTAGATAATGCTTTTAAAAAGAATTAGCAACATCACTGAAATATATCAAATACCCCCTTTACATATTTGGAGAAATAGGGAAAAAATCAAAATGCATTTTAGACAATCTTAAGAATATGTTATAAGAAGTGAGAATATGGGAAGGGGAGTAACGGCTCACTGACACCCCAGACAAGAAACATAAATGTTATTATACAACACCATGGTAACAAAATAATCAAATAGGTCTAAGTTTATATGAGACCAAGTGGAAATGTATGTTATTTGAGTGACATATTTGGGGTTCCAATTACAATGTTAATCTGTTCTGTAGACCACAATTAAACAGCAAGATTTAGGAACATATTTAAAGTGTCACTGAGCCATAACTGTAATTTTCTTGATTTAACATTTCCTCTTTTGTATATATACTTCTTAGTTTCTTAACTGTATGTAGAAATAAAAAAGTAACTTTTAGACTTAAAACACATACCTGGTTTTGTGATAAAATATGCTTCTAGATATTTTGAAGAAATTATTTCTTATTTAAAACAATATACAGTAAAACCTGTCTAATCCAAATGCCTATGGGACCAGCCAAAAGCGTTCAAATTGGCAGGTGTTCAAATTTCAAAGTTTTTGTTGGTCTGGGGGGATTTTTATTTAAAACTGTATTTTTTAGGAGGCATTTCAGTTACTATATAGGCTATTATGAAGTTGAATTTTTCTCTTTCTCTTTGATTACATTGTATATGTAAAGATAAATAACAACTATAACATTGACTCAATGTGTGACATTTGATTTCTGATAAAAAATGTTCAGATTAGACAGGTCAGTTTTTCAAATCTGGTTGTTCACTGTTCAGATTAGGAGGTGTTCAGATTTCAAGTTTTTTTTAACATGGGAGTCAGGGGAGGAAAAAATGGGACTGAAAAAAAAGTGTTCAAGTAAGAAGGTGTTCGGATTAGCCAGGTGTTCAGATATACAGGTTTTACTGTTCTAACACTTAAAAAACTTAAATATGGAATGTATAATGATATGACAAAAATAAGAACTCTGTTTGTTCAAGGTTTATTACTAACTTGATTTTTTATAAATCGCTTACCATTTTCATTTGGTATAATGGTTGTCTCCTTGGGATCCATATAATCCTTTTCTTTCTTGATCATACGCTCAGCGGTCTGGGTCTCCATGACAACACTAAGGTAGCATCACACTGGAAATATAATTTTAAAATATTTATAACAATTATGACAAACAGCGCATATGCACATTTTGTGAGTTTACTGTAGTGACTTATATGTCATTGTAATGACATCAGAGAGTCAATAAAAGATATACATATTTGAATATAAGTCACTCAAAGCACCAACGTGTCTGGATATATCATCTTCAAAATATACAGACTCTGGCAGCTACAATGTCTCCTACGCTGATGTCAAGAGGCTAGTAGTGATGAATTTCTCTTTTGAATTAAAAACTCTTAAAAAAAGAAACTTGCCCCCAGCTTTGACAATATTTTACATATCCTTTCTTATAAATCATATCTCAGAGTCAAAATTGTTGATTTTAAATTTAAACGTTTTCAAAAAATGTCTAAATGGTAAAAATAGTTTTTGGTTTTGTATCATGTTTAGGTTCGAAAGCATATAGTTCTGAGAATATGTGTTTCTTGAGATAATCATATGAGTAAATAACTAGATACAAATTGTGCAATTAAACTTAGTATAGGTTAATAATATTTACTAATAGTTATTCATTGCAGCATAAATGTTCTTCTTTATTACTTCATATATACTATATATCATCACTCTATCTATTCTGTTCACTTACTCAAACTTCATCGAAATGATTTTCTGTAATTATGGTTTTCAATGGATGAAGAAATACCACAAAACTGTCTCATACTTCAAGTTAAATCTAAACCTTTCCCATTATTATCGGTGTAAATGATTTTTTTACTTGCATCCCAAGTACCACTCTCTAGCATGGTTGTAACCACATAGAAACTAAAGCATAATGTATCACCATATCTTCTTTAATGAGCACATCCTAGGAATTCTGGTTATCCAAATTGCTTTTATTGGGGACTGGCATCATTTAACCTATAAACTCTTACAAGCATTTATTCGATTCAATCTCCTTCAAAACTGAACTTGCGATTGGATATCCGTGATCTTATGAACGCATCTTGTAGATAAGTTCCCTCACAGGTTGGAAGCATTCCCAAATAAACAGGGCTTCCCTACAAGTGCTGTTCAACTAATTATACCATTATGGAACATCCAAAGAAACAACGCTAAGACAACAACCAAGCATAGCTTACATCAGATTGAGGTGCCATAGAGAATTCTAAAAAAGATATTTTTAGCACTTTGATATCTTAGTCCTGTTTGAGAACCTGTTCTAGAATATAAGCAATTAATCTTGTGCTTATCTTATGAGGGAGCTGGGAGACCAAAGCAGGCAAAAGGTCCTGATATTTTCAAACAAATGTGAAACCAAAATACGGAATCAGAAAATGTATCAATAGGTGGCGTATTTATATGTCATTTTATAGATTGTTATACCTATCATATTTAGTTTCAAGTTCTTTTGAAAGATACTGTAGAATGTAAATTATCATAAATATATTATCTCTTTAAATATAATTATCATAAATAACTCCTACCACCAGAATTCTTCAGACTGACATTCCTTTCACAAGTTTAAACTTTGTTTTTAATATTTCTCATTTGACTCACATCCCCAGCAGGATTTTCAACATGTCTTATCTCCCCTATATCTCTATAGTTCTTCTGAAACAATTTGTCAGAAATATAATATTTGCACAAATAAATACCTTACCATTGAGGTTCTTTAGATCAATTTCTACATTCCATTCCATTAACATTCTCTTGAAAAGAATTCCATGCTGATAATGTCTTCAATTCCAGAGGTGTTAGAAATGGTAAGATTTACATAGATTAAAATAAAAGGGTTTAAGTTAAGAAACCAACTTTGAAAGACATGCAAAATTGAGACTTTTCATAAAAGAGAAACAGTCAATAATAAGCGTGAACAGAATTTCACTTTAAAGGATAGGTATCTAACATACATCATCACCTTATCAGGGCCTTTATCAGCTGCTTATGTATAGCATAAGGCACAAGCAAAATTATTTTCTGAACCTCAAAAAATGCAGGGATCAAGATATGTTGAAAAATGTTTAGACTAAACAAATCAAATGTTTCGTTGAAACAGTCTCAAAGCCTATACTGAGGGGAACACCATTAGATCATAAAAGACTCATTCAATGAAGGATTTTTTTTAAATGGCGTCAGGTCTGAGACACAAAATATATTCTGCAAGTTAATTATTATTTAGATCCTGAATCATGTTTACAAAAATGTATTTTTAATAAGACAGGCAAAAACATTTTTGGTTTAGTCATGCTCATAAAAAATGGTTTCATTGAATAAAAAAGATTTGATCCCTATCAAAATCTAATGGTTCGCCAACCAATGTTAAGTGATACAACCCATTCTCAAAACAGCCCCATATGTCACAAACTTCTCTACTAAAGAAAGTACTCCATAGCATTGCATCAAGAGAATGTTTTGAAGTTGTTTTCTTTTTTCAAGATGTTATTTGTAAGTAGGCAATTAAACTAAAGAGTTTTAAATGAGTAAAATACAAAAACACAAATGTCATGTAATTGATTGAAAGATAAACAAATTATCTATTTAATGTGTTCAATTTCATTGAAAAGCCATGGAATTGAGGAACAAAAACAATCAAAGACAATCCACTCTTCCCTGCCTCATCAAGAGAAATCATGGCCTTCTATTAGCTTCACTCATATATCAAGTTGAAGACAGAACGATGTGATGTCCCTGCCTAGGCTCCATATAAGTTAATAATGAAAGTCCCTTCCAAACCCACTTTACCCAAACTGTGTTGTCCTCCCAGACTGAATCTCACCATAACATTAATGTTTATTTCATCCCTTGGCACGTGACTTGTCTACGGTATTCCAAAGAAAACCAATGAGGCCTCAGTATGCTCCCTAAGTAAACCATGAGAAAATATTAGGATCCAATTTTCAAAGCTGTCTCTTCCACAGCAGCAAATAAACAAAGATTTACCTGGCAGAATTGATAGCTCTAAAATAGCTCAACATGAAGCAATACATGCAAAGGAGTCAGGTTGTCTTACATCCAGCAGTACATCCTACGTGGTTACACGGTAATCCAAGTTGACAAGAAAGCTACAACATCTAATCTCAAATGAAGATAAAAATGAGTTGAACTGCTATGGGATACATACCAGTAAGTTTGAAATATATTGGAAGCTATGTACCAGAAGGAATGTAAAGTGGGAAAATATAAGTTTTAACAACCTTATGCAAATCCAAACTCACTTTAGAAAGTTTCACTGCGCTGTTATCCTCCAATCAAAAAGTACTTAGTCCAAATTCTGTAATTTATTTTCATAAGATATGCTAATATAAACATGTATATTTATCCTTTTAAATTCATATTCAGCCGGAAACAAGGTCCAAAATGATCACTTTGGAAATCATAAAAAATATGCCCATCTGTTGATCCGTATTTAATCAATACCACTTCCACAAGAGCAAATGGGAAAATCCCCCTATGAAAACCATTGAAATTGTATCCAGTCTAAATCCTTGATCCTATCACTAGTGTTGTCCTTCTACACATCCTTTTCTGTTTTTTAGTCAACCTATTAGTATTAAATACATACTTTACCTAAGTTATTACTTGGAAAACACCAAAATTCACTTTGAAGTTTATCAACTATTTCTACAGCTTAAGTTATTGTATTTTTAAGATAAGATTTTATGCATTCTTTACATTGGCATAAAACCATTTGCCTTGACACTTTTGGCAAAATTAGTAAAAATGTCAAATTCAACGTACTTAACATTCTATTATGCCAAAATCAACATTCAATATTATAAAAGTGAAAATACTTAAGCAGTAAGCAATCTACCAATATCCCATTATGATGCTAACAAACTTTCCCAGACAATGTTTGGCCTAGACTGCCAAGAGAACAAAACAAATCTGTGTTCCTGTAGGGTTTATCTCATCGGTTTATTGGAAGCTAGGGGGTTATGTCATCCCCTGATAGTATAACTTAATTAGCTACAACTTAGTATATACTCAATCAACTAAAATTGCCTAATTAAGTACAACTCCTCTGATTTAATTACAATAGGGTATCGTTGATAAAAAAGTTTAAAATATACTTGACTAAACAGTGAGTTATTCAGACCTCTAACTATACTACTTTTCATCCCTCATGCACAGTTATATGCAAATATGAATCACTATACTCTGAGAATCTTGCGCTTCATCTCCCCAATTTTACAAACAGAATTACTGCAATTGAGAATAAAAGAAGGGCCGTAACAGAACCAAATAAACCTATTTAGGCAACTAACTACTGGTAATAAATGCTACTCAAACTTCAAAGAAACAACTAAAGTTGTCCAAATCATATTTTTCCAGTACATTCATATATGCCAATCCTTAAAGATTGCCTGTTAAGTATGGCAACTAGATGAGTCTGATTTAGCACTTACACATGAAGACAATATTGATGTTATAATAGACAGGTATAGTGCTAAGGCCCTTATTGCTTTACCAACATCTACTTCAATATAAAGCCTGACATCAGTAAGATACCAATTTCATTCTTGCACCACATCTCTGGTGAGCCCCTACTCTATTCTTTTATTATTCATATTAAGAAATTGGAAACATGAGTTTGATGCAAGACTAAGGCCAGTTGGCAACATTTCTATTCTGCTATCCCTCAAAGGAGATGTGTTCATGCCTTCCAAAGAAAAAAGTATCGGTCTCCCAAAGGAAAGGTATGTCTGCCTTCTAAAGGAGAACCTTACCTGCCTCCCAAAGGAGATTGCTATCAGAAGATGTGTATTTTATTCACATCATCCACTTTCTGAACCATAAAACTGATCTACCAGAACTCAACTGGTAAACTCTGATTCTTGGATTTAAGTTTCATGCCTTTTTGATTGAGTGCTTGTGTTTCCAAATAATGATCAGGCTTAAGATTTATAAAGTGAAATATCAAAGCTCAAGGTTTAAGACACCCGAGGGGAAGAAACTAGATGTCTACATGGTAACAAAGAGGCCAAGGTTTCTGGAGTAACACACACCAAACAGATTGCTTAAAAGGAAG